CCCCCCCCCCAGAAAAAGAAAAAGAAAAATTTAGAAAAGAAGAGACGACCGCTTCATTTACCCTTGACCAGGGTATTTACGAAGTATACATTTTACTTTTTTTTTTTTCTTTTCTTTTTACTTTTCTAACCAACCAACTGACTGGAGAGTCCAGACACGGAACCGTCGTTTGACTCAGCTTTAGGGATAGTTAACGTACCACTATCTCCACTCACTCCTTAGCTGCTCGCTTGCGCCATTCATCCCGCATCGGTCCACCGGCTCGCAGTCTGTAATCCATGCTCGACGTTATTCTTGTACAACCACCCCGTCTGTCGTCGTTTCTACCCGCTCCTTCCCTTCGTTGGTCTACTGCGCAGATTTGAATCATCTTCCCCATACAGCTGTTGGTGTTTCCCCGCACGGTCCTAGTCGGCCGGTAGTCGAAATGGCGGAGACCGCAGGCATGAACGGCGGTCCTATCGCCGAGGACAATATCATCAACCGCCGCGGCGGTGAGTCGATCTATCAAAGCTGCGTCAACCTCAAAAAGCGACTCGGAGAACTCCCAAACTTTGAAGCCCACTTGCAAGAGATGGAGGAAGAAGATCTAGCCCAGGGAAACACCGACCCTGTGGCGTCGCTATGGAATTGCCTCCGGAATGGGTACCCCTTGTTGACCATCTATAACGCCTCAAGCCCCGAAGAATACCTCGAGGTCGATCCCGAAAAAATCCCCGAAGCCAAACGCCCCAAAGCCGCCACTTTCAAGTTCCTTCAGGCGTCTCTGAAGGAGTTGGGGTTCCCCCAGCAAGACTGCTTCCTCATCACCGACTTGTATGGTGAGAGTACAACCGGATTTATCAAAGTGATCAAGATGGTGAACCGGGTGTTAGATATTTTAGAAATGCAGGGTCAGCTGAAGCGAACTTCCGATGTCCCGTCCCGCGCCCCGGAAAAGGGAGCCGTAAAACTTACCAAGCGAGAGCACATTTTGAAGGAGCTGTTGGAGACGGAGCGCGACTATGTCCACCATCTTCAGAATCTGCAAGCGCTCAAGAAGGAGCTGGAGGAGACGGGGGCTCTGACTGGCGATGCTAGCCATCAAATCTTCTTAAATCTAAACAACCTCCTTGATTTCGCCCAACGATTCTTAATTCGCATTGAGCAGCACTACGCCTTGCCGGAAGAAAGACAGAACTGGGGCAAGTTGTTTATCCAACACGAGGAAGCTTTCAGGCAGTACGAACCGTTTATCGCCAACCAGATGCGTTGCGACGAAGCTTGCCTAAAGGAGTGGGACAAGATCCATACAGCCCCGAGGACTATTGACTTGAAGCAAATGGTTGCCCAACCCTCGACACTAAATGGGTTCTTTGTCAAGCCTTTTCAGCGGCTGACCAAATATCCTTTGATGCTTTCGGTGAGTATTCTGTGTTCTCGAGCGTCCTTGTCGGTCGTGTGGTTCTAACCTTGGATATTAGGAACTGCGTAAGCAGACTGAAAACCCGGATCTGCAGACTGATATTACCCGTGCTATCGACGCTATCCAGTGTGTCCTCGATTCTGCAAATGATGCTATTGATAAAGAACATCTGGCCTCCGCCTTCGTCGAACTTGATGAACGGGTAGACGACTGGAAGTCGCTCAAAATAGATTCGTTTGGTGAATTGCTTCGATACGGTACATTCACTGTTTTGAAGGGAGACAATGGCAAAGATTCAGAAAGAGAGGTTTGTTCCCTTTCCGTCGCCTGTCCTCATACAACCCTCCCCCAAACACATTATCCTGTCTTTGGAAGCGGTCTACTCATCGGAGAGATGAGCAGTGATCTGCACAATCGCATTTTGTTTGATGGTATCTCTGTTTACCTCTCCTTGTCCGTTGGCTTCGTGTTGCTATATATTACAACCACGGATCCGGAAGTTAAATACACTGAATAATATGATTGCTGACTTTGCTCGGGGTGTTTACCCCATTCTTTGAGTCTAGTATCATATCTATCTTTTCGAACGCATCCTCCTCTGCTGCAAAGATATCAACCCGAACAAACAGAAAACGAAACTCATGGTGGGCAAAGATAAGCCGGCAGCCACTGTTAAAGGAAAGCCACGCCTCCAACTTAAGGGCCGTATCTACATGGCAAACGTAACTGATATAGTTTGCATTCAGAAGCCGGGTACGAGACTCTGGCCCTCATCCTCAAATGTCTTGGACTGAACTGACACTGGTTTGCAGGATCTTATCGGATTCAAATCTTCTGGAAAGGTGATCCAGGCGTAGTGGACAACTTTATAATTCGTTATAATAACGAAGATTCTATGCGCAAATGGTACAAGGACATTGACAATCAAAGAGCAATTCAAGCAGAACATCGCAGCGCACGGAATACCGGTACATCGGAGACCGAATTCACGTACATGAGGAACATGGCGAACATGCCTAATCCGTACCAACAAGAATATGATGCCGAAGAGCAGGCAACTAAGGAGGCTGGTTTCTTCTCCGAATTTCCCATGAGTCGAAATGCATCGAGCACCAGTCTCCGGACGCGGTCCGCAACGGGCGGAAGTGGTGGCTCCGGCCCGCCTTTGTCAACTAATCGCCCGCATCGCTTCCCCATGCCAGATCCGAATCTTTCTGTGCACACACAATTCCCCAGTGGCAGTATGTCACCGGCTGAGAGAAACGCCAACTCTTACTTTTCTCCTGTTGTCGAGACGCCATCCACAAGGTCAAGCTCGCAGTCCACTGGTTATTCGTACGGCCGCCAGACACCAGGCAGTACTTGGAACGAAGAACCCAATCGGTATACTGCACCCGCATTGTCTCGTGGTGTTTCTCGGGACGGCTCAAACCAGAATCCCTATTTTAGTGGAGCACCCAACGGGCGGGGGGCTCAGCGTCCTTCCTTGCCTCCTATGTCTGGTACTTCTAATGGCATGGCACAGCGGATGCGTTCTGCGAGTAGCCCGGACATACATCATCACAATCCTGAATCGCGTCGGTACATGGGCGCGCACACAATGCAGACAGTCGACAATGTGCCCGTACCGCCGATCCCTGCTCACATGGCCAGCATGAAGGCACCTGTCAATAGGAGCCAAGCCAATTCACCAACCAATACTAGTCTCCCTAGCCGAAACGGAAATACCATTAGTGGACAACACACGCATTTCCATGAGCCTCAGTATTCTGAATCTCGAGCGAATCAGCCGGCTTCGGACCATCCTACATCCCCACTGAGCCACGAACCCGACGAGGAGCCTCTCATGCCAACCCAACTCAAAGCCAAGGTTAACTTCGACGATAACTATGTCACGTTGGTGATCGCTAGCAACATTATGTTCCGATCCCTTACAGATCGAGTCGATGCGAAGCTAGCCCGGTTCACTAATCTGTCCATTGGGAGCAAATCGGTCAGATTACGTTACCGCGATGAGGACGGAGATTTCGTCACTATTGACAGCGATGAGGCCGTTCAGTTGGCATTTATGGAGTGGCGGGAGCAACATCGTGACATGCTTACCCGAGGTCAAGTTGGCGAAATTCAACTCTATTGCCAAGCAGTCGAGAATTAAATGCAATATACCTGAAGCGAAGCGCTCTTTGTCATGTTTTCTTTACTATGTTCTATCTATTCTCTTCTCTTCTCACCTCATTTCTTTACCTTTTCTTCTTCTATTTTCTTTTGCTATTTAAAATTCCCCCTTTCGCTCTGGTTGTCTACGGAGATGGAAGGAAAGAAGAGGCGTCTATTTAGGAATTGCCGGCGTTGTTACAGGTTTTCTGCAACTCATTTCCAACTGGATTGGCTTGAGGACTATTGAGGAGCCATTGGTCCAAATTTTATGAACAAAAGAAAAGGGAAAGGGGCTGGGTTCGGTTTTTTATATTCTGTTTCTCTTTTTCCTTCCTTTCCTTTCTTTTCTTTTTCTTTCTTCTTATTTCCTTCTTGACCTCCTTTCCTGTAACCACTATGGTGTGTTATCGGGAGCTGTTTGATGTTGATCTTCAACCTAACCAAGTGCATTTTATCCGGGGCCCTCTTGTCGGGTGAGATGCTTATGATGACTGACTTTTATTTAACTTTGTTCAAGCCCCTTCCGTCCCTGTGTGTGGGCAATGACTGCATGATGTATGTACGTATACTGCTGTTCTATTGAACAGACCGATTTCCAGGTTAAAGAGATGAGATGTATAGTGAGCTTGTATTTCCAGGGCTGGCTCTTCTGATGTTGGACTTGGGTCGCGAGTTTGAGCGGGTATTTCTATGTTTCGCTTTCTTTCCTTTTCATGTTTGCATCAATTTGGGGTTGGGTTGGGTAGGCTGGCATAGACTAGGCGAATTGTTTCCGTTTTGAGTGAGTGAATAGGAAAAACGAATCCCCAAATTATTGGAAGTGCGACTTCGGGATAGAAAGACAAGAATTAATTATAGCCCATCGGATGGAATCCGAAGAGCCCCACCGGCGCCTCCCCTGATCGGGAAGCAATCCAGACCATCGGCACCGCAACCGCTTTTCAGGCCCGAATACCGTCCCGATTCCCCCTACGTCCTAAGTCGGCTCATAATAATAATGTAACAACACTCCGTACGTAAGTCATAGACAGTATAGAATATAATAGAATAGGGGGAGACCTTCCCCCCCTCCTCTCTTTACGCTGATGAGACATTTTTCAACCTTCGTCTAGGCGATGCGGCCAGTGCTGACGGAGATCGATCCCTCTAAGGTGAATAGGAGCCCAACGGCCGAGGACTATGTTCCATATTGAGGGATTATCTAGTGCGGGATATAATCTTTTTATCATTGGTTCGATCCATAGTACTTTGGGGTCGGGCTAAGTCTCTCCAAAGGTAAAATTGGAGTCGACAGAAAGATGCCTGAGAGAGGGCGTTTGCGAGCCTTAAAATGGCCATTCATTCATCTTGCCGTCCTCTTTTCTTTTTCTTTTACCTTCATATTTAACAACGCCGGTCACGGTCGATGCCCTGCTTTTCTTTTTGATCTATATAGAATTATTGCTTACTCCTCATTCTGGGCGCCCTTGAGTTTTCATTTCTTTTTCTATTCTATACTCTTGTTCTGAGAGCCAAGAAAACGCATAAATCTATCAAACTACTTTTAATCCCTCGCATCAACATTTCTGCATTGTTGCCAAGCAGTAATCATGTCATTTTCCGGACGTCGCGTGAGCATTTTGCGTCCTTCCAACAGGCGATTTTCGCTGGGCAAGGAGTTGTCGGAGAATGGTGCGTTGTTCTCATTTTCTAATTGGTGTTAAGCATGTTTGTAGTACCAGCGGAATGAGGGGTTCCCAATAAAAAAACTCATATCAAATCAAATCATCGCGAACATTCCAACTAACAAAACACACCTTTACAGAACTCCGATCAGAAACTCACCGTCAATTCCGAAGTGCTCACGAAGGCCACCGTCCCCATGCTGGTCTCGATGCCTCACGTGCCTCAACCGGTGTTGTCTGGTGTACAGAACGTGCGACTGAACACGGCTACGCAGAGGATCCCTCCGCATGGGCGAACCTGGGACAAGGTGCCCCTGAAGCCGACGATGAGATCGAAGGCAGTTTCCCTCGCCCCACGAGCATTCCCATCACCTCTGCTGCGCGTGAGTACGGCCCCACGGCCGGTATCAAGCCCCTCCGCGCGGCTGTCGCTCGGTTGTATAATGAGCATTACCGTCAGGGCAAGGAAAGCCAGTACACTTGGGAGAATGTCTGCATTGTCCCCGGTGGGCGTGCGGGTTTGATTCGAATTGCAGCCATCCTGGGCAATTCGTACCTGTCCTTCCCCATTCCCGACTACTCTGCGTATTCTGAGATGTTGACCCTGTTCAAAAATGTAAGCATTGGGTTATTAGTGGTCTCTCCCGCAGCGCAGGCTGCACATACAGACTTTGTCTGTATCACGATAGCTCACAAACCATCTTCTAGATCGCTCCTATCCCCATTCCCCTCTCCCAGAATGACCATTATCATATTCACCCCGACAAGATCGCAGAGGAAATCGCACGTGGTACTCAGGTGCTCTTGACATCGAATCCCCGTAATCCGACTGGACACTTTGTTTCCAGCGAGGAGCTGGCTAAAATCCAAGACATCTGCAGAGATCGCGCAACGTTGATTTTGGACGAATTCTATGGAGGCTACAATTACACCACCGACTGTGACGGCACAACTCTCAGTGGTGCTACAAATGTGGAGGACGTAAATCAAGATGGTTGGCTAGCTCCCAGAAACTACGTGTGATTTTCCCATGCTAACCTTGACAGATGTCCTGCTCATTGATGGCCTCACGAAGCGTTTCCGTCTGCCTGGTTGGCGTATCGCCTGGGTTGTCGGTCCCAAGGAGTTCGTTGACGCCCTTGGTTCCGCTGGTTCCTACCTGGACGGAGGTGCCAACGTGCCGTTCCAGGAAGCCGCCATTCCTATGCTCGAGCCGTCGCTGGTACGCGCGGAGATGAAGGCCCTCCAGCAGCATTTCCGTGAAAAGAGAGATTTCGTTGTCCAGCGCTTGAGAGAAATTGGATTCCGTATCCAGGACGTTCCTCAAGCCACCTTCTACATTTGGCTTGATTTGACTTCTTTGGAGCCCCCGCTTCCCAAAGAGGCGAACATCTCCGACGGTCTGAACTTCTTCAACGCCCTCCTGACTGAGAAGGTCATTGTGGTGCCTGGTATCTTCTTCGACCTGAACCCGGCCAAGAGAAGAGACCTGTTTGACAGCCCTTGCCACCACTTTGTCCGTCTGAGTTACGGACCGAAGATGGATGTGCTGAAGAAGGGTCTTGATGGCATTGAAAGGGTTATCCGCCGTGCGCGGGGAGAGGCCCTCAAAGCTCAATGGGAAGACGAGGTAGCAGTTGCTGACGACTAAGCGAACTGACGCGTTAGTACATGAGTTAACATCATGAATATAGATTTAAGGCTAGTATTATATGAACGGGAGTCAGCTTATTTCCCAGAGCCCGTGCTTTTCTTTCTATTTATGACCCCTTAAACTTGCTGTACGGAGGATCGTAGTCCCATATAGAACGACTTTCATAGAGACGGCCCCTTAATTTGGGTCAGCTTCGCGTAGCACGTGACCCTGTCGGTCGGCCTGCCAGCCAACTATTCTTCTATTCCTTCCATTTATTGTCCAACCCATGCTTTCATGATCAAAGACAGTTGAGGTAGCGACAAGCGCACAGGCTGCGATGCGCAATATGTTGCGCACGATATTATGGCCTGGAATTTCTACCGCATCCTTAATTACACTGTCTTCATTGTTCTCTCGGTTGTCCTCTTCTGTCTCATAGTCCTGACCCCAGCGGACGCGATCTACCAGTGCTACATTACATCGCGACTCACAAATATCTTCATTATTAGCGGTGGCTACATCGTGACGTTTATACTAGCGGCGCTGATCTACGCAACCCGGATTTATACCAATCGCAGTGCCTTAGCAGGTATTCCCAAAGCATGGATCCCGGTCGAGAAGGAAGACGTCGGGAAGAGCGTGAGGCGACTGGTGGTTGAGGGTCTTGCTCGCAGTGCTATCATCGCTTATCAAGCCAGACCAAGGGATACAACTGCAGATGGAGAGAACTTTGCCGACTACCCTATGCTCCTAATAGACCGTGATCGCCCTCCTTGGGGCGATGTCGAACACCCGGGATGGTCTTCTCCTGCATCTCCCGATGTGCCCGACCTGCCGTATCGGACGGTGATCCAAGAACTTCCAAATTTGATCGAAGCCAAAGCGGTCTCTCTCGCTCCCCCCGACCCCTTTTTGTCCGTCCCCCGCTCGTTCAACTCCTCTGCCCCTGACGCTGAGCAATCGATCCCGGACACACGAGTAGTAGACATCCTACGCCGACCAGTGTCGATGGGTGTGCGGGAGTACTTGCAACATCTCACCGTTCTGAACGTTATCAAGCCGCCCGAGATCGGTGCGGAATTCACCGCACTATATGAGCGCGCGCGCTTTTCATCCCATGAGCTCCACGAGGCGGAATTTCGGGAGTTGATGCACGTATTCGCCGAGCTTTTGAAAGGGATGCAGTCGCTGGATACGCAGATTATGGACGATATATATGCTGAAAGCCATGGGGACGATAGCGAGTCCATCATCGGGCCTTCGGACGAGGAAGGAGAGACCGATACGGTAGATTATCACGACGATAGCGAGTCATTCTCCCGAGGCCGAACCAATAGTTTACAGCCATCAAATGCATCGACCTGGGAGGGCCGCTCAATTTACACAACATCCGGAAAGCAGAGCCATCAGTCACCTGTTTGGCCGAGAAACCTCGATCCGCACCGGCTGGCCACGCCTCGGACGCCCTCAATACGGTCGCTTAGACAGGTCCAGTCGAACGCGTCGGGCAGTTCTGGTGGAAGCGTGATACATTTGGTAGATACCCATGGGCCATCAGATTTGCCCTACGCCATTAAGTTCAACGGCAGTTCACATAATAATAGAACATGACCATTAATGTTTGTCTTAATTATTCTAATTGGATTGAGATAGTGCAGTAGCGCCTTTCTTACTAAAATCACCCTATGAAGCATTTACATTGGCCTTGATCAGTAGTGTATCCCCGTCCCCATTCGACCAGCCCTAATAACCTGATTCAGAAAGAAGATTGATAGTCCATCAGCCAATCACGGCCCGTTCGGAATTGGTTCCGTTCTTGGCATTAGTGATTGATAAGATACTGCTTTTCCAGAATAGCAATTTGTCAGATTCACCCCCAACACTTCCTTACCTTGGAACAACATCCTTCCCACGCAATGCAAGCTCTCTGGCGACGCGGTACCTCCCTCTTCGGATCAACTCCATCAGATTCTCCCAAAGAGATCGGGTCCGTCGAGGATTTCCGAACCGCCCCTACCCCCGACACACTATTCACTAAGGTCGATCCCTCCATCGATGGGGAAGAATGTCTCCACGACTGCGCTTCATGCACTGTCCGGTACCCCGCTAAATTCGAAGTCGACTACGAGGATACCCTATACTCAAATGTCACCGGCTGGGCAACCCACCTATTAGTTGCGACTGGTAAAACAGACTGGGTAAGAGATGTAGCAGACGAACAGGGCAGCGTAATGGAAGCCATTGAAAAGGGAGGCCTGGAGCCCAGTAACGGGGTACGTCCTGTCCCAACTTAACCCCAAATTTTACCCTTATCCTTATGAGCACTGCTAAGCCACCGCACAATCACAGAAATTGAAACTCTCTGCCTCCAACATGCCCGTCCCAGACGAATACCACCACCACGACTCAGGAAAGCAACCCACGACCGTCCTCCTTCTCCCAAGTTTCACCATCGTCGACCACGTCACGCCGGCCCTGGCCCCCGACCTGATCAAATACTTTGTCAGCCCTGCCCCCACGACCACTACTCCCCTGGGCGCTCTCCCGGGGGCAATTGAGCAATCCGCATCCGAAGATCAATCGCAACCGTTACCACCCTCTCCTGACCTACTATCGTTGACACCCCTCCGGTCGCGGCCCTGTTCTCATGCGGCTGTGATCCTCCTCTGTTCCCAGCGCACAAGGGACGCCCGATGCGGCCAGTCTGCGCCTCTGCTTCGGAAAGAATTCGAGCGTCACTTGCGCCCGTTAGGATTGTACCGTGATCTTGATGATGAGCGGCCCGGTGGTGTTGGGGTCTACTTTATTAGCCATGTTGGAGGGCACAAGTATTCTGCGAATGTGATTGTATACCGGCGTCGCGATTTCGAGTGGCATCGTGGCGATAAACAGGAGGCGTCGGCGAAAGGGGAGGAGGGCGCGGCGCAGGGGATCTGGCTGGCGCGCGTTAGACCGGAGGACTGCGAGAATATTGTCCGATATACGGTGCTGAAGGGGAAGGTGGTCAAGCCGGAGCAGATCAGAGGAGGATTCGATCGGGAACGGGGGGTGATGAGTTGGTAATTCGTTACTTTAGTTGTGGTATACTCGGTACATATAAAAAGTACACATCGAGAGATAGGGTTGTGTACGAGTATGGGCATAGATCTAAGACGATATTTAAATGGTGTATGACTAGAGTTATGTTTGCCCCATCCAGTAGATAGTTAATCCATGTAGTTGTGCCATTGAGCTTCGTAAAAGCAGGCGTGAGTTATTCAAGCACTGCTAAGCTAGCAAAGCCCATCCGAATCCTGTTTGGCATGCGTGTAGCATTGAGAAATGGCCCTGGAGCCATTCTGCTCTGTGTCAAACACTATGAAGCAAGGGGTTTGTTTCACAACATAGTTTATTAAACAGCCGAATATCTCTCCCATTTACCCTGAATCGACCCAATAAGTCATCGCCTACACAGTTCCGATCAGTAAGAGAACAACTATCCCTGTGCTATTTTAGCACAAGAGACAGCTCTTAATCAGCGACCTAGTCCACATCACCATGTATCATTCCTAGATAAAGGGTCAGGCCAATGAAAAATCAATATGCTATCAAACTACGCGGTCTATATTCTAGACCGCACCGTCGCAAGCAATCTAAAAGAAATACGGCCTTCAAACAGGAGAGAGATGGGGAAAGAGGACTCGCCGAGACAGTATTCTCGGCCTTATTGTTTATTCTTTCTCGTCGGGGTGAACAAACACGGGACTGCCCTGGTCTCCCTTACTGATACTCAACCTCTAAGATATGTATCAGTTGGAAGAGTGGCCATCTGCCGGAAGCTGGGAAGGCTCCGTACGTGCCTTCATTGCAGTGTATCTGTTATGACTACATTCTTCGTTCGGGGCTTATAGAGTGTTGGCCAGCGCTCAGGTACAGAGGTACACTTGTTATTCCGGCTCCACGTTTGCATTGACAGCTCGTGGGGGATTATATTGAAAGGATAGTGGGTGAGTAACTCGGTATTCAATACGTATGGGTCAAGTGCATCTGGCTGGGTTGTTTATTCCCTTATTGCTATCTGAGCATGAGATGTTAGCATGGAAAGTAAATTCGCGAGAGACACGTGCCTTGGCCTGGGAGGTACGCGGTTTAAACTCTGATATCCATTGTCCGCCATAGGGTATAGCCGGCGTCATGTCGAGAATCTAGACGTGTTTGTGATCCAGATAGCCCTCTCACTGTCTAGCTCAAAAGTAAAAAGAGTCGTAGTGTGAAGACGGTTTACCAGAAGTGCCTCACGCCATGAAGCGGGACTAATTTACCTCTCATTTCCGATCATCCACCAGTGTCCAGAAGAAGATTGTAGAGCGCTTACAATGGGCCCTAGATGGTATATCCCTCGTTTAAAATTGCCAGAATGAGCATAGTTGCAGCCTTTTTTCCCTGTAAGAATATCAAATCTAATTTAACGTGGTGACCGGATCCTCATTTGCTTAGTTCAAGCTCAAGGAAAGATGTATAGTAGATTCCTCTATCCGAATTCCAGCGTATTGGAATGGATGAAGGTCGAGGAGGAACACGAGAGGATTGACTAATATATGCTGTTTTATTGGTCAATCTCCACCATCCTCTTACCTAAGACCAAGGACTAACTAGTAGTAATTAGTAGTGATTGTCTAGAATTAGTAGAATCACTAATCGAGTAGTATCGAGTAACAGTCGAGGTAGGATGGATATGTGTGCATAGTGCAGTGTGCACAACACACCACCAGGAGAGTCGGCAGACAGACTAGACTCCCCTAGGGTAGCACTACTAAATTAGTCCTGGAATACTACGGCGCCAGTACTCCGTACGTAAAGGATCCACTCCCGGAGATACAGGAAAAACAACAACCCTCTTCAGTGCAATGGACCCTCCGTAATTGGTCGGGGCACACGAACAGGTTGAAGTTGAGTTCTCGACCCACCTTGCTGGTGTTGATCTTCCAATTTCATTTCACGAAGGAGGAACGGACTGGCAATGACAATAGATACTACAGACGAATAGAGTTAGCAGCAGACAATCATTGTTCATGGTACCCTCGACTACTCTGAGACAGGTAGTAGTTATGTTTCGGTGTGCCTGACCGACTGTGCCAAGATTGAAAGCCCTTGACCCATGGGAGGATCGATTCTGGTCAACCTTCTTTTAAGTTCCGTGGGCTCGAAGGTCACGGTTTGTTTGAGTTTTTTTGAGACATATACGTCGGTGGCTATTCTATCTGTAGAAACCCAGATATAGAATGGTAGGTGGTATTAATATATACTAGTACCTATATGAGAGAGTGAGTCCTGTACCTCACAGTCTCGCTGAGAACAAGCACTCATCAATATAGCCAGGTACATACGTCCCGTCCACGCATACACTCATCTCACGCCAGAGAGAGGGTCACAGCCACAATCTCCACAGCGAAAATGAGCCCGTCAATTCCCCACATGAAGAGAAAGAACGTCCCGAACGAGAGGATAGATGAGCCGCTAGTTCCCCGATAGTAGCCAGTCTGGTTTCCCGCGCGTCTGTCGATGGATTTGGCGCTCCACCGTCAGATGGGCTGGTCTAGATAGAATGATCATCCGGATGGTCATCGTTAGTGACCCTGGCGCGAGAGATGGGTCGTTGCTGTACTATGGTTTCGGTTAGGATGTCGCGGATTGTTGGTATACTTGTGTATGTCACTGTCTCGGTAGAGATGTTTGAGTATCCCGTAGTACTTCTGGAACTAGTGATCTATAGAGAAGGCCTTCTATGTATATATATTATAGCCCAGAGCATCACGTACCTAGGAGTAAGTTGATGTTTCGGTGAGGATTGGCTGTACAATACAGCCCGGTACAATACATCGAAGGCAGTCTGTGGGAGGCAAAAGGCAACCAGACATATATCACTCGCAGAGTGCATCCATCCCATGGGGCTACCAACCCAATAAGTAGGCAACTCCAGGCGATTAGGGAATATTCTACGGGCGCCCAAACTGTTGGGAAACCTTACCTTTCCAGGAGGAAACGTCAAAACCAAACTGGAATAGGCGATGGTGTATGTACCATGGAATGGGGTGGATAATGTTAGGGATTCCTTGAAGTTAATTCTGCACCGGCCACTCGATGTCCTATCCTCTCTCCCAGAACTGGTGTACGGCTTCTACCTCTTGACTCCCGCTTGGCCCAAGCGCTTGGCTACTCTTCTTGAGCAGACAATATGATATGACAGGTGATTCTTTTACTGGTGACCTAGTAGCCCCTGACCGTCGTGTTCAATGCCTCGCTGGTTGTGTGGTTTTGTATTAGGCCGGGATAGTTGCTAGCTAGTTCAGAGTGGGAAAGCGAGTTATGTAGCAGCAGTACCCGTTTAGTCTGTCATATGTGAGGTTTTGAACGCGTGGGTGTATCCTAGCGTCTAGGATTATTTTCGTGTTCAGATAACTGTGTCCAACCGGTAATTACCTCCAGCAATTCTCATAGGATAACTCGCTCTGTATCTCAGACTCGGGATCCTTGCTTAATCCAGCTGCAGGTGATATGTTTTGCAAAAGGTCGCATAACTCTGGATGCGTCGCAGTATATCTAGGTAGTAGAAGACATGTGCTGTAACGAGTCGTAGCCACGGATGGGTTTATTGAAAAGAGGGTACAAGAGTAGACGTATCAAACCCCGCAGTCAAAACGCCAAGGTAGCGCACATAGTCCTTACAAAGTCATTCATCTGGCAATGGCCTGTCGTCGTCATCCAATGCAGTATGACTGCTAGATCCCGGTATAACCGCCGATAGCTAGCGGTTTCGTGTGTTGTTAGCTGATTCATCTCGGTACCAAATTGTTAACTAGAAGGGGAATATCGGTACCAGCGACTTTAGTGCAGGGACTAAGTGGCCCCTGCGAAGTACTACTACTGACTGGAATGGAGACCTCTCTTGACTTTCCTCGGTAATTTCACAAGGAACTAAATTTGGCCCCCACTAGTAATCTCCCCTGATCGAACAACTAAATTAGTACTCGGAAACCATGAAGGCTCTCGCCTCGGAATCTTTATCCACGATAATCTGATTGCTCGGTATCCGAGGGGACCTTCCAAGTATTTCGTTTTTCCTTGTTTTCCGGCCCGATAATTTTTCTTCGATAAAATAAACCAATAAAACTTGTTGACGATGCAGGTATGTATGGTCGATCCATTTCGACATGCAGGTGGCGGTGGCATTGAGCTCTGTGTGTGTGTGTGTGTGTGTGTGTGTGTTGTTCAAGGGAATTTACTCCCCGTCGTCCAGTAGACTAGCTCGCGTTAGTTCTACACATGTAGAGATATTCAGAGACCTGACTGGGCCTGCCTTCATACGCTATCTGAGTGGAGTCAGCGACCGTTCCGACCGTCGATCCTTGGTTAACGTTGGCAGCGAATGAGACTGACTTCTCTTTTAGAACGGTGATGGGAATAATATTTTCAATCTCCCCGACGTCACTAACCGGCAAGTAAGTGGCTCCCGCGTCATGGCCACAGCACGATACGGAAGGTACGGGGTAATAGTATAGTAGGAGATAGATTAGTCTGAGTTGTTGGGTGCAAATGCAACAGCAATTAGGAGCTGGTGGGGGGTCTGCAGCCTTGCAGTGCTGCCTAAGGCATCGGATATCGTGGTCCTCGCCTCGTTCGGGTCAATCAGGAAAGAGCGAAAAGAGAGAGTTCTCAAATTAATTAGACCTCAGTAAATACACCAGACTCAATCTCCCAAACCGGGTCGGAGTCTCCAGCCTCAAATCACAGACGAGATCGGCAATGAAGACTAACACGTATCACAAAGATTGCCAAGAAATCATCTTAGGTATCAAGTATCACAAACGCCTCACCTTAGCCTTTTAAACAGGGGGAATCGATCCAAAAAGCCGCAGAGGTTGCAAGAAATGACAGAAGAAACGAGCAGTGATATAATCAGTCACAAGCATTGCGAGAGACAGAAAAAAAAAGAAGAAAAAAGGAATAGAGATAAAACCAAAATAGAAAACAAAAAATCAACTCGCATGCGGGAATAGTTGACGAACAACCTGTCCAAATTGGAACGCTCGTAAGTATATCGTTATAGGTCATCACACGATACGGTTAGTATCACCGTTCCCAGGCGGGACGCTACCAAATTACACTAAAGATTTTTGCCGGCCTTTCCCTGGCGAATCTCCCAAGGACAAAGCACAATGATTGCACGAGAGGCTAGTGGATACTTAAGGGACTCGAACGTGCTCGTAATATTATTTAACCCACTCCCAAGAAGCCCCAGTCAGTCCCCTCGGGTTGGTTAAGAATTCGAGTTTGGTGTTGTTTATATTGAAAATTATGAGGATAGGTGACTATCAGCGGGTGCCCGTCCACCGTGGGGACAGGGGGGAATGGTTGTTGAAATTCTGGTGGAATACTATATCCCTGGCGGGTTGGATCGTAGCGTTGCTGCATAAGTTGCATGTAATGCGCTTGTTGAACATCAACGGGGGATGTAACCGGTACGCTGTGAGTGACAATCGGTGGCGCGTCTTGCACCGGAACGGGCGTTATTGGAAGACTCGGGGGCGGGTAGAAATCATGAGATGGTGTTTGAGCGTGAGGGTAGTAAGGTTGCTGGGCTAGAAGGTATTGATCATTCGGTAACGAGGCGGGAACAGGCGCCTGGTAGGAATGTTCAGAAGTCGCATCCTCGGATGGCGGACGAGTCACCGTGCCTGGAGGGTGCGAACGATGTTGGTGTTTGGTTAACGTTGTTTTGCGGCAAAAGCTATACGGAAACATTAATACTGGGGCCGTTTTGAGGGGTAGATTGCAATTCTACCTTCTCTCACAGGTCGGTTCTTGACAGATGTAAGGCCGCTTCCCTGTGTGAATCCTCCTGTGTCGGGCTAAACTTGACGACTGCGCTGTGTTAGAGATTCCCATAATTGGGCAAGGGATTAAAGGTGAAGGCATACATCAGAAAACGCTTTTTGGCATCCCTCGTGGTCACAAACATGAGGCTTTTCCCCAGTATGCGTTCGAGAATGAACCGTTAATGCACTCCGTTGGATAAAGCTCTTGTTGCAATTTTCTACCGTACAGTGGTAGGGTCGCTCGTTGGTATGTATGCGATAATGTCTGCAAAGATCCGACTTGCGATTGAAAGACTATGTAGATTGTCAGTATGATTGGGGTCCAGGGAAGAGGAGAAAGGGCTGAAAATGAATTCACCTTTCCACAATGCTCCCAGGAGCAGTTGAAGTCCCGTCCACCGCCAGGTGCCATGGTTGCAGGCGTCCAAGGGGTGGGTGTTCCAGACAACCTGGGAATGCGGGACAACCGCTGATAGGAACAGCGGGGAGCGGACAGCGGTGGAGATAGCGAGACACAAGATGAATGGGTAACGGGGGATTTAAGTAGATAACAAAACAATTGGAAGTTAGGTATAGCACAAAATTATCAAGCGGGCAGAGGGGGGATGGAATGCAATCGCAATAAAATAAAAACAGAATGAATGTAGGGCAGGTGTTGACGTGAAATGAAGATCAATAGCAAAGCAGACGACCACTTTGGGGTGGAAATGGAGATGGAGACAATGGAGTAGATAGATAAACAGCTCTCGGGAGAGGAAAATTAGTGTATCAAGTAGCGAGACGGAAAGGGAGGAGGGCGCGCGAGAGAAAGAGAAAGACCAGGAGAGGAGTCAAATCTTGATTAAGTGGAGAGACTGTCACAGAAATTAAATCCGAGAAGGCATGCAGCAGCTTCGATGACTGGGGGAGGTTCTGGCCAACGAGTCACAGGAAGACCGATGGATCAAATTGGGAAAAGCAACCGCAGTCGCTGATTTCAGACTGGAGCATTATACTTAGAGTAATAATAACAATAACAACAATAATAATCAGTTTATTATTATCATTTATTATTTATTACTCTAAGTATAATGTGGCGGGAGTTATAGTAGTAGTAGGTGGTAGATATATAGTAATAGATTCAAATGATGCTCTCCTAGGTAGAGTGTATGTACCTTAAATATAAGGAATCACGATCATATCAATTGTAATGAAAGACCGAGACGAGAGACTAGTAAGAGAGGAGGGAAAAAAAGGAATGAAAAAAGATTATGATCGAACTAAATGAAAAAATTTAAAACAAAAGAAAAGAAAAGGGAAAAAGGAAAAAAGGAAAAAAGGATTAAAAGAAAATAATAATAATAATAATAATAATAATCGCGATAATAAGCTGTCGGGATCGGTGGAGTCGTCCTGCGACGGTGATACAGACAAACGTCGGTCTTAAATGTGGTTCTAGTCCGTTATGGAGAAGACGACTGGAAGAAGCCTGAAAAACAGAAGACAATGAGGGAAAAGAAAGCAGTTAAACCGAGAATAAAATACAAGTGGAAAAGAGAAATGGGGCAATAACTCTCGGCCACGAAAAGTAAAAAAAGAATAGGAGCTGACAGCATGGAAATTCTTAGGTTCTCTCGAGCTCTCCTTTTTCTTATGTTTTTTATTCGCCTTTTTGCCTCCCTCTTGCTTCCTCTCGTGATCGAGTTTTGCCGCGTTCTGTAATTTAAACGGCGCATACTCCATGAATACCTCTAGAACCTATCCATGTAACTTAGTGTGTACGTCCTCTGTACAGTACAGATATACAGCTTGCAAGGCTTGGACTTGCCCTATCCCAGAAGGCTGTGGAAAGGATCAGAGGCTAGAAAGAGTTGGAGGGAAGGGAATTGAATCCAACTTCTGTCGGCTTCTTCCTCAACTATTTCTGTTACATGAGCATTATCAGACCTCGGAAGGCTGATTTTGAATAGGTACCTACATACATACATATAGTACATGCTTACAAATGTACAGATAGTGGCCATGGAAAAAAGATTAGAAAACAGAAAATAGGCCCTGCGCCTTGTTCATTGCAAATACTTTCGACGGTTAGCATGCCAAGGGAGGCAATATAAGTATTTTTATAGACGGAAGAAAGAAAATCAGAGAGAGTGTGTAGACTCCACCATACCCATGAATTACTACTGATACTACTTACTACAGGGGTACCAGGATGTTCAAGAAAGAGAGAAGTAGTGGCAAGAATACTAAGTAGTACTACATACCCGATTTAGATGTCTCCTAAAATGAAAAATTGGCAGACAGGCATCTGGGTCTGGCTTGTCGATAACAACTGGGGTAGGGGGAGGACGGAGCACTAAGGACTAGTCTGAGGTTTGTTGCCCACCGACTTGAACGCTCACTACTATTTGGGGAGGGGAACGGAGAGCCCCACTCCAGCTGCCTGTGCCTTGGGCTCTAGATTAGAGGCTTGGCCAATCATTGCCGACAGGGCGTACAGCCTTTTCCTTGGAAAAAATTCCGCTAGCCTATGGACGGTTTAGTATCCCTGCATGATGGGATCCCACATTGTTGATGCGACAGTATTATTCTCAGCAATCTATTCCCTTTGGAAGAATGGGATACTATTAGAGCAAGGGTATTCGACGGGAGGGGCGTATTGGTATTGTGTAGTATACTACTAAGGATAGCAGTATTACATCCATGGACGCCCTACTATCAAGAAAGCTTCCGGAGCCGACCGACCGGAATTTATGTAGTAAGGTAGTGAGCTATAAAAGGTAGTCCACCCCTCCCTAATGAACCATCGGCACCCCTAACTCAAAAGGAAATTCTAATCTAATGCCCCATCCTTTTTACAGGGGCTATTCTTCGGCTGTACCAGGTTAATACCCGTCAGTGTTCTCCTAAGGTTGAGTTACCCAGTAGTAGGTAGTGACCTCCTTAGGAGCTTTCGGTTGTACCACCTAAGCCGGTCGGTATGATTGGCTTCATGTTCCCTAGTAGGGACTAATTTCAACCCAGAGTTTCCGTATTACAATTACGATCGCCACCACTAGGGTACTGGCGGTTGACAGGCGCCTGTCATGGTCCAAGGGAAGCGACGCACTGAATCAGACCCTTGTCCCTATAGTTGGTAAAAGGTCCAGTAGATTGAAGGAAACCTACAGCACGGTGAGCGAATTAGAAGCGGAGCCTGGGAACAGAGTTAAGAATGCAGAAAGGAAAATCGTAAGCAAGGGATACACTTTAATTATGAGAGCAATACGGAGTGCATTATGCCCATATTGGATGTACACACTTCCACATACAGACCGAGAGGGGGGAATTGAAGGAAAGAATCAACTAGAAAGTAGAAATCAGTCGGAAGTAGGCGTTGCTCCTGCTCGGGAATAATCCAAGGAAATTATTCCCGTTATTGCCGAGGACCTGCGAGGTACATACTGTATGTGCGTACGGACTACTACACACTTAAGCCCTAGGTGATCACTAATTAGTATGTGTGTACTATGTACTAGATATCAATATTGTTCCCAAGTACACTAAACTTGAAAAACTGGGGGTACGTATAATCACTGCAGTCTATCCGAAATCGTGATACCCATAGGAACTCTGTACTCCGTACAATGGTGTGATCCCGGGAATTGACAATCAAATTGAAACTCAATCCTGGAATGAAATGTAATGAAGCCATTCCTATAAGCATTAGCAGATGCATCTCTTTGACCCCCACGTGGGTAGTTTCAATCTACTACCAACCTCTTGATACCATCGTCCGATAGGATGGATGCGGTAAGATATGTGCAGTCAAGATGGGCCATCATTTCTGTGCTTCAAGAGACAAACAAACTTTTGATGATCACTGCATGGCATTTGCAGCTGCAGTGAAAGTGCTAGACGCCGAGGTCACCCTCCATAGCATCTCCTTGATCTCTATGCCTTTTAATTCTACCCACATGGTTCAGAAAATTACTTGTCCAGCACTATATCCCCATATCTGTGCGATTTTCAACTACATAACAAAGAAAAGATATAGAGAGAGGGAAAAAAAAAGGGAAAGACCCATGGGGCTTTGAATCCTATCTAAGGTGGACTGTAGATCTCAATATGGGAGGACTACGTAAGGGCTAGAAGAGAAAAATGCGGGACTGTGGAGACGCGAATCGTACTCAGGCGGGCTTTTAGCGACATGAAGGAAACTAGCTTTAACTACGGAGTATGTACCATGGATATGTTATCCCGGGATCGTAGAATCTCTTGAGCTTGAACGGTCGTCGTCTATACCCAATAAAATGTACCTCGAGATCATTTTGATAGATCAGTCATTCTGGGGCATTAAACTTTCGTCTCTTCCAGACTTCGATCATTGCCAATCCAACTACTGATTGATACTCAAAGTGAAAAAAAAAAGATGAAGAGAGAAACAACGATGCCTTGTTCGTGGGATGTTTATCCTTTATAATCTAATATAGTCCTTTACCTTCTTTATCCAGTCCCTTGCCTTTCATGGGGTAGCATTTGTCTTATTTCGCATATACATAAACTCGCATCGGGATGTATGATGTATGTCCCTCCAAAATTGTGCAGCGAGTTATATCATTATCTACTACGAGCCCCTTGGATTATCTTCTCTCTAGTTTACTATTTCCCTTCCTGGGGTATGCCCACTTCCCTTAGTTGAAATATTTCCCCGTAATCTCCGAAACAAAGAAACAGGTCTTATACGAGGTGTTGCGAGACCTCTCTGGATACCATCACAACAACTGAAGAGCTAAAGTCATCGTGGATACGTGTAAATTCCCACAGTAGCCCCTCAACACGGAAAAATTTAAGCCTAATGGTGAGTCCAGCCTTTGAAGATCATATCCGGCTTTTCTTCCAGTGTTGGCTTACGATAGGTTATCCTTTCTACCTGTGGGTATGATATTGCTCTCCTCTCTACATGCGTGAGGTACGTTAGGCTAATCTAAGATAACACACCGATACTGTGCAATGTATGACACGATAGTGGCTCCCCACATATCCTCAAATGTTCCAGATCAGCATAGACTTTGTAGAATATATTACGCTGCGTCACAATGTTTGCTACGATCTTTGCAATACGATTGGAACTCTCGATGGACTACCACTTTTTGGAAACCACGTCAGTATACAGTAGCGTCATGCTATTCCCTAGACGTTCGCATGGGTTTGAAAAAAGTAATACAACAAGAAGACAGAGAAGCGAAAAATAAAATATGAAAAGAAAAGACAAGCAAAGAAAAAGAAAGAAACAAAAAAAGATGAATGGCGTGACAATCAGGCGTATCATAAAACGATACTTGGAGTTGGGCATAGGAGATGGATCTACGCGTTAGTGTTTCCTGCACATACGTACTGGTGTGCCTGCTCTCTTCCACTTGTCGCCAACTGGCGCAGCCGCTGATAAAACAACACGCCGTGTGGGAAATATTCAGTACTGGGAATAACGTCATTGTACTGCGACTGGTACACCTTTTTCCTCTATAAGTTAAACCCAATGACCTGGTCATTGGTTCTCGTGTATCCCACTACGATGCATAGACGGAGGAGGGTCATGTGTTGAATTGAAACCCTGATCTTGCTGTCCCCTCGTATTGTCGAAATTACAGTGTTGATTGCCAGCACTATGGACTTCACTCTGCCTATTAACGCAGCCCAAGGATTTCGGCTGATGCCACACGCGCACGCACACACACTCTTTTCTCTCCAACAGTTTGGTAGCGAGTCTGACATGGATAGACAGAGATTCGTAATTGACCGATCGTATGAGGGGATGCATAAGCAAGCGCGTGGCCCAGCCAAAACCCCACGACCAACAATCAGCTTGCAAGATGAACGGAGGATATCGATCGACTAATGTAGCTTTAGTAATTCGGTCGCCAAGTCGACTAAGTGACTAATTGACTAACCTTCACACTAGTCGGTTAGCCTAACTTCCCGGATCCAGCTTCAGTCCTCCCTCCCTCTCCCTCTTTGAAAGGAAAAGGATCCGGTGTAATCCCTGAATCTTGATGTCAAGTACAGAGTGATTTACAGGAATCAAGAAAGGAAACAATATCCTCTCCTCTTGACTCGCTTATCGTCCTCCCTCCGTCCCGTCTCTTCTGTCGGTCTTATCAACTAGTTACGGGCCTTATTGGCTGCATTCCCGAGCAACAGACGCAGGTGAGTCTAAACTCCCATATACCCCGCATCGCTCTTCTCTCTGTTCATCCTTTGTTCAAAAATAAGATAAGGGGATGGCTTTGTCACACGCGGAAACGGAAAGGCAGGAAGCGATCCATTCATTGATTACCGCAGCCCATCACTAGATCAACACTCCTGCACGTCGACCCCAAGGGTACCTTACCACCTTCTGGGTGGAAGTAGGAACAGAGAGATCCCATGCAGCCTACTTACGAGCTAATGGTAGTGAGCATCGTAATTAACCCTTCCACCCCGGATGCGCATATGACTCGCAGCACTTTCCCGCAAGCTGACTAGGTCCTTGTTCTCCATTGCGACTACTGCACTCATGGTTTCAAATCACAATATCATGTGTCCCTTGGCGCCAGGACGGTAGGATTCGACTTCATTTTTGCCGCGGCATCGCCGAACAATCGCATGGGTTCTCCGCCCTTGAAACCTGGCCCCATTGCTTCATCATGCATAAGGCCGGGGGTGGAGGGAGAAACTAAGCAATGGAGATGTGTGCCTTATGCTTTGATGGTGTTAAGACATACATACATACGTGTGCTCCATGCAACGTTCGATAGGGCGGCGCCCAAAAAGAAAATCTCCGATTTGCATGATTTCTGTCGCAACCTCTCACTATGATCCATGTCACCCCGCTACTCTAGTTAAAACGGCCCGAGTAGGCTTGTGAGAGGAGTAAAAATTTTTTAATTAACGATCGGATGACAATAGGTAGGATAGATCGAAAAAAAAAAAAAAAATTTAAAAAAAATTAAAACTAATCGTAATCAATAAACGGAAGACGGAAGAAAGGAATGGCCCTATGGAGCCAAGAGTGGAATCACACGCCATTGAATCCTGTGCTGTATGTTGTTAGCCTTAGGCTGTGAACTACAATAATGACAGTAGTTGTAATAATAACAACAATAATAATAGAGTAATAATAGAAATTCCGATCATATGTCTTAAATAGTTGATTAAACAATACTTTCTCATTTTTCGAATGGAAGATTAACCTCAAACACCGAATCCTTCCTAAGAATTGTCGGTGAGTAATTCCTGTAGGAGTGGCTATAGAGCAATTTTGACTTCTGATTCCTAGTTATATTGTTGATGGTATTATTACTATTATTATTGATTATTTATTTATTTTTTTGCAATTGTTTCCATTTTTCTTTTCTCACTCTTTTTCTCTGTGTCTTCTCAAATCTATAGGGCTCGGGAGGGGGCAATGAAGCTTTCACCGAACTTTTTCCTCTTATTTTTGGCCCCCTTGCAGCCACTGTCAATTGAACTGAGGCATTTGAGGCTCCAAATTGAGTCAGTCGGTCATGTGTTATATTTGCTCATGACTTAGTATTTTTTTCTCCTCTCTTTGAGTTCTCTTTAGGTCCCTCCGGCTCGCCCAGTTTTTTTATTGCTTGGATCAGTCATGACTCTCCTCGTAACCGGAAAAACTTTAATGGTTCAAATCTTTCAAAGATGGACAACAAATTACATACAGAAATTGCATTTCGTATGACACCCTGTCTTAAGCAAACCTACTAGCAATTGCGATGGACTCGGGCTGACATGGATTACCCCTTGGGAGTGGCTGTGTTCCATCTATTGATTAGTTCTTTTATGCAGGTAGCCTCGCTTCCATGCTGACAGTCTTATTGATTGATGGCTAGACTTGGTTTTTTTTTATTTATTTTTATTTTATTTTTATTTTTCCATTTCATTTATTTCTCACTCGTGGGTATTACACCCTGGTAGGGGCCTTTTGGAGATTGGCTTTTGATAGTGGCCGCTAGCTGTTCGTAAGAGTTCGTCGTGTGTTCTTCTGTTTTCGGTATTATTTTTCCTGGATATCTATCATGTCGTGGATATTTACACCGTGAGGACCTTGTGACAAATAGCATACTAGCTCAGGGTGGACAATAATTGTGTACTGTATACAACATTGGTGTATGTGATCTTGCCCCAATCCGATAAGCAATCCTAGTAACATGAATATCCTTGATATACCTGAACAGCTTCATTAAGCAATCAACCAGGATAACACGGTTATGTTCAATTACTCCGCATACAATAAGCTGTTCATGTCGACAGCGCCCAGTATACATGTAGCATAATATAGCCAAGGACCGTTTTATACAGCCCGATGAATTATAAGTTCTCTGAAAAGCGCCCTAGTAGCAGATTGCGTTTATGGTGCAATTGCTGACAGACTGACAGAGAACGATGTTATTCGGCATTTGGTTTCCCCCCTTATATCAAAGCTACCTTAATACCCATTATATCACTCAGACAGCCACCACCACCACCACCACTACTACTACTACTACTACTACTACTATTGCTACTACTAATCCTTTCTTGTTAGTTATAGGCAGGGGTATGGTTGTATGTGGCTTTTCTTAGTGTGAGCTGTATTCTTAGGCATCAGAGAACGTGGTGAGTTGAATGTCACAGTAGCAATGTTTGCTTCTTCTGTTTCAGGGTTGCGTGGGAGAGAAATTATTAGGCATAGCTGAGAATCCCTCGAATGACATGTACCCATGGAGACGGGGCCTTGATACTTTAGAGGATGTATCTATGTATGTAGAAGTGATCTAGCTCTTTCAGTTTGCAGGTGCATATAGGACAATCTGCAGACAGGGATAACATTAATTAGTGCACATGGAAGCTTGTAAAGACTGCTATAATCTTGATGAATCCTATTCCAAAAATGTTCTCTGAAGGTTATCATATCTATGGTTCGGCGCCTCTATTAGTAGGAGGCGCCCTGTTCAACAATGAAAGGAAGCTTATTACTGCTATTGTGATCATTTTTATATATCCATATCCCTCAGATCACCCAGTGCATTTTCAGGGGCAAGAATGGCTAGGATATAACTCCTTTTGCTCTACTTGTACTTTTGCTTCATGATGTTTCCACCCTTTTCATAACCAGGGGGTTTGTCTGTCTGGGGTATCCTAAGCTGCTAGTAACTAGCTGTTATCTGATTGACTTATAGGCCAGGGATCCATGCTACAATAGGGCAATTATATACATCATGTGCCGTCAGCCAGACTGACAACATCAAATTGTCTGATTCAGCAGAGCCATTATTTGAATATTCTGTATAGGACTCGCCTACGTAGAGCCGGTCACTTTTTGTGGCCTAGTGGTAATAATTTGATCAACAGTGTCGAGTGCTAAAATTTATATACTCGGGAAAGAACATACCTTTTCTATCAATTTTTACTTGATAAAAATGACCGTCCCTTTGAAGTTATTAAACTACAGAAGCCAATAAGATTGGTGTAGTAGCAATGTTTCTCGCTTCGGGCTGACTTATCAGCGCTATCGTCCAGAGGCCCCGCGTACTACAATGGGTTGTGTAGACCACTTGATTTCTACTCGGTCTTTATTCCAAATATCCTCACTTCAACGGAAGGAGAAATCTCTCCATCGCTGTATCTTCCTGTCAGTATGTGTTAGGTATATCCCTTACTACAGAGCTACAATGGCACTTGTCGTGTTTGATCGGTACAGTGAAATATACGGTGAATGAAGCCTATTCAGCACAGGACTATAAAGGACTACCGTTGGTTAGCTCTGGTATCGAGACACCAGAAGATTTACCAAACCATGCTCGAGACAGCAATCCCAAGGTCTTTTCGGTCATTACGATGTAGGCTTTGGGAGTATTTCCAACTTATTTGGTTACTGACAGAATTACGGGGCGGGTAGGCATCTTCCGGGCTGAGCTCGGCCTGAATATTGCATTACTTGGCTCGACTGAAAATATAATTGTGTGTCCTGATCCTGTTGAATGCAAGCTAATCTTATCACCACATGACTCACAAATACTGAACTTTCTGTCGGGGTTGTCTCCTCTCTGTGTTTCCCACTACATTCGAGATTCTCTAAGACCAACTGAGTAATGGATATATCCATTGTTCCCGGGGTTATATCTTCTTCGGACCACCAGATCCAAGCCTGGCCGCATTTTTGAACAAGAACTAGGGGACATGGCCGGAGTATCCGACAATGGAAACAAAATGGGTTCGTTTTTTCTTGAGTGGATGAAGTTCTGACATAACGTCGCGAGTTAGGAATACTCTGGGGGTTTCCGGAAGGTGGTTTTTGATGAAACGAATTCGTCGATATATGGATTCCGAAGATGCGTTTGATACGCCCGCGATGGTTTTCAGATTTACTTCGACGAGAGCCCGAGATCCTACACAGATAGTAAACAACTGAAGACCGTTATGTTGTTTTAGCATGAGAAGCCCACCGTTGAGAGCAATCTCAAAGGAAAATAATATACTAGGGGAATTATCCAAATGGATATTCTCCGGAGGCTCTCCCAAGGGCAAGCGGACCATGAGAGCTGGTTTATCGAGTTTTCTGCAACATGAACCACCCCATTTGATGAACACGTTCGGACTGACATAGGTCCGTTGAGTGATTTTATTGGCGAGTATATTGGTATTATGGACGAACAAGGATATTAAGAAGTGCTATAACTGGTCAAAGCAAAAGAAACAGATATGCCCGCTGAGTGTAGTTCATCCGAGGAAGCCGAAACACCCAAGACTGGGGTGGTGCGAATCCTAGCAGGCTCTCGAATATCATTCCGATCACCGATAACAATGAAGGAGGGTGGGGGAAATTGTTTCCCTAGCCACTTCCCAAACCATGGCCCTCTATGTCGACCAAAGCATCTCCTTCAACGGAAAACCCGGAAAGGGTTGAAAGATGGCGATATTAGACGGCCATCGGGGGAATTGGAAAGCATCTGAGAAATCTGGTGGTATTGGTCATACAATCATGATATTCGCCGAGTATCCAGACTGTCGGGTTCGAGAACAATGACCCTGACTCGTGTTTTTCGTTCCAAAGGGAGACTTCTATCTCCATTTCCCCGCTCGGAGAGTCTTCAGACAAGGATGATTTTATCCCCGACAAAGAAACTGCTGCCTGACGGCCCAACGATTTGCTGGATGAGAAGAATTACACGTGTCATCGATGTGAAGTCACAACAATGGAAACTATGGACAACTATAGATGGGTATGTAATCGTGGGTTAATAATATGTTAAGGGGAAAGGACTGACTAATCTGAGGTCACGGAGACTTTCCTTTGTTTCATTTCATTCGGCCGGACTAACGATGCCGAATGAACATTCCTCGGACAGTATTTTACACTCTCATCGGACCTATCAAGTACGCCACATGGTGTATATAAAGCCCCGGAATGTCTTCCACTCTCCCAGCTCATCATCGCAATTCTCAATTAAATCATAATTACCCATCACTAGATACATAAACATCTTTTTCCTTTCCATTCTTTACGCGCTGTCACAAATACAATCTAAGAAAAAATGCCTTCTGAAATCCTGCGACCAGCGCTCAATGCGGAGCTAGCCCATGTGCATCAGGCTATGCCAAAAATCGACATGGGCTCCAAGGATCAAGTCGACGCCTATCGCCAATTTTTGAACTCAATATTCTCCTTGGAGAACGCCGTCCGAGGCAAAGAGAATGTGCTCGCCTACGAAGAGCGGGACATTCCCGGACCAGCCGGTCCGATGAGGACCACCATCTTTCGTCCCAAGAACCCGACTAGGTCGGTAGAGGAGACCCCCGGATTCTTCTGCATGCACGGTGGCGGCTTGGTCTCCGGCAATCGCTTCGTGGGAGTCAGCAACCTTTTAGATTGGGTCGAGACCCTCGGTGCTACCCTGGTGACCGCCGAATACCGTCTCGCTCCCGAGCATCCCCAGCCCGCAGCGCTGGAAGACAGCTACGCAGCGCTCCAGTGGATGAGCGAAAACTCGACTGAGCTCGGCTTTAACCCGCGCAAGCTAATTGTTGCTGGTGGTTCAGCTGGGGGCAATCTTGCAGCAGGAGTGACCCTACTAGCCCGCGACCGTTCTGGCCCTGGACTCCTCGCACAAGTGCTGATGTATCCCTTACTCGACGATAGTAACCAGGGGCTTTCCGTTGAACAGTTCGGCGACATTGCTCCATGGATGGCTTCGAACACGGTCGATGCCCAGAGGTACGCGCTCGGTGAGAATCACGAGAATGCCGATATGTACACTATTCCTTTACGCGCCAAGAGTCTCCATGGACTGCCGCCAACATTCATCGACGTCGGCGAGGCGGACCCACTACGTGATCAAGATGTGGCATATGCTTTGAACCTGTGGAAGGCCGGTGTATCCGCCGAGTTACACGTATGGCCCGGTGGCTGGCATGGCTTCGATGCATTCGTGCCAGAGGCGCCTATTAGCCAACGGGCGAGTGCTACTCGCCTGGAATGGCTCAGGAAATTGCTTGAAAGCTCTTAAGGTGGCAATTGAGGTGTAATATGGCGTTACGGTAGTGGTAAGGTTTTTCTTACTCTTGATTGAACTACATGGGTCCGGATGTAAATACCCATTCTTTCCTGCATTTATCCTACTTTAATAGTAGTATAGTGTAATATACCTTGTTATGGGAAGCTTTAATATACCAATTCAGCATAATCCTTGTTTGAAGCTACCGTACAGTTTTTGACTTTCCTTTTCTCGCGCTTCACTTTTGCTCACTGAGCTCAGAATGTCGGCTATGAACGCTCTAGACGTTCAGCTTAGCACCCATCCGAGAGACATCAGGAGATATGTGGTGCTTCAAGAACAACCGGAAGATGAAGGTCATCCATACCTATGTACCCTGTAGTCTTCTTGAAGCCAACGATTCCAGGTGAATCAGTTGTTTTCACAGACGCTTCGCTCTCACAACGCAGGATCCTCACAGCCACCGACTTCCCACTCCAGTATGCCCCAGTCAGCATACCTAGCGCAAAAAAACGGTGCTGTATGCTCGCCTGCAATCCAGATACGCCTTTCCGGCATTCCATGTCTTAACGCACGGATATCATCCTCTAGATTGGCTATCTCTCCATCCGTTGGTAGGTGGCTTGTCTGGAAATTCATGTAGGAGCCATAGCCAGCGAGCTTGTTGTTGCCAAATTCGTAGCGAGGACAGCCCTGGGCTGACAACAAGAGTTGTCTAGCCCGTAGACTGGAAGTAGATTGTAATACGGACGGAAAAAGCCATCGATGACTCGGAAGTACTCTTGAGATATGCGACACAACTTTGCAGTAGTGGATGTTATGTACGCGGCACAGGGTCCGTAGATAGTAAATAGGAGGGTTGGCTAGGCTCCACAGCCGAAGCCAGGTGACGAGAGAGCAATAAGCTCTATATGCCAGTGTTCTGGGTTCTCGTTGCAGTAGTTGGGGTAAAGGAAATGCGTAAACGACATGAAAGAGGCTTCTTCAACGGCCTTCTGATATGAAGACCTTTCCCAGAAGGCGGACGGAAATGTGATGAACACCTTCCCAAACTGCTATAGCTCGCTGTACCGATAGCTCCGCATAGTTGTGGTGTGAGGGGAGGGGAAAAAGCCCGGGCATTGATGTTTCGATACACCTAAGGAATGGTCACAACTACGCTATCAAAGCTGAATGTGCGATTGTTCTCGGCCTTCAAAAGGACGCCAGGGCTATTGTCTGTGCTGATGTTCTCAATGCTGACCACTTTCGTCTTGGTGATGATTTTAGCGTGTTCTAGGGTACTCTTTGCAAGCGCATGGAGAATGTTCGTGTGAAAACTAGCCACAGCCAAATTATCTATTTCAAGTCAGTTGGCCCTATATAGTTCATGTTTGAGGGACCAGGTGTGTAGGTCTACTCGCCTCCATCCAAACGTTCCTCTAGCTAGAAATACTTTAAGCTTTGTTTATTCAAGGGATCGCTGATGAATCCACCCCACATTTCTGTAATCTGCAGAATAAGGACCTGGTCTTCGAGAGATAGGTCCTCCTCACGAGCCTGCTCGATAACGCAGTTCTTAAGGTATCATGTTCATTGTTATACTTAGACGCATCGGAGATGATATCCCAGAAAATGTTTAACAGATCTGTACCTTTGTCGTTGTTGAGTACCTGACCGTTGCTATCGAAAATGCGCGGGTACTCTTGGATTCGAAGTGGGGACAGTGTCTGTTTTCTTTGCCAATTCCGAGATAGGGTTGGTCAAAGTCGCATGAACCCAGATTGGGCCCCTGTTCCATACAAAATTGTCAATCGAGACCGAGCATATGCTGGTAGATGCTCATAAGTCAACCATGTGTCCAAGGAAGTCGACTTGATGGACCTACAATGGACTATTAGCTAGACTCAATAGCTTTTGCTTGGGATCTTACTCGTCCACCAATTCGATCTCGAGCCTCAAGGATGGTAACCTGAACCCGCACCCAATCAGGACTTCTACACACCTAAGCCCTGAAAAGCCGGCACCTATGGCCCCCACATGGAAGTCCTTGTTTATAGAACCCGCATTATCTTTGAGGATGGGCACTTTCTGGGAATCCAAGAGAAGGTACTTGAAGCATTCAGCAAAGTCCTGGTCCATCCGTGATACTTTACCTGGCGCTGTATAACTATCCCGAGTATAGGTTTTAGCTTCCATATCCTACTTCTTGTGTCTGGGAATTGAATTTATTGAGGAAGTATCCTTATCAGTATTGACCAGGCTTCGTGAGCGGGGTAATGATTTAGACATGCTCTGATACTTAGCAGGGGACTGGCAGCACATTTGAATCCACTAAAAGAGTGGCCGTTTTAGCTATCTGTGCCAGTATATAAACTGTGGCGGCGCCAGCAAAAGAAGTCGGCCAATTACACACTCTAGTCTAATGACTTTGTGGCACAGAGTAATCAGTCTCATCTATTACCGTTTTCTGGTACTCTTTAAATGGGAGAGTATGTGACCGTATGATCTGGAGAAGAACATGACCTAAGCCCTAAGCTAGTAATGAAAGAGATTATAATATCGCCCAACCATAGCGTTGCACTGACATACAGTACTCCATTCTAAAATTTAGTATCATTTGTCTCTCATGTAGATTTATCGAGTTACGTGAATATATACCAGCTTGTGGCGGCCGAACAAAGTAACCGGTCATAACCATTTAGTCTCGCCTATGTATAGCTTCATCACTTTGTATATAGATCATATTTCTTCAACAACAATGAGTGTATAGCAGATATAATGCCCCTTCTAACCATTCTCAATATATCCCACTTGTTCTACAGACTAGGTGTCATGATTTAGGGTATTTTTATCATCGAGAAATTTCTGAGCATCCATTTGCCATTCGGGAGAGTTTCAGGGTCTGGAAACATACTAATACGGCATACAATTTAACGCACCTCCTTAGTAATATCAATATGAGAATTGTCATTTCCTCTCTTATCTCATTCAAGCGAGTCTGGTATACTGTCCTCCTCGGCTATACTATAGTTGATGTCTTTGTCAGGAAGCAATCCAATCTTCTCAGACGCACAACATCACGACTAGATGCGGTTGTTCAATCCATTCTATGCATCTAAGAAGTCTACGGGCTTAGTTGGACTGACTATATGTTTGGTTGAACCCCCATCCCTAACTGAATAGTAGTTTATTTGTCAGCATTGCTGTAACTATTTACCTCCGCCACCTCATGTGTACTACCTTGGCAATTTCTCTTGTGTACTACGGTGCTTTATATCTACTCTTATTTTGTATCTTGTCTTTATTTGTCACGAACGGATTTCCTCTACCCCAACCCCGTGCTCAAATTGGTTTAGCTGCCCTGACGATGGGTGATATCTTTCATCCGACGGTCAAAGGTACTGGAGGGTCAATCTCCACCTCCTCAGTTTAGCATTTTCCTGTCTTCTATGCAATCAAGAAGAACAAATGCACCTTAGCTAGATCATATGAATTTAATGCCAGGTTTTCTACTCAATGTGGAATAGGTGGGTTGTTTACCGAGATCTCGGACTTGTGGCCAGGCTAGGTAATGATCCTCGAGGTCGACGAGGTTCTTCACCACGAGAAATCCAAGAAGCATGATATTCTACTTTTCAAGGCAACTAAATATGGCACTGTTAAGTTGTTGACAATGACATTTACTGCACAGAGTACGATGAGTTTTGTATGTATATTTTTAATAATACCTTGTATATTTCCTGCCCACAGCCTCAAGAGTGATATTGATAACGAGTCAGTCACCATGAAATGATCACCCACTTAGCAATGATCTTTCACCCAACCCCAAGAAGGTCTTTTCCATTGGAGGCTGAGATGGCGGTGTCCTACGGGAAGCCGTCAAGCATGCGTCGGTAGAAGAAGTCACTATTTGCGAGAATGATGAGGTAGGGCTTGATTCCCCAATGCATCTTTTATCTGTACTCTACAAATTCGCATACGATGACTCTCCCTTGGCAATAGAATCCTCCCATAGGCCATCATACGCGTCTCCATAAAGTACCGCCCAGATATGAGCGTTGCTCTCAACCACGTTGCTGCCAAGATGCACATAGGCGATGAAATCGAGTTCCCGGCAGACAACCAGTTTGACATCATCACCGCAGACAGTCTCGACTCTGTAGGATATTCAAAGAGGGTGGTCCAGAAGTCCTACTTTGAGGTTCTTAATGGAGCCCTTGTGGGGAGGGAATTCTGGCTGTGCAAAGTTGATTTGTACGTCTTACAATCCTGATCAACAATTCCTCTAGAGGCCGACCATGCCAACTGTTGTCCCAATCACCCTACGGGGTCCGGGGGTATTGAAACAGCCAAAAGCAAATGGCTTCACCTCCCAGTGATTACAGAATTCAGGATCATATGCAAAGACATTTCCCCCGTTGTTGAGTATGCCTACATGCCCATCTCTACTTACCCTTCGGGCCAAACTGGCTTCCTCATTTGCTCGAATAATCCAAACCATGATGTCAAGCGACCACTTCGTTGTTGGGCGCGAGAGGAAGAGGAACGTCTGTGCCGTTACTATAATTGAGAAGTGCACTGAGCCAGCTTTGTCCTGCCTAACTTCGCGCGGAGGGCTTTGGCTTAGCACTAATCAACTGATAGGATATAGGATGCTGGGAGGACATGAGACGTAAGAAGCTAACGGATAATTCAATACGGTTGATAGGTTCTTGCTTTCTTTTCTATATGTTTATTGTATGTGAGAAACAGGTGGATTGATGATGCACATTTAAATGATACATCAACCTTATGTGAAGATTACTTCTAAAAAAGGATTAGGGGTTCGGAAGGCACTTAAGGTTCTCCGGCTAATCCCGTCCAGGCCTAGTAGCACCCAGAAACAGGTTAAGTTATCGATCCTTCAACTTGATGTTGATTCCCGAAGTCTCCCAGCTCCAGCTCCCACATCAACCAGGACATAATGTTCGGCCATGGAACAGATGAGGATCTCCAAGACAAGGTGTATATCCTTGTCACCGGTGCAAACAGGTATCGTACTCCTTCCTCACCGTTATCGCCTCCTCCCGCACCTATCAGCCCCTATTAGCCCCTATTAACTCCGGCGCCTAACTCTGTCTCCAGTGGTCTCGGATTCTCGATATGCTGCCGTCTAGTGGACGAATTCCTAAGCTCCCCCCAGCGCGCAAACCAGTCCCTAACCGTCATCTTCACCACCCGAAGTCCCAAAAAGGGAAATGACACCCGCCGTCGCCTGCAAGATCATCTCCGCAGCACCTCCGCAACACCCTCCCCCACCACAAGGGTAACCTTCGTCTCGGAGAGCGTAGACCTTAACAACCTCGTCTCTGTCCGTGCCCTCTCTCAACGCCTGAATGAAGAATACCCCAAACTCGACGCCATCGTGCTCAACGCCGGTATCGGCGGTTGGACAACCCTGAACTGGCCGAAGGCAGTCTGGGGCGTCCTCACAGACATCGTCCACGAAGTCACCTGGCCCTCATACAAGATCGCCCCCGTCGGCATGGTAACAGACTATCAGACGACGACGCTCGCCGACCAAGAGCCCCGCCTGGGCTCCGTCTTCTGCGCGAACGTCTTCGGCCACTACATGCTAGCGCACAATGTGATGCCACTGCTCCGCCGGTCGGGCCAGCCTAACGGCCCCGGCCGCATCATCTGGGTATCAAGTATAGAGGCGACGGTGAAGTTGTTCGATATCGAGGACCTCCAGGGCCTGCGGACGAAGGCGCCCTACGAGTCGTCCAAGGCGTTGACTGATCTCTTAGCCTTGACGGCTGACCTTCCCAGCACCGCACCGTTCGTGAAGAGCTTCTACTCAGTGGATGATAATCGCACCAAGAGTGGGTTTGGTCGGCCTCGCGTCGCGAATGACGAGTTCTCCGCCCCCAAGATGTACCTCTCTCACCCTGGAATCTGTGGCACAGGTATCATTCCGCTTTCTTGGCCGCTCTTTTACTCAATGATTGTTGCTTTCTTCTTTGCTCGGTTGCTGGGTTCCCCTTGGCACTCTGTCTCGACTTACCTTGGTGCCTGTGCGCCCGTGTGGCTGGCGTTGTCCGCTCAGTCTATCCTGGATACGGCTGAATCGGCGTACCGGCAGTATGGCGGTGGCAGGGTGAAATGGGGCTCTTCCTGCAACTGGCGTGGAAAGGATAGCCCGTTATCTACTGAAGTTGATGGGTGGGGGCATGCTGGTGTTGTTGGTCCTGCTGTTGTGGGTGAGGATCGGTGGCGTCGGCGCAAAAGAGGCGCGGTGGATCTCACGGCGGAAGACAAGGTGGAGTTTGAAGAGCTAGGGAGAAAGTGCTGGCAAAAGATGGAGGAGTTACGAATCGAATGGGATAAACTTCTTGATTTGGCTGAGGTACGGCCAGATGATTTTGGTCTGGGATTCTAGTTCGGATATGAGTCTCAGGTTGTTTATACTAGTCTACAAATAATCGATACCATGTCACTTTTCGGTTGTATAATTTCTAATCTAAGCGGCATATAGATCATTCGCGGTTTACCAAAAAGAAGCACAAACTGCAGGTTAATTTTCCCCCCTGATTCTGCCTCCCATATTTACATTCCTTTAACCCCGTGTCCACATACATCATTAGAAGAGTATTAACCCATTTGCCCAACAATCCACGAGGGGGCAGACACAGTGCAACGAAGAAAGCACGAACGTGTTCGCAAGACTGAAGAAACAAACATTGGATGGGTTCAAAACAATGTCAGCAAAGAAAGAAAATAAGAGTGAAAGAGAAAATATGGCGCAAGGCAGTCGACTGATCGGCAGTAACACATAATAAAGGGAACATAAGAAGCATGATTACTAAAGCTGTAGAAAGCGGTAACCGAGCCAGGAGCTTTCGCCATCAAGGCATTCAGCGTGCAGACACGGTAGAGTAGGATAAGAAAATGGAATAAAAGACTTTATGCAAGAAGGGGGAAGGTAAATCGAAAGGTGTCAGGGCCGCCACGTATTCCAAAAATTGGTCCTGCTTGTGACCGAAAAAAAAAAATCAGGCAGGCCCACGGCTGCTTGTAATCGACTGAAGTATAAACAAACCGACTCCGGTTCTATGCATCTGGCGGCTTCGAGGTATAGGCGACTGAGAGTAGAGTATTGGAGGACATGTCGACGTGAGAAGAAGGGATTTCACATGATGATAGCGGGGACTAAAATAGAGCGATTAGAGTGGTTATGTGTTGAGAGGGCGAGGCGATCACTTACCATCAACGTTCTGCTTGATGCTCTTATGAGGAAGGATAGAGCCGCCATTGACATAGACTTCATCTGCGATAGTGACATCGTCACCCAGCACGGTAACATTCTCCAAACGAGCCCATCTGCCTACGGAGCTGTTCCATCCGACAATGGTCGACTTAACCCAGGCATGGTCCTTGACCTTGCTGTTCTCCAGCAGCACGCAACGCTGCAAGCGAACTCCATCACCGACCACAACGTTAGGACCAATCACTACATTGGGACCAATACGGCAGTTCTTGCCGATCTTAGCGGAGGGGTCAACCATGACATTGCCACCGTACACGTAAGGTTCGGAGTTGGGTGCAAGCAGTTTAGAATTGCGCTTGGCGAGTGAGGTGAGGTATAAGCAGGTGCCGCTAAGGAAGTCCTTGGGCTGGCCAACGTCCATCCAGAAGCCCTCCAAGTCAAAGGAGTGCAGTTGTCCATCCTTACAGATAGCGGGGAAGGTTTCCTGCTCGATGGAGGTGGGGCGCAACTCAATGCGATTCAACACGCTAGGATTCAGGATGTAGATACCGGCGTTAATACGGTTACCGACGAATTCAACAGGTTTCTCGACAAAGCGGTCGATGCGCGAGGGGTGGTTGGGCTTGTGAACAACGACACCGTACTTGGAGGGCTCGTCGACCTTGGTGACAACAATGGTACCCTCGTTACCATGGTTCTTGTGGAACTCAGCGAGCTGCTTGAAAGGAAAATCACAGATGATATCGGAGTTCAGAACGAAAAATGGAGAGTCGTCCTTGCCCAAGATCTTCTCCGCCAGCTTCAGGGGTCCGGCAGTGCCCAGCGGTTCAGACTCGACAGAGAACTCAATTTTGACATTGTATTGTTCCTCATACTGTTCGAGGTGGATATAAGCATGGGCGAGTGGAATAGTTTTGCGGGCGATAGGCTAACCTTCTTGAGGGCTGAAACCATAACATCCGGGCGGTAGTTGACAGCTAGGACAATATCCGTGACACCAGCAGCAGCTAAGCTTTCAACTTGGTGCAGGATCATGGGCCGGTTCCCAAATTCCACCAGGGGCTTGGGAAGGGTCAGGGTCTAGTTGAGCAGATCGACATGTCAGTATTACGGCATGTTCGACGTCACGATCGTCGGCGGGGGAGGTCACTCACCAAAGGACGGAGACGGGTACCAAACCCTCCGACAAGAATGAGAGCTGCGATGGGGTTAAGTTAGCTAGGAAGGGGTGGAGCATTGGTATCGCGAGAAGCACATACCCTTCATGATTACTGTGGAACGGAGTTAAACAAAGGGGAAACGTTAATGTGGTATATCGTAGGATGCGGCGGCGACGGCTGTTTTGAACGAGTGACCGAGGGATAAGGGGTGGGAGAAAGCGAAAGGAGGGGAAAAGAAATGTAAAATGGGATACCCGCACAAGAGAAAGAACGATGGAATAATCTGGAGATGGGCACTAAGATCAATCGGTCGAGAGGACGGCCGTTGACAGATCGAACGATGTCAACCAGGAGAAAGGAAAGGAGAAGGAGGAGGAGAGGAAAATAAAGATTAATTATACCAAAGTAGTGAGAGTGAGAGAGAACGAACACCTGGCGGTTGGATGTATGTATGGAGGATGTACCTGTATCAGAGCCATCAAGGTTAAAGGGGTGCTGGAGGCGGTATGGTAAGGTATCAGGTACCACCGAAAGATGCACGTTTGCAGCCAGCGCCACAATGCACCTTCGGTCGACGAATTACAGTACAGTACTGCCCCTGGGTCTAGATGGATCAGGTGCTTCGTGGGGCCATTTCACCCCCTAAATTTAAGTCAATCCTGTAAGGAGCAAAGTACTGACACAACATAATCAAAAAGGAGAAATTAGAGGTTGGACGATGGCATTGGATTGGTAAAAGGTTACATTATACCTGAGGACATTGGTATTTCGTCTTCGAGAGCATTGAAATGAATTTATGAGGTTGAACATATCTGCATACGTACGCCGTATGCATATGCCGAATTAACTTTAATAACTTTCTTCCATGATCACCTGGCCTTGTATTCTATGTCAGGGATCCCGTCCCTGAATCTCCTGATCAATTCTCCAAACTCTTCCAAATCCAGTTGCGACCTTTTTGTAACCTTACCTGAAGGTATGTCAAAAAGGGTACTCCATAAATTGTTCTAATTATAACCTTGACGAATCCTCTTGCGTATCTGGGGGTAAAGTTGGTCCACGTTTCGTGGGCTTCCTTGCATCACCGCCTGCCGGATCCGTCACGAAACGTTTGATCCACTCGCGCACCTTGCTCACCTTCTCTCGTACTAGTTCATCGTTCTTGGCTGTGGCATCCTCCGTGTTCATCAGACTCCTCACGCTGTACATACCACATGTGTCTGTTACGTCGACCCGCCGTCGATGGAGCAGATCGATCTTGGTGATCCCTTTTCCGAGACTTTGCCCGTAAACCCGTTCTCGGAAGGAGCTTAATCCTACCATACGCAATAGAACAATGTCTCGCGGCCGCAATGTCTTCAGTGTCTTTCTAAGTTCATAGCTCTCGTCATGGTGGCCTGTGGCAATCCTTTGATCCACGAGGGGAAGCCAAAATGTAACTCCGAACCCGCTGCTTGTGTCATCTCCCACCACCATGTCGACAAGGTCCAGCTCGTTCTTCCATCGCCGCGTCACAATGCGACGCGGCGGTCGGACCGTAACAATTCCGACGATGAGATTCACGGTCATGGTTTGTGGCACGATAGAATTCAGGTATGCAACACTTGGGATGTCCTGAAGATCAGTGATACCCCCCTGGATGGGTAGTCCCAACCTCGGGTTTTCTTCTGTGGCTGTTGCGACAGAAGTCCCTGTGCTGTCGGTCCATGATTCGCTCTCCCTCATGGCATCCCCAATATGCGCGCCTGGGGTAGAGATCTCGGATGTCTCATGAACGGTGAAAGAATGGTCGTAGAATTCGGAGAGTGTTGAATCTTCCGGGGCAATCGATAAGCCGCTGGCCATCATAAGGTTTTGAGTAGTCAAGAAACGAGCGCCCCTATCTATTCCCAATACGGAACTCTCATCAGATATATCAGGAGGCCATCTTCCATCTTGTAATAGCCTCCATTTCACAACGTTGGTATCCGCGAATGTTTGATAATCTCCATCGTGAGCATCCGAATTATGGAATGGAGAAACGGGCGCCGTAAGAAGCTCTTCTTCGTCCCAATTGAGGCTTCGTAAAGTGGGGGCTCCCGTAAGGAAAATGATCTTTCTGGACATTTTCGTAGGTAGTTAACAAGATATGGCCATCAAGCACGGTGTGCTTTATCGGGCAAGCTTCAAAATCCCTTCTCTCGCCAGACGGAACTGTACTCTAGCTGTTGAATGACGGGAACATTGAGGATCTGACACTAATGTATATGATGGGGCGATAGATATATAATACAACTTAGGTGAGAACGATGACGAGGACGGTCTATGGTGTCCAGTGGTTCAGAAGGGACCAATCTGAACCATGGATTGCGGTCTAACAGACCTTCATGATTTTACGATACTGTGACACGGATATCTCTGAACAACACTTGGCCCAAAATGGGGATTTTTGTGACGCTTTGAAGGCAAGATAAAGAACATAATACCATGGTTGCCTGTATAAGTTACTGTTTGTTGCCATGTGACGCAAGAGTCGCTCTATAGGATCGCGTTGGTGCTTTAACTCATACTGATATCACGTGACTAGATACGCTACGGCGACGGATTGCAGCCGGTGTGGCAACGTTCCGCCAGACGAATTTCGCCGCCGCATCCACCGATTAGAGTGTTCCATCATTGTTATTCATCCATCCTACGCTCTCCTTTTAGCCATCATTTACTCCTGATTCAGTCAGTGATGGCATTTGTGGTGACGAAAAGATAATCGATCTCGCCTATCCTTTGTTCTCTTATATATCTCCGAGGGGTAGATCTTGCTCCGCGGCCCTGCGCCGCGCCTTCGGTCAACCATGGCCTTTCAAGTTCCGATTTTTAAGCCTGTAAGCACCACCTATCCGCGTGCTTGTAGCAATCGTTGTTCTAACTCTTCGATTGCCAACCAGAATATTACGGCCGTGACATCGGATATCTGGCCTTCGATGTCAAAGTTTCTCAGTGCGCCTCGGAAGAATGTCGAACGCAGCCCTGCTACCTCCGGTCCCACCGCCTCCCAGAGTCTCTCTCAGCGCACGGTTGGGGAAGTGAGTTCATATTCAACGCCATGCCTTTTAAGGCTCGGCTTATGATGATGGTGGATGGAATTCACTGACGACACTATAGGGATCAAACCATGTCTCACTGCCAGAGTTCCTGGACACGGTTCCCTCCGAAGCTCTGAGACCAGGTATTCGTAACAAGCCCATGCAACATGGCTGGTCACGTTCTTTTACCAGAGGTAATACTCATTCTACCCTACGACACTTCTGTCAACTCCTTCTAACATGCTAGTATTTTTCTGTTAGAAACTACTCTCTGGCCTGCGCCCTCTCTTGTTTCCCGTCAGCCTATATCGCCGTCGATGCGCCCCTACTCCACGTTAACGACCTCTTTGGACCATCTCCGCCATGTCCCTAGAGTTGTCGGACTGTCTAGGTTGCAGCAACAGCGTTTCATATTCGGAGGTCCATCCCACAGTCTGCTAGCGCAAAAGGAGAAAACTGCGAACAACAACCCCAACAGTGCGAACGCTCAAAATGCTTTTTACCAAGCCCTTCTTCGAGCAAATATGCCAGCGATTGTTGTTGAACGGTATAAAAGTGGTCATTTTGCTACCAATACTCTTACGGAAGCCATCTATTTCAAGGCCTTACAACGTGTCGGAGCTGATGCTACAGTGTCGGCCCCTGCCTCTAATTCGACTCCCCATCCCGAGCAACTCCAGGCTATTGGACAGGCTCTTGCAGCTCAAAGCCACGGGGGTAATGTTGGTGTGTCGACAAAGCAACACGGCACGGGCGCCAAAGAGGCTCCTTTGTATGTCGTGGTGGAGGAGTCGCTAGGCTCCACCGTGTTCCGATGGGTCAAGTTCCTGCTATACTTTGGCTTTTTCACGTACATGTCTCTCGTTTTGGTTACTATCCTTGTGGAAACTACTGGTGTTTTGAAGAACATTAGGGGTCCTCAGAGCAACGAAGCCCAGCCTCAGCAACAGACCGTCCGGTTCACAGATGTGCACGGATGCGACGAAGCCAAGGAAGAGCTCCAGGAGCTTGTTGAATTTCTGCTGAACCCCGAACGGTTTTCCTCTCTTGGTGGTAAGTTGCCTAAAGGCGTCCTTCTTGTTGGACCCCCCGGTACTGGAAAGACGCTGCTGGCTCGTGCTGTAGCAGGAGAGGCTGGTGTGCCTTTCTTCTACATGTCCGGTTCTGAGTTTGACGAGGTGTACGTTGGTGTCGGTGCCAAGCGCGTCCGTGAACTGTTCACTCAAGCACGGAGCAAGGCACCCGCCATCATCTTCATTGATGAGCTGGATGCTATAGGCGCGAAGAGGAATGAAAGGGACGCGGCTTATGTGAAACAAACGCTGAACCAACTGCTTACGGAACTCGACGGATTCTCGCAGACCAGTGGGGTGATCATCATCGCGGCAACAAACTACCCTCAGCTGCTAGACAAGGCTTTGACTCGGCCCGGTCGATTTGACCGACGGGTAGTTGTCGATCTTCCTGATGTGCGCGGTCGCATGGATATTCTCAGACACCACATGAAGGAGGTGCAGATCAGCACAGATGTTGATGTTGCAGTCATCGCGCGCGGTACACCTGGTTTCTCTGGCGCCGACTTGGAGAATCTTGTTAACCAGGCTGCCATCTTTGCAAGCAGAAACAAGCAGAGCAAGGTTGGCCCGAGGGACTTCGATTGGGCCAAAGACAAGATCATGATGGGTGCAGAAGCTCGCAGCCGGGTTATTCAAGACAAGGACAAGCTTCTTACAGCGTACCACGAGGCTGGCCACGCTTTGGTTGCCTACTTTTCACCTTCTTCTACACCACTGTACAAAATTACCATCGTCCCTCGCGGCATGGCTCTGGGCGTGACCCATTTCTTGCCCGAGATGGATACGGTCTCTAGGAATTACACTGAATACCTATCTGATATCGATGTTTCCATGGGGGGTAAGGCTGCAGAAGAGCTTATCTTCGGTCCCGACAAGGTGACTAGCGGCATCTCAGCGGTAAGTTTTGGCTGTCAGGATCATTGCTTGCCACCCTTCGCTAATCACCTGCAGGATATCCAACAAGCCACAGAGACGGCCTTTACTCTGATAACCCGATTCGGATACTCCAAGAAACTCGGAAATGTCGATCTCTCCACCAACTACGACAGCTTGTCTTCCGAGACTAAGCAGGAAATCGAATCTGAAGTTCGACGCCTTGTCGAAGAGGCCCGAACGCGCGCTACAAATATTCTGACTGAAAAGCGCCATGAGCTGGAATTGCTGACCAAGGCGTTGATCGAGTACGAAACACTGACCAAGGAGGAGATGGAGAAGGTGTTGAGAGGCGAGAAACTAGAGAAGTTAGAATCGAAAATATCGGCGCCACTTAAATTGCCCGAATCCCTACAGACGGCCAAATTGAATCCATCCACCTCGTCCGAAGGGCCGCCAACGTCGACTGCTTCAAATGTCAACTAACCGCTTCAATTCATCATCTTTCTGGTTTATAGGAAATGCTCGTCTTTTGATTCGTTCCAGTCTATAACTCCCCTCTGTTTGTTGATTATTGAGTGCATCAAGGATGGATATCCTTTTTCTTGGGCGCTTTGATGGGCCTGTTTCTTGGGCCGTTATATTTTTAGTGTATCCGGTGTTAATTTCCTGCAGTTTCTTTTTCTTTTCCTTTTTTTGCTTTCTCATCCCTGTCTTTGATATCTATCCTTGATGATGGAAATACTAAATAACCGTGCATATTGCATATCAGGTTTGGGAGGTGAGCGACGGTAAGCGAATGATTTATCTGTATTGTAGTGTACATACATAGGTATCAATGAGAAAGTGTATGCTAACCTGATATCTCTCAACACCTTATCTTACGCCTACGTTTAGTGGATATACCTACTACCCTTCGCGAAACATAGCGTAGCAGCGTCTATATGAGCGATGTGACTTAGACTAAGCACAAAAAGGAGTGATGAGCAGTCTGAGATATCTCACAGAAGGCTTGTCAGTGACTGAAGCTGGGGAGTTCACGCTGCTTTGGTGAAGCGATGTGTTACAGATCTCTCGATAGGATAGTTCCCAAGTAGATGTCTCTAATATAACAGAAGTTATCATGGTGGTGTGAGAGCCGGTTCAATAGTAAATACACCAATTGCAGTCCACATGTACGCCCCTTGAAAGCCGGTGTGGTCCAAGAGTCACTGGTGCGGACCAAGCAAGGCTTGATGTGTCTTCAAGTTGCATTGTAGATGTGCTTGATCGTTGCTAAACAATGACAATTATCAATTGCCGAGATGACATCGCGGAGCATCCTATTGAAGGAAGAATATCGCCGCGTACTCTCTTCACTAAAGTTATACTATAGCCATCGTGAAATTGTCGGTGGCTCTATTCAGACTCGGGTCCCTGCTTGTTACCAATCGAATTCTTGGATAGCGCTGCGTGTAGCCAGAGTTCCCCGACTATAGTAATCTTGAGGAATTATGAGGGCCCGCTTGCCAAGGGCGCTAATTTTCTTCATTTTGTTGCAGGAAGGCCATTGTGATGTTGATATGATAGACCACCAGTCTTTTCCATCAATACGTAACATACGAAGCCCTAGAGCATGGTCAGACAGGACGTCTAACTTTATCTAGTCGATAGGCTTTTTGTTTGGTTACCAACGCCAAGAGGTGGACGATTTGCTTACTAGTAGTACTGCTTGCTATACATGAGTCCAAGCCGTACCAATTAGAGCCTCATGATGAACCAGAGATGGCCATCTTGGCATGAACAAAATCTGGTGAACAGTCTGTTTGAACATAGGGCATTTAGATGATGAATTTGCCCCTCTACTTTTAGAAGAGGCAGTGATAATGCACCTGTAGTGGTAGATCTTACGTTTGCAATGTTTAGCAATGCGGATTATAGTTATATTTAGATCCTTCCAGCCCAACTTGGAACACAAGTTGAGGGGCAGTCTGACTATTAGACTTCGCCAGACATCAATCTTCAGTTCCAGCGTCAAAGGAATCTAAATGAGGGGGAGGAAACAACGAGAGATAAGGCGATGCCACCGAAAGTCAATATTCTCTGTTTAATTCCTCCAATGCCTCGGGATGAGAACGGGGAATGACTGACGTATGTATAGACTCTATGGTCCAAACACAATATAAAAGCCCCAGTAAATGTCTCTTTTCCAGCATCGCTTCAACCTCGCTTTCTTGGATGGCAATGGACCAAGCCGCCCTGTCCCCGGCCCAACTAGGCCAAGTTCAAGGGACTGACGAATATACGGACTGCGGACTTCAAAACAATCCCAGATGAGTACTGGTACACATTATCCTGATACCTAAGGAATATAACTCACCAAAATAATAGCTGCTGGCTAATCCCAGTATCTTTAGCGATAGTGGGAATACCTACCGTCAACACCCCTCTTGACGACCAATGTTCACTAATGGAGCAGCTTCCAGCTTGATTTACGGTTCGTCACTCATAGCATCCGAGTGTTCGCCGATGTAGTCGACTGTAGGCCAGTATTTCCCTCCGGATGCTTTCCTTCTATGTGGACTCAACCTAGGCTGTGGCTTAGCCAGGGCGGGTATACAAATCGTTATCTTTCGTGGCTGTCAGGGGGCTGTCACCGCCATGTGTATGCCCATCAGGATCAGTATAAACACAGAGGGGTTTGCCGCGCAAGACGCCAAGCGACCGACAAATACCAATGTCCAGTACTGGGAGAAGGCTCGTGAGAAGAGGAAGATGCTGCAGTCAGTGGGTCTCGCATGTCAGGGACTTGGACTCCCAGAGGGATTCTCGTTGGGGCTAATTCTGGAAGGAGTCTTCGCGGACTCTATCCTTACGTGGCGGTTCAGCTTTTACCTTAATCTCAGAGTTAACGCGCTTCTCCTACTCGATGGGTGGCGGAGTCTTCCGAAAAAATCATGTGCGCCATCCTTCACGGTCCATGATGAAGCAGAAGATCGACTGGACTGAAGCATTGCTTTCCATTATCATCCTGGCACTTTCTTGCCGCACTGGGGTGAGTAGCAAGCAGGCACTCTTGTAGCTGGAAACGCCTGAGACTAAATCGATCTAATTTTATTTCATCTGATCCCTCGACAGCCCGTTCACCGCGGGCTCTCGTGCAGCTCTACACCTCAGTCGTGTTAAGCCCTCTGCTTCCGTGGTAGATTGCGCCGTCCAGGAGAAGACCGGTGAGATTCCTTTGATCACCAAATAATGATGGAAGTGCCACCAGTCTCTCCCAACTCTGCAGACCCTCAGTGAAGATCCTCCGGTATAGTTACCAAGAGGTCCAAGGCCTTTCACCAACAGAGCCATCTATTCAGTATCTCCCTGGTGTCATTCTGAGTATCATTGTGAATCTGGCTAGTAGCCTTCTTCGCTTGGCCCAAGTCCATGTGTACCTCTTGACCGTAATATTCTGCATTATCAGCGCTGCAGCACCTTGATCATGGCTCTCATCAATCCCATATAATCCTACTAGTACTACTCCACCTTTTGGGTTATATTGCTGTCTCCCATTGGCAACGAGGGTAACTTCCCACAGACCATAATGATTCATGTCAGATGGTAATTAACAATGATTTATCACGATGGTACCCTTCACGGTGGCGATAATCCCCATCACATCGGTCTTTCCAGCCGATTGACAGTCTATTGCAGGCATAGTGTTCAGTGCATCCTCCCAACTAAGCGTCACCGTGTCGCAGGCCGTTTTGCCGTAATCTCTTCTGCTGTCAGCCACGGAGCAACAACAGTCTATGAAGGTAGGGCCCATGAGCGAGACTCGGCAGTATTGATGAAAGGATACTGGGCCTCCTTCTAGGTATGTTCGCGTACAATGTGACGGGAGTGCTTGCTAGCACCTTATTATTAAAAAAAAATGTGCATCTAATAGGGATAGGGAAGACCAGAAGGGCGAAGGAATAGCAAATTAGAGTAAGTGTTACAAGTATATTTAAGATTGCCTTTGGCAGGTGACTGGACCACCTGACTCACTTGTCTTCCCTGCTCCTGTTAAAGCGGCGATACCTAAACAAAAGCACTGCTACTAAATAATTAGTTGTCACACCACGCTTAGTCCTTCCTCTCCAAGATCATATGATACATGCCTTCCGTTATATACTCCTGGAGTTTCCACCCCTTTTGATGTCTTCTCACAGGAAAACATCGCTCATCTAACGGTTGTTTCTGATTCTGAGTCACGCAAGCGACCGGGCCGTATTGTCTGTGCCATGCCGCGATCTGCTTAGTGCGGCGCCCTCGCATTCCAGCAACAGCAATCCGGATCCCCAGGTATTTGCTCCACCACGGCCCCAGGAATATGTCGTAGAGTCGAGGCCCAGATGAACCTGGAAAGAAGGTGATACAGAGCAATGGTAAAAACAGGCACGGTGGGCAAGGCAAGTAAATGACCTCCTTGTATCCAAACTGCGCGCATGCTGGAAGAGTGTGCGCGACCCTTGGATAGTTCAACTTCACTTTTATAGGGCTTTAAATACTGGGCTGAAAAAGGGCTACGGCTTGTAGACCCCGTTAGTATCATGTCGGTTGCTAGGCGGCCGCGAACGTAGCAGTTATCCCTACCATTCTCGTCTCCGGTGCATATTTCTCTAATTATTTTTAACTTTGCCATGGGAGCGAAATAATTCTGATCCCCAGGGATTGGTGGTATATCTAAGGCCGTGGCCACCACGCAAAGTGCTCCACGAAGCCCAGGTAGTAGTAAAATAGCTAGATGCGCTGGTTTGATCATAGAAGAGACGACTGATGAAGCTTGGAAAGACCAAGTAGGGTAGACAGTAAAGACAGTTTTGGCAGCAAAGTTAGCGTAGGCTCAGGCATAGACGCCATGCTGAAGCCTTTGGTCTATGGCACGATGATGGTTACGTTTGAGGAGCTGAAGAGTTCCACGGATTGGTTTGATCGTCTCCGGAAACGGAGAAAGACAGCCTTACAGCTCTTTTCTTAGGGTAGGATTGTAGGTTGCCGGCTACCGTTTTAGCACATTCCAACCTAAATTCCTCCCGGGATATCCAGCCCAAGTCATTCCTCCACTGGCATTCCCCACTCGATGGCTTTGGAGAACGAGATAAAAGAGCAATCAGGGCTGAATGCTATAATCCAATGATCTATGTTTCTGCTCCTCCTTTTCATCCTTTCATTTTGACCCGCAGATAGGATAATCATAGTAGGAGTCAAACATCGGATAGAGGTAGTGAGTTTTACTCGTCATCGACGTCCCCCAGTCGCCACCCTTTATCATTTTACGCCATGGACGCCTGGGGCTACAGATGGCGTTCCGCGAAGCCTCTCATCATTACCACCGTCACCATTGCCTTGTTCGCTGGTACGGCACCTGCCCTGCCCTGTTTCTCTTCTCCTGACTGGCCGAGTCCCTCGCTATTAAGGGCTGAACTAATCGAGACTCCTTAGAAGCATTTCTGTATAGTTTCATTATCCCTATCCTGAGCTACATGCTGGAAGTCCGTCTAAACATTGATCCATCCGAAACGCAGTGGTATACCACCGCCTTGCTCACTCTCCACGGTCTGGTCGCTCTCGTGGTTGCACCGCCAATTGCCCATTTCACCGACAAGACCCCCAACCGCAAGACACCCTTCCTGATTTCCCTCGCAGCATCTCTAGTCGGGACATATTTGGTTGCACTCTCATCATCAGGTAAACCCCTTCCCTGCTGAGCTTCCCAGGAAGAGTTATTGCTTACCCCGTACACAGTTTGGGTGCTCTATCTCGGTCGCGTGGTGCAAGGGGTCGCTGGATCAGCCTCCTGGATTGTGGGCTATGCCACCTTAGCAGATAACGTCAGACAAGAAGATATGGGGAAGGCTATGGGGGTGACCACGGCCTTTTCGCTTTTGGGCCTCGTCGCGGGACCTACGATCAGCGGAACACTCCTCCAGCTCCTGGGATACTGGACCGCCTGGACCGCTCCCCTGGCAGTTCTTGTCCTCAATTTTATCTTCCGCCTTGTCATGCTCGAGAGGCGAGATGGTCTCTCCCATGTTCCTGGTCCCCGCGCGGTGGCTTCATCCCCGTCAACTGTCTCACCAAGAGTTGGGGAGCCACAAGGCCAGGACGAGGTGTCTGCATTGCTTCCGTCGTCATCCTCGCATGGTTATTTGTCTTTCAACGCGGAGCCTCCCAAGGCTGATCCGTCAGATGGCCCTGAGCAACGCCCCGGATTTTATGCCGCCATGTTGAGAGAGCCCCGCATCCTTACAGGGGCAGCCAACATCCTCCTATTATACATTATCACAGCCGGTTTTAGCACAACGCTGCCTCTCCACATGCGTCGTATATTTCATTGGGAAAGCATGACTGTGGGACTGATCTTTCTCGGTCTGCAGCTCCCTCAAGTAATTCTCAGTCCACTAGTCGGGTTTCTCCGCGACCGTCTAGGGTATCGTTATCTAACTACAGTCGGCTGGATCATCTTGGCTCCATTGCTCTGCCTGCTCGGGGTCCCTGGCTCTACCACTTTTTCCTGGAGCCGCCCTGAAACCCATGGAAAAGCCACCTTTGTTACGTGTATCGCTGGTATCGGTGTCATTCTCAGCCTGGTCCGTGGTGGGGGAGCGTTGCAGATGACCGGTGCGTTGCGTCTCTTCTTTCTTTCTTTCTTTCTTTTTTTTTTTTTTTTTTTGCCTGCTGCCCGATTATACTAATACGGCCACGGCAACAGGGGTCATGCATGAACTACAGTCAAAGGATCCGACGGTCTTCGGTGATTATGGGGCGAGCTCCCGTCTGTTCTCTTTGATTGAGATTTTCTTCAACCTAGGATTGATACTAGGCCCTTTGCTCTCTGGACTTCTAGTCGAGGCCCTTAGCTTCTACTATACGTGGTGTTTGTTCGGTCAGTATATTGCTTTCTATTCTGCTTTTAATCGCCATCGCTACCCTATGAATATCTTACACTCTTGCAGGTGGGGTTTCCCTTGTTGTTGCTTTTTTCACTTTATACTTTTTCGACAGTGGGCTCCCAGCTCAGCAGGCTGAACCTACAGCCTGACGAGATAGCATCCACCACGTTAATCCACCCTTAGTGGAATATCAGGCTCAGGACTTATGTTGGTAATTTCTTGCATTACTTGTCGCGTTCGAACCTCAGTAAGGAATTGTTCTTCGAACTGTAATAATCCATGTGCAACTGAAGCAGCCGGCAAATACCGCACGCCTTTCATGCGGTACCAGTGGTGCCACAACCAACTTGTCTGCGTTCGATGGCACCGAAGAAAACCTCTAATTTGAGATGTTTGCAAGTATGATTGCATATATCTGCGACGAATCTTCGCCCCGAGGAACCTTCCGCGAAAGTGTCGTAGGTGACCCGGAGGGGCAACTCGAGTTGCATCAAGAGCGGCCCAGGGACAGCTTAAAGATAGTATTGGATGCTCCAGCAAATATGCCCCCGCATGCTCATACCCCCCATTCAACTGGTACGACTCCGGCAGCACCCTGGTTGCAAGGAGGACAAGATGAGCAGCACGATATTTACAGAAGCTATTTGCAGGAACCAAGTCTGGAGAAGCTTGCTTTCGTCGCTATTCCAATACTGAAAGATGTCAACAGAGCAACACCGCGCAAGGTCCCCAAATTTAATTAAGCTCCCTTGATCCCCAACCGATTAATACTATTTGAAAAATGGTTGTTTCCCCACTCCAAGGTCGGGCCGGTCCGGAGCACCATGATTGTCCTGTGAGAATGGAGTTCTGGACCGTGTCTTTATAATCCTGACGTTACATTGATGAGCCCAGTCCTGCCATGCCCTTGCGAGTGGGCACTCTATTCTAACCAGATATGAAAATCTCCTGTGTGCCTGCCTTCGTGGATAAGAGCGGTGACAGGGTAAGACCTCACTGGCTGTGCTCCATGACTCAACTCGAAGGCCCAGTGGTTGCATAGAATCCTTACCTGGAAGTGAGTGCCTTTGTCCATCAAGGTTGCCCTGTGACCAGGCAGCAAACAAGGGTGCTGACCAATCAGGCTGCCCGGGGCGACTTTCGACCACATCGCCTGTTCGCCTGACGCCGGCAGTCAGAGCTGTATAAAGAAGCAGGCTCCCCACCAGGCTAAGCGCTGAGATCCAGCACCGAACCTCGCCACGCCCCTGCTCAGCACGAGAGTCTCATATCCTTGCCTGCTAGTAGCAGCCAGGATCAAGCCCGCTGCTTCTCTATATATTATTATCTTCATTTCCCAGAGGATTAGCGCCTGCCACCTTTCCCTTTACACTCACCAAATACCCTTCCAGTATTCCTGCATAAATTTCAAAGGTAAGAATCCCCTTCATTCCATCTTTCTTTCTTGATCAGACCTCTTTTGCTCTTTGACTTTCTTTTTTTTTTTTTTTTTTTTTTTTTTGGCCTAACTACACCACTCTATAAGATCATCAACTGATCCAACTCCAACATGAAACCCCTTACCTACCTCTCCCTCCTCCTTGGCATCTCTGCAACCACTGCCCTCGCTGCTCTCCGCCCAGACGCAACTCCTGACGAGGTCGCCGCGGCGGAAGCTGAGTGCGGGTCCCTGGGCGTGATGAGGATCGACCCAGCAGAGCTGCCCGAGGGCGTTACGATGGCCGACGTCCGCATGTGCGCCGACCATCCACTCGGCCCCGGGGCGTACCCGGGTCCGGGTCCTGGTGCTTTCGCCAGGTTCCGTCGGTTCTTGCCGAGTTGGGTATTTTGAGAGGACAGCCCAAGAGCTGGGTTGAAGCCCTGTAGTTAGTCCAGTATGCAGGCTTCTTCTGCTCACGCGCAGGCTAGTTTTTCATATCCAGCCTGGTTGCCTGCGCTGTGCGGTGGGAGCAGCTGTTTGGGAATGAAAGTCTTGGAAATGTATGGTGTTGTCTAGTATTGATTTTTGGAACAAGCTTGATTGATATAGTCTAGTTGGAGGATAATATCCATATATAACAACATATAAAATACAATGATAATGATATTTTAGCAATTTCCATTAAGTAGTAGATTATGTTGAATAATTTTATGAGCTGCATGTCCACCCTTGCATCTCCTTCACTATAGCTTAGTACAAGCAAGTATTGTACTCCGTATATAGTGATAACCCTCTCTTCACGCGAGAGGCTATTGTTGATTGCCTTTGTGTAAAACAAAGCTCACTGCTAACTGGGACTTTACCGCTGCCACCTTGTCTCGTATTCGAGGATAGCGACCAGGGTTTGGGCAACATTATTTAATAACACTTTAAACGACGCTTCAGCCGTCACCCCTAAGGAAATTGTCACAATGCAAACGCTCTCCTTTTACCAAACATCGCTTTTGTTCAACCTCATAGCAGTGCTTTGTGTTGCCCCACTAATCGGACTCGGCGTCTATGTCAATAAGGGGCCATTACTGGTTCAAGGTTGTGTAACAAATGGACTCAAGACCATGCATGTAAACCAGAAGTCTTGGAATGTTGGGTGCACTGTGATTGGCACGGCTGTTGGCCTGCTGCTAGTTTGGGCGTTTTCCAGCCATCATGACCTGTTGACCAGAAGGGAGGTTCTAAACCCCAGGGGAGTCTTAGCTATATACCTGCGGCCTCTGTCTCCACGGCGCGGACCCCAGTAACTTCGGAGAGGCCGACTGTCCACAATGCGCACCATCCTTCTTTCAGCGGGTATTGTCTCAACACTAATGAGTACGGCGACGGTAGCAATTTTCGGAATCCACTCTGTCCAGGTTGAGGTCCCCAACCCACTTACGTTCTGTCCTCTCGATCATTGTCTCAGTGCTTCCTTGGATATGCCTTCCTCCTTGCGGATGTTCCTTTACCGAGATGCCTACACTAGGTCCCTACAATTTCGAGGGAACTACATTCGAGAGGACGCCACATCGGAGGCAGGCTACATTGGTGGCATAATGTATCCGCAGCTGAATACACCAGGTATTAGATTGAATATGACGTCGTACATACGGTGGTCAGGACCCTCATCAGGGTACAATCTACCTACCAACTATACCTTCAACCGCTTGGGTGCCGTAGTGTTTTGGAACCAATATCACTGTCAGCTGCGGCAATGCCATGGGTCAGTACAGATTTTACAGCCCTGGCAGAGTCATCTCAGATAAAGGAGCCACCGCCATCTATGCTGAGCTATGTTACGTCTGAAACCCAATTTCCCCAACACTACGGTCATCTAGGACACATCCTATCTAGATGCCCTAGTAATTAGCTTTGTTGTCACTGAACAGAACGGGGAGCCTCTCCATACTCTAATCCTACCGGACACCCTTGGAACACCCTTCATTCTGGAATGCGCATGCAGGGGCAACCAGTTTTAAGCTTCAATTAGCCTAACGGACCGTGTGTCACCATTCCAAGTCAATAGGATTATGAGCCATGGCCTGCAGCTTGCGGTAAACGCTAAATGACATTTGTCCAACGTTACGCACAGTTACATATATGACGGTCGTGGAGCCCCTGGTGGCATGCTAGCTGGAGGCCTCATTACTTCTGGGTACTACTGTGGCGGCGAAATCCTAAACCACACTTATACAGTGTTACTAATGATTACTATTCTGAGCGAATCTGGTGAGGCCTGTATCAGCCTTATGAGGCAGGGTGAAGAGGTAGCGAATACATACCGCACAGAAGAGGAACTACATTTGAATGGAAGCTTCGTCAAAATTCTCGTGTCAGTTCTTAGAGTGGGTGGTGCATCGTACGTGTGGCTCCTTGTCTATGGCCTGATGCATGTTGCGTCAGCGCTGGGCTTTATAGTAGCGCTGGTAAAGCGACATGTCCTGCCGTAGGAAGCTCAAGGCACGGTGGAGATATTATAGAAGTGTCTCGCCGAGTCCGGCATTGATGAAGTCACATATCTTCGATTTGATGAACAGTTTAGAATGGTTGAGACATCATGAAATCCGGCGAGACTGGCGAGACCAGCCTAAGAACTCATGGACTCTATGACAGAAATGCGGCAGTAGACCAAATCCTTGACAAGAATCGACTGGCTACTCGACGCTAATACCAAGCAATCCAGTGGGAGATACAACTCATCTGCCGCTTTACCAAGAGACATCGAGGCCCCAAGTCGCGTTGAAGAAATGAGGAGACATGCAGGAGCATATAAGGGAAGAGCCAATCAGCCCTCAAATTCGTAGATATCGTAAGGGCCAAAGAGACATGCGCGTCGGGCTTGGGAGTTGCACAACTCGCCATCCCGACTCAGCACGTGGCATCATAATATACGGATGGGTATATGGATTAGTCTATGTTATATGGTATACGGTATATACCAAGATATACAGAATGGGATAGGAGCAAGGAACATATAAGGACACTCATTCATATACTTACCTTAGTTCTTCGTGACCAATAAAGATTGTTACTGGAGAGCTACCTCTAGTATCAATTAACCAGCATCAACTCGTTCGTACTCTTCTAAATATCGAGTACACGTACTCGATAGGCCTGGCCCTTTAGACTTGAGCTATTCACGAATTACTTATTGCACCTCGTTCGGTCCTTCTTAAGGTCACCCTCACGGCACTTTGTTATCGCATATCAGTGGATTCTGATATTCAGATTTGACTCTACGCAAGATAGCTAACTGGTCGCCAGAGCTCTTGGACGAAGCCCCGGGTGTAACACATACCTACACTACATGTGCACAACACCAAGTTGCTGCTTCTTTTCTATATGCCTTGGCCAGATGCGTATGTTATAGTGGTTCAGCATCCGATGCCTGTTGATGAATAACTCTCGAAAGATATAGGGCTCGACTTCATGTTGAATTATACTTAAAGCAGTCAGGCATGCGTTCGTTCCATCGTAAGTCTCTTTTTAATTCGAATCAAAACTCACTTCCCCTTGGAGCATGATCGCCACGTGACGTACGCCTAAGGCAGCGACCATGTTGCACGAGGACGGGCTTTTGTGGTGAGCAAAAAACTTCCGATAGCTGCAGACAGGAGAAATTAAAGTTAGATAGACTAACAAACTACCCGACGCACCTAAATGGAGCACCTCAGCAACCCGAGGCACGTCTCTATTCACGATTATGCACGAATTAGCTGAGGTAAGCGATGCATGAAGTGGCATAATGCATCACAAAAGGGGGCTAGTGCCACGCATGACCTCATTGACGTTACATAATCCAAATCACATGCCGTGATGATTCAAACTAGTGTTCAAACTAAACAAAAGAAGCAAAAAAAGTCATACGTGACTTTCTTTTCGTCTTGGAAGTTCAAACGCGTGATGTGCGTTTTGTTTCTTTTTTTTTTAACGTCATGTCTCTTCTCTCCTTACTTCAACACTCACTCCCTCTCTCCCCGGTCTTTCTTCCGGCTGACTTGTCCCTTTGGATGTGATTCCTATTCCATGAATACACCACTCCCGAGACATACCCGACGATAGACGGATTCTATTATTCTTTACCCCGCCGGAAACTCGAAACAATAAAAGGAGTCGAGTCACAATCTCCTACAGACAACCTACCTTCCAGCCCTGTTCGGAACCTATTGCCTCCTCTCTACGCCTCCTTTTTGCTCCCATCACGCTCCTCGCTCAAGTTGACCGCGCTCCCTGCATTTTGACACCTTTCGCCTTCGAAAATGGGGAAAGCCCCTGCTGCGATCGTTATTGCGAGGTACCTTTTACTTCCCTTTCTTTTTCTTCTCCCTTACATCTATATATCTTCTCTAGTTCAGCCTTACTGACTGCGAGTCATATGCTAGACATGGTGCTCGTTTGGACGCGGCCGATAAGAATTGGCATCTGACCTCTCCAACCCCATACGATCCTCCGCTCTCGTACGGGGGTTGGCTCCAATCCCGTGCCCTGGGGGCCCGTGTCATAGATGTTTTACAGTCCCTAGACAATGATTCCCTCTCTGGTGAGATCGACGCGGAGAAGTTGCCGTCGTTTCGCCCACGGGCCCTCAAGCGAAAGCGTCGCATCATCATCCATTCCTCCCCCTATCTCCGATGCCTGCAGACCTCAATCGCCATCAGTTCTGGAATCAGCCAGAATTACTCCGAGATTACCTGCGCCTTGTCTGGACCAATGTCTGGTGTGAGTCAGCCAAATGGGTTTCTGTCCGCTCCAGCCGGTTCGCCAACGCAGGACGCTACCGCCAGTCCAGCGACAGACCAGCGATGTCTCCTGCGCGTCGACGCCTTCCTTGGAGAGTGGCTATGCCCAGACTATTTCGACGAGATCACCCCACCTCCCAAGTCAGAACGGTTGATTGCGGCTGCTAAGGCAGAGCTATTACGACGCGACAGCGTCGTGCCAGAGGCTGATACCAAACCCCCAACGGGCTTTTTCCCGGGTGGCTGGGGCAGTCTTAGCAACTACAGCCCGTTGTCTCCGCCCATCGACGAGGAAGACCGCATCGCTAACCCCACATACACGTCGAACGAGCGCCGGGAAGGGCAGCGGAATCGTGCCGGTAGCTGTGACACTTTACGGTCCGCGGACACCCCCCACACACGGCGGATGCTCAGTAAGATCAACACCAACCTTCCGCCCATACCGGACGGCGTGTACATGCCCCCGACCCCCAGCTATGCTATCTCGCCGTCGGAACCAATCCCGACGGGTTATGTCACACATGCACGGGAGGCCTGCATGAAGATTGATTACCCATGGGATAGTATGCGGGACCCGTTGGATTGGGGCAATGGAGGCGAGTATGGCGAAGAGTGGAGTACTATGCACACACGGTTCCATACCGGGTTAGACCGGATGGTCCGTTGGTATCGGGAGCACGATGGCTCTCTTTGCTCCGGTCGGCGACGGCGTCATTCTCAATTATCATTGTCCGAGAGTGCCGAGGAATCGAAGCTCCCGGACGATGAAGACGAGATCACCGACACGGTCTTGGTAATCGTCACGCATGGGGCTGGCTGCAATGCGCTGATCGGGGCCCTCACTGGGGAGCCAGCCTTGGTGGACATCAGTACGGCATCCCTTACACTGGCGGTCCACGAGGACCGCGCAGCCGTCGCCGACAAAGCTGATTCGATTGGTGGGCCCGTGGCGCCTTACCGCCCAGCGCACGAGCGTTTCAGCTTGCAAGATTACAAACTACAGCTCGTCGCCTCGACCGATCATTTACGACCAGTAACAAATCCGTCGGCGTCCATCCTCTCGCCGCCCAGTAGTTTAACTTCTCCCTCAACCACATACCGCCCCCGGTTCGCAACTCGCCCGTCACTGTCGCAAGGGGGGTTTGTGATTGGCCCGTCCCCCGTGTCGGGGCCAGGTACCCGCTCGTGGACGTTTTCCCGACCTTCCACCGCGCCTCGCGGGGCCATCGGGCTTTGGAGCTCGAATTCGATCGCGGCAGGAGACGCCGCGGACGATATCATCCCCAATTTTGGCGATTCCTGGTCGGGGTCCAATGGGGATGGCTGCAACGACCCCTCCAGAACCAAGCCGGACGAGTCCTCAGGTCGGACGCCGCAGCTCCCTCAACGGACACTGTCTCAACGAGGCCTGTGGGGGAGTGGGCCGGTCAAGGAGCCCCCCGCCAAGCGGCGCTGGACGGTAACCGAACGACGGATCTAAACGGGTGCTATTTCCTTCACCAGGCGCAACGCCTGTTGATCTTTCTTTCCCTTTCTTCTTTGCACTTTCAGCGGCTTTCTCTGGTTTTACGGCGAGGCGTTCTGGAATCATAGCGAATTGGACCTTTCACGATTGCATAACGATATACTATTCCATTTGGGTCTTAATGGATGGTTGGGGGTCTTTGGCCAATCTAAGCACATCTACTCAACTCCGGGCATATACATATAAGATTAAATTTCACCACTTCACACCGGTACCTCTTTCTCGTTGACTGAAACCATGATCCCCTCGGGCGGTTGAGATCCTGTAGTTCGTATATGGTCCACCACATTTCCCGGCACTAAAAGCGATTACTTTTGAGGATCCGGCAGCGACGCTACAGCAAGCCCAGAGGTCTCCATCTTATAGCCTGTTCAAACTCCGCACTAGCAGTCGATCGGGAAACCCATGTCTGCGAGGGTGACTGTGCATCACCATACCTTCGTCCTCTCGCAGAGAAGGGCGAAAGAAAAGGTTGTATAGCGATAATTAATGCTATGTGCTGTCGCTGAATATCTCGTTTGAAGTGGACATGACAGCGATGCAAGTGGCGTGACGTGCAAGAACCCTGGTTCCCTAGCTGAACGTCGAGGTCAACGTATGCGGGAAAAAAAGGTACTTTTTCCTCTTACTGCAAGGAGTGTTTGACTCTGGATGGTGACTCCAACACGCAGTGGTAAAATTCAACCTGATAAAACGGGAGCTTCACAAGGACTAGGCAAAGAGGGTCGAGCGTGGCTGATGTCTTCCAACAGGCCCCCCACTGATCCTTTGATTATCAACAGAGGCAACAACACCGGAAGAGAGCCGGTCATTTACTTCACATCGGAGCTTAAGAACAAAATTCAAATGGTAGCTACCCTCGTCGCAACATCATCAATCACATCAGCCACAGCCTGCGGCTGGCTCAACATAGCAAAATGCCCCGCATCAATAGAGTACGTACGTACAACCCCTTCTCCGGGAATAGTAGCTATCTTCTGTTGCGCAACAAGAGGGAACCCGGCATCCCGAGTACAAAAGATATAGTTAGTAGGTACATCACGATAGGCCTCATAGGTCAGCGGAGTCCGCATGGTCTCTGGGGCGTGGTGCACGATTGCGGCCAGGTATTTCGAGGCACTTTCATCGTCGAGGTCGTTATAGAACCGTTCCCTCGGGCTCTTGGGATACATTTTGTCTCCCTGGGACGACGGGTCAATATTCCTCGATTCTCCTAGCTGCGCAGGGAAAGAGATAAGATCTGTCATCTCACTTACGTCCATTGTCATAAAATAATCCAGTCCACCTGGCATGAATGACGCGATGCTTGCTCCAGCGGGAACCAGAAAGGCCGATTGGTATATGAGGCTAACGACGCCTCCCTTTCTCCCTTTTGTGGCGATATCTTTGCGTGCAAACCCCTTGACACTCTCTGTGCCTGGGATGCCGCCGTATGAGTGCATGACAAGAATTACCTCCTTGCCCTGGGCAATAAGGTCGTTCAAATACGCTTTCTGGATGTGTTCGGCGTCATCATAGGCCGTTGTTGATTTTGGTCCACCGGCAGAAGGCAGGGTTACAGTCTCTACTTGATATCCTTGTGCGCGAAGTATCTTCGCGACGGGCTCGAAAGTGCTTCCTTGGTGCCAAGCGCCGGGGATGAGGAGGATGGTTGGCTTGTCAGTTGCCATGGTGTAGTGTATGAATAACCACTTCAAGGTTTATAATTGAAATTATAAACTTGCCTACTTTCAATTTTTAAGGAGGACAGGTGTGAATCTAGGAGAGAATAGTATAAGGAATTATAGCCCCCCCCCACTTAGGCTGGTCAGAATCCCCATTGGGGCCAAACCACGGCAAAAGCGGCATCCGAAGGTTGATCGCCCTGATAGCAAATTTCACCTATTTATAGAAGCATACTATATCTATAAAACTTAGCCTATATATAGATAGCATCGTTAAGCGTGTGGAAAACAGTGATATAACCATGCTTAGGACCTTTATTACTTATGAAATGTGTCAAATCAAGTGCTGATACCGACTGCCTTCCTGATCAGTTGGAAATTGAACAGTCGTTTGAAGACAACCGTTAAATAACAAGCTACACTACTGTGAAGCTTCTGCCTATATGGTTTGCTATGCGAAGTAGGCTAGGGCTGGGCATATCCAACTATCTTTGTAGCACAGTATACATATCGGATCAACCCAGATTATGGAAGACATCCTTGTCAATAGGAAATCTCAGGAAACGAAAGTGGGGATACGACTGAAATTATCAATGGAAAAAAAGAACAAGCAAGGAAATCAACAAGATAATTGAATGAATCTGAATTTCAGATGAACCTGCAAGGATTTTGTTCCTTGACGACTCACCTATCAAACGGGGGCATTAACGAAAGGTTTCGCTGGCATCAAGTTGGGTGAGCTGGACATGAACTACCTAGTATCAACCTAGCGCAGAGAGAGTCCAGCATAGTAAGTCGGACTTGCATATCTTTAGACAATTCCTATACGTTCAATGCGGCAGAGACCTGGCGGGCAGCAACCACAGCCGTCGGCAAAGCCTCCTCAATGAAGCCGGCTCCGACGGAAACAATATTACTACCTGCAGAGTAAATGCAGCCGTGAGGCAGACGCATGAGCGGTGCAGCGCTGCTACCATCACCAAGTGCCCTTGGAAAACTCGTCGGTAGCCCAGTCAACCTAAATCAGAGTAATGGCCAGCGGCTTGCCGCACCCGCGGAAGCTGGGGAGAAGCCCTTGTTCCTTCAGCACTCCTAGGATAACACCTCTCCATATGTAAAACTCATGTCTCAAGTGGCTTTATAGATTCCTGATGAGCCGGTGATAGACTGCCGATTGGCAATCGCCGATCTACAAAACAACCAAAGGTAGTTCGCGACATCTCAAGCTTTTATTGGCTGCTAGAAAGGGGTCATGGCCTATACACAATTCAACATAAGTAATTCAAGTAATTCATTGAAGATTTCCTACAAGTCATTTGGAGAGTTGATTCGCAAGCCCAGAATGAGATGTGGTGATTCTATAAATCTATAAACGATTATGTGAATCGATATCACAGGGTTGTTGTTTAGAGTTCGGTTTGCCTGTGATTGGCGGGGTCTGGGTGCCTGGGGTGTCCACGTCAAGTGACCCCGCGCCTCTCTCTCCTCTGGCTCTCTTTCTACTTCCCTCCTCTTCTTCCTCTCCATTCTCATTCCCTCACTTACCTAGTCCATGTTCTCGGCCCTTCAGAATGTCCGCCGTCGGAACCGACGGAATCACCGTTACATATTCGTCCGAAAGAACCGGAACCCCCGATCTTCGCTTCATCCATTACAATGATGTATACCATGTGGAGTACGCCAACTTTCCATACCCGGCTACAACACTACAGTCAGCTAACCAAATTATGGAGTAAAGAGCAGGGTCTGCTGAGCCAGTCGGCGGCGTTCCTCGTTTCCAATCCGTGATCAACCACTACCGCACCGATCTCCGGTTCGCCGAACAACCTGACATCCTCACCTTTTTTTCCGGAGACGCCTTCAACCCGAGTATCGAAAGCACTGTGACCAAGGGACGGCATATGGTACCCTTTCTGAATAAGGCGGGAACTGATGTGGCATGTATTGGGGTATGTTTGCGACCTTTCGGAGATACCGGTTCATGATAAGTGCGATAAGGGCCTGATATGTACCTGCGACAGAACCATGACCTCGATTTCGGTGTCGCGCAGCTCCGGCATCTGCGTAGTCAGTGCCAATTCCCCTGGCTGCTGGCCAATGTCCTTGATCCAGCGCTAGGAGAGAATATTCCCATTGCGAACTGTGAGCGGACCTGGATGTTGACCTCATCAAACGGCCTCAAGGTGGGCGTGATTGGTCTGGGGGAGAGAGAATGGTAGGTCCTTTTAAAAACCGCATATTCCATGTCTTTCACTTCCTTACGATATCAAGGCTAGGAACCATCAACTCCCTTCCGCCGGACCTGATCTATAAATCCGCTGCGGAGACCGCTCGCGAACTAGTCCCTCCTCTCCGTGAGCAAGGCGCCGACATCATTGTCGCCGTCACCCATCAACGCGAACCCAACGATTATAAATTGGCCGAAAGGCTGCCTCCCGGTTTCATCGATATCATTCTGGGAGGTCACGATCACTACTACGCACATGCTGTCGTCAACGGTATTCAAGTTCTGCGCTCCGGGACAGACTTCAAACAGCTCAGCTACATCGAAGCATGGCGCAAAGCGGACGGACCAGGATGGGATTTTAATATTATTCGTCGCGACATGGTCCGGTCCATCCCGGAAGACCCCGCGACCGTGGCGCTGGTGGCCAGGCTAACATCGAGTCTCAAAGCCAAGCTCGAGAAACCGATCGGGTATACGGTACGGCCGCTGGACGCCCGATTCTCTACAGTCCGCCAACGAGAGTCAAATTTAGGTAATTTTGTTTGCGACCTGATGCGATTCTATTACGCGGCCGATTGCGCCATGATGGCTGGCGGCACCATCCGCGGGGACCAGATCTACCCACCGGGGATTTTGCGATTGAAAGATATACTTAATTGCTTCCCGTTCGAAGATCCGATCGTCTTGCTCCGGGCTGAGGGCCGAGCCCTGATGGACGCGCTAGAGAACGGTGTGAGTCAACTCCCCGCGCTGGAGGGGCGATTTCTGCAGGTATCCAACATTTCGTTCAGCTACAATCCGTCCGCCCCTCCTGGCTCACGCATAAACTGGGCGAAGATAGGAGGACACCCGATTGAGTACGACCGGAAGTACACTCTCACCACTAGGGGGTATATGGCCCGTGGGAAAGATGGTTTCGCGTCGCTGCTGGTGCAGTCTGAGGGTGGCGAGGTAGAAGAAGTGGTGGACGAGGAAAGCGGTATCTTGGTCAGCACCCTCCTTCGCCAGTACTTCTTAAGCTTGAAGGTGATGGGCAAGTGGCAGCGCTGGAGCAAGAGCATGGGGCGCCACTGGAACACCGTTCACAAGAATCTCCACTGCAATGGATGGCTGAAGCCGGCGTCTGGCCAAACCTCGCCGGTCGCTGAGAAGGCCCCAAAACAGCCCCAGCGACCAACCCTTAAAAGGACGAGCCAGTACTACTACGGCCGCTTCCCGGAGATTGAGACGGAAGAGAATCAGGAAACGGAGATCAAGGGTCACGAGGATATGGATTCGGATTCCGACTCGGATCCAGACATTCTGACTTCTCCGGAACCCATAACGAACTATGTGACCCTACCCGCACAATCCGTGGCAGAGGAGGAGCACCGACTCCGACTAGCTCGACAAGTGGTGCGTAAATGGATGGGAAAGGCTGGGCTCCAACCGGCCACGCTGAACGGCGGCACTGACGACGCCGCGTTCACCCCAACCTGGACTCCGGGTATCGCACCACGACTCGAGGGACGCATTGTGATCGAGGACGCACGGTAGATCCATGTGACATTTTTATTAGATCGCAGTATTTGAAAGAATCTTCGGTATAATTTATGTTAGAACATATGTTTCGGATAGAGTATCGCCCGCATATTGAGCGTTTTGTCAGGCACGAATTTCATCCTTGTAGTTTACTTCTCCGGCTACATCAACCTGAAATGATGTACTCTTGTCGGTCTCGCAATCCTATAAATGTTTCATCTATCCTCCTATATAAAGCAGTTGCTGATCTTATTTCTAGTATAGCGGAGATGACATCTGATTTCGCCCACAGCTGGTCCAGATTTCTAATCCAAGTATATTGGGGGTTTTTTTTTTGCAAAATTGTACTTATAAAATCCCATAAACACAATCCCATATGATTATCAGTTGTAACTCATTACATACAATCGTCACAGGCTTCAATATATAACACCGTTGAGCCATGCAAATATAAAAAGTCTTCTACTTCGCCGCACCCCAACCGCCGCCACCAGCAGTATTGATCACAACCCGATCATGCGTCTTGACCGAAACAGTATTTTTACCCCCGATATTCACAATGCGTTCCTCGCCCGTCTCTTGGTCTTTAGTCACCCACAAATTCAGCCCAGGCTGTGCATATTCTCCTCCCTCCAAGCCGTAAGGGCGATGCACCCGACGTTCTGATAGAATCGAGCATTCCATTGGCGAGAGGAACTCGATGTCTCGGATGACACCATCACCGCCGGGATGGAGTCCTTTGCCCCCTGAGCCAGGTCGGAGGGTGAACTGACGCAGAAGAGTCGGATACCGCTTCTCGAGGATCTCTGGGTCAGTGATACGGGTGTTTGTCATGTGAACGTGGATGCCTGACTCGCCCTTCCATGTTGGGCCTGCACCGCTGCCTCCAGCGATGGTTTCGTAGTAGCCAAAACCTGGGATGGTTTTGCCGGTGTCTGGGTCGACCTTGGAGTTGGTGCCGAAGGTCAAGTTGTTACAGCATCCCTGAGAGGCTGCGCATGCGCGGAAAGCCTTTAGGACAACGTCGGTGATTCGTTGCGATGTCACGACATTACCGCCCACGACTGCGGCTGTCTTGGTAGGGGATAGGATACTGGGTGATGGGACTTGGATGTCGATCGGCGCCAGACAGCCCTGGTTGAGAGGGACGTCGGAGGCGATCATTGCTCTCAAGCAGTAAATGATGGCCGAATGAGTAATGGCGATCGGGGCGTTCCAACCCCCGTACACCTCAGGGCCAGTACCAGAGAAGTCGAAAACAGCGGAACCATCTGACTCGTTGATGGTAACCTTCAGCTTGATCGGAGTACCGTCATCCATGTAATCAACAGCTTCTAGGGGTTGGCCGCCAAAGCGCTTGTGGAGATCCTTCAGGAGGTTGCGCACAGCCGTCTCGGCCGTGGCTTGGATCGCGTACATGTACTTCTGTACGGTTTCGACACCGTACTCAGCAAACAAGGACTGGATAAGGCTGATACCACGTGTGTTGGCGGCAATCTGTGCCTTCAAGTCTGAGAGGTTGTCACTAATGCACCGCGAGCCCGAACATCCTGGGTGTTCCGCAGGCTTGTTGACCAGGAGATCGATCATACGCTCCTCATCAAACACGCCGTTGCTGACTACTTTCTCGCCTTCGATCGCTGCACCTTCCTGCCACAGCTCGGTCGATTTCGGGGGCATCGAGCCCGGCAGGATGCCCCCGATGTCAGCGTGATGGCCACGAGACGCGACGTAGAACCTGATTTCAGTACCACCCGGTTTGTCAAACACAGGTGTGATCACCTAGGGCGAGTTTTAGATTTTGTGACATCCATGTTCGATCGGGTTTACTTACTGTGATGTCGGGAAGATGGGTTCCACCGCAACTGGGGTGATTGGCGACGAGGACGTCACCGTCCCTTAAGTTACCCAGCCATTTCTGGTGCTGATAGCGAACGGCGAACTGCATGGAACCAAGATGGACGGGAACATGAGGCGCGTTGGCCACAAGCCCTCCATCCGGAGAGAACAGGGCACAGGAGAAGTCCAAACGCTCTTTGATATTAGTGGAGACGGAAGTCTTCTGTAGGGTACGACCCATCTGTTCAGCGATCGACATAAAACGATGTCCGAAAATGCTTAGTCGGATAGGGTCGATCTCTGAAGCGAGCTCTGAAGGAATACCGTCAGCAGCAGCTTGCTCCTCCTTAAGATCGATGACGATGCAAGTTTCCAGGATCTTAGCCACAGCGTTCGGAGCTACGACAATAGTCTGCGTCTTGTCGATAATAACGGCAGGGCCATGAACGCGGGTGTTCTTGTCAAGCTTGTCCAGAAGATACACCGGTGTATCGATGCGGCTGGAGTAGCCATCAAAGTAGGCATTCGACGTGTTGTCCGCAGCTCCACTGACATCTTGCAGATTGGCCTCCCTTAACTGAACAAGGGGACTCTTCTCGGTCCGTACTTTCGACGAAGCGATCGTACGCACACGGATATCGTCCACTAGGACCGATCTTTCGGAATTGAAGTTGAACTCTCTGCGATGTCGAATCTTGAATTGTTCCAGGAAACCAGAGTCATCTTCCGGTTTCAGGATCATCAAACTAGTGTCGGACCCTTCATAACGCATATTCAAGTACAATTCATGACGCACCTGCTCAGCCGAGAACCCTTGGGTCTTCATCTCCGCTAGAGCGCTTTCCGTCATATCACCGAAACGCTTCTCGAGGCTCGATTGAGACGCCGCAAAGTCGGCGGAGACCGGCTCCTGAGACTCCTTGACCACCTCAGCCAGCGCTAAGCCGTACGCAGAGAGGACAGACGAGTATTTGTGGATTATAATGCGCGAGATACCCAGGGATCCCGCTACGGAACATGCGTGCTGGCCACCAGCCCCTCCGAAACAGGCCAGATGATGCGATGCAGTTTCAAAGCCACGGGCTTGCGTCAGATTGCGGATAGGGCGAGCCATCGACTCGTCTGCTACCTTCAGGAAGCCCAAAGCAACCTCTTCCGGAGCGTACTCCGGTTGATCCTTTGCCTTTCGCTCAGTATTGATCCTCTCTGTCAATTCGTTGAACAGCTTCGTTGTGACTTCGATATCAAGGGGCTGGTCCTCATTGGGACCGAAGATGTGTGGGAAATACTCCGGCAGTAAGCGACCCAGGAACAGGTTTGCATCTGTGACTGTCAATGGACCCCCTTTGCGGTAACAGGCCGGACCGGGATGGGCAGATGCCGACTCTGGTCCGACATAGAACAATCCGTTGCGGTACGAAAGGATAGAACCGCCACCAGCGGCGACTGTGTTGATATCGAGTTGCGGGGATTGAATGAGGACCCCCGCAACCTTAGACCCGAAGACATGTTCGAGGTGTCCGTCGAAACGAGACACGTCCGTGGAGGTACCACCCATGTCGAAGCCGATCACGGGTGTCTTCTCGGTAGGATCCCAGCTTGTAGCTGCGAACCCGACCACACCTGCTGCTGGACCGGACAAGATCGCCTTCAGCCCGCTGAATCGGCGAAAATCGACCAGTCCGCCGTCAGATTGCATAAATTCGAATCGGCACTCATGCTGGCGCTCCAAGCCACCTTCGAAGCTTGAGGAAATCGAGTCTATATATGTTTTGATGACGGGGGTGAGATAGGCATCGGCGGCAGCGGACATGCCTCGCGGGACGATCTTGATCATAGGTTGTAACTTGGAGGATAATGTGACGGAGAAGCCCATACTCTCGGCCAGCTCCCCTATCTGGCGTTCATGCTCTGGGTATGCAAAAGAGTGGACCAGCGCGACCGATAAAGACTGATAACCCTGTTCCTTGTACCGCTGGAGGTCCGAGCGGACCTCCTCCAAGTTTAATTCCTGCACCACACGGAACTTCTCTCCCGTCACGCCTTCCACCACGCGGGCTCCGGAGAAGCAATCCTTGTCGGCCGCAGGATGGCACGGGACAATCCGCTCATTAACCTCCACGACGCCCTCCGGTAACACTCCTGGCCGAGCCATTGATAAATCAAAAATATTTGGCCGGGATTGGTCCCCGATCTTGAGCAGATCACGGAAGCCCTTGGTTGTCAGCAGCACTGACCGTGCCCCCTTCCTCTCCAGCAGCGCATTTGTAGCTACCGTTGTTCCCATGCGTAGAGAGCCAATCCGATCCAGCTTCAATGGCTTTCCTCTGGGATGGGGTTCGCCCGTCACTCTCTCGAGAATTTGGCGCACTCCCTCGGTTGGGGCATCTTGATAGTGGGCGGGATCGACGGATAGTAGCTTGAGGATGATGTCAGGTTGGCCGGGTACAATGGCGTGGACGTCGGTGAACGTGCCGCCCCGATCGATCGAGATGGTAATCTTCCCGTCTCCGGCCATGGTGCTCGTATGCTAGTATGTTGACCGGATCGAGAGAGAAAGGGAGGATAGGAAAGGATGGTGAAAAGAGTGATGCTACTGACTGGGGTGGGTATTCTCCGGGGTTAATATACCTTCCCATCGATTCACCCCGTTATGATAACGACTGCGGGACATTCTATGGGTAAGTCCATCCTTCTGGGCTCTGACTGGTTGTTGGAGGTCTCTAACATCCACTCTCTTGTTCATTCTCTCGCTGATTCCGTCATCTCCTTCCCCGCGGGAGGTCACGTGTCGGGCCGACGGTCACATCCCTTCGGAAGTGTCGGCCCGATATCTCCGAATGATCGCTCTACTTCCATACTAATACACAAGGTCGTATAACGATAGGAAGGACATTGGAGATAGAACAATATCAGTGACAGGTTTGTTCGGATTTAGTTACTGTCTACATACTTGGTATTTCTCTCAGGATCCGAACTGACTTAGTGGTTCCATTACATATATATATAGGAGGCCCAGGAAGTGGATTAAGATATACAATTTAATTCTTATATCTCGACCTATCTATGTATCCTTAATACAGTCAAATGCGCTCCAACCTTCATAATGTATCCTCAGTCAAGGCGTGGCGTGCAGTATACCATCAACGGTGGCACATCCTGGCCAAATCCGGAATCTAGGGCTAGTTCTTCACGGGGAGAAACGAGCTGGAACTATGATCGTGTTAGTTAAAGCATAGGTTCGTGATAGAGTAGCAAGACGAACGTTGAAGTCTATAAGGATTAAGACGATAACTTTTTTCAGCTCCAGCCAAGCAACTCGAGCCATTGGGCAACTATTAACGGTGCTGAGAGATAGTAAGTTTTGACCCATGAGCCTTCGTTGCTGTGGATCGGCATTGAGCCATCGCACCGGCCGATAATGGTGGGCGTCTCCATAAATACCAGGGTCCCTTCGTGCAACCTCCGGGTGAAGTTCAATCGTGGTTCCCGGAGGGATATAGCATCCTGCGACGATGGCACCTTCTGCCGGTGCGACTGTCTCATGATCATAGGCCAAGCCATATAGCTGTCGCATTGATTCTTTGAAAACAGCATCAAGGTAACGAAGCCTTCCCAGCTCCCTCCATCGAGGTGGGTCAGAGAGAAGACCCTTGTCCTGCGCAGTGACTATCTCGCGCCGGAGTCTAGTCATCACGTCTCTGTGTTCTAAAAGGAAGAAAAACGTTGAAACAAACGCCATAGTAATATTCTTCAGCCTGCCGTCAGCTTTGAGGGAGGTCTTGACAAGACTGAGGTTGGACCTTGCAGGATGATCATACAGAGCGTGGTATGGCGTGTCAGTCATTCCTCCCTGGACGACCTTGCGAGCCAATGAAATACCCCGACTCCTTTTCAGCTTGGCTGTAGAACTTTGTAGTAGTGCGTATTCTATCATTGGTAACCTCAACCACCTGCCTAGGTGATTGTGCCAGGAACTTCCGGCCGCCTCGGTGGATGGCATGTGTTGTGTGGCCCACTCCTCCGGGTTGAGATGATGAACGAAGTCGGCCGCAAAGAATTCAAGGACAACAGTCAAATGAACAAAGGGGTATCGCCTCAGATGCGCAATTAATCTTCTGGCTAGCTCGTCAACAATGCCTTCATATCGCATTGCCGATTCCAGGTGCATCCGCCCCACAGCCTCGCTCGTTAATCTACTCCCAGTAGGGGCAAATCTCGCGCCATCAATCGACGGTTCTTTGGCAAACACGATGGATGCATTATTCTCAAATATAGACTACGAGGCTGATTAGTATATAGAGACTACAGTGATTAGGCATGAACGTTACACTTTCGCCTGGCTGTGCTTTATGGACTGGTAAGATGACGGTAGGATCGGAAACGCTGATAGAATAGGGGCCTAAACGGACAACCTTGCCATATTCTTTATGAAGGCCATCAAGGATATAACCGTAATTGCCCCTACTACGGATGTATATCCTCCACCAGTCACATAGTCCAGTGAAAAGAGGACCAGGAACCGTCCGTAGACGGGCGTAGTTGGACAGTACGCGCAAGAAGGTCAACGCAAAGATTACGATCGCAATCGCGCATATAACCATTGCCGATGCTTGACGGAGAAAATGTCCATTTTCCTTAGCCCAGTCGGAGTTGGTGAGATTTGTTACAATTCATGTCGCCTGACCGTGCTCCCCCTATTCTTCCCCCATTTTGCCGCGATATTCCGAAGGAAGAAAAATAACCGGAAAATAAAGACGGGCAGTCTGCTAGTTCACGGACTCATCTCCGAAGGTCCCCAGATTCCTGGAGACATGTTACTGTTGAGATACGGTTTTTCTGTTCTCTGTGTGATTTTTTTGCGATCTCACTCCATTCGTCCAAGTGATGGAATGTATGGATGGTGGTGCCCCATCGGGCCGACGTACTGCATTAACGGTACCATTTAAGCGCCTCAATGTGGGGAAGAAAAGGAGGGGGACTGATAACAGCGATAAATTACATAGTCACGGTTGACTGTGTTGAGGCTCCACAACCGGTTCGTATCCGCGCACTGTTCTCATAGAACTAGTCATTCGTGTGACCGCCATAAAAGTTGGCTGATACACAACGTTCCCGCCTGCTGGTTGCAATGATTACCTTTTGCCCGAGACAACAAGAAGTAGAAGAAGACTTGTGCAACTCCAAGCAGAACTCGGGTGGAGCATAGCTTGCGTGTCCGTGCGCTCTTTCACTGAAGACCCACCATCTACTCCGCGGGCAAGAGACCTCCAACAGCAGCGGCGCCTATCGTCGGTGCTGGTTTATTCATCTTCCACTAAAACCAAAACGTGCGATATGGTCCTTTGCCTGTCCAATGGCGCAGGGAAAGGTCCGAGGTGGGTTACAGCAACGTTCAGAAGACCGGTCTAATGGCCGACGCTCGATCGTAGCGTAAGTGATGAGTGGATACATTAGCTGTAGGATCGACTGACGGTTCGCCACAGGTGTAATCGATGTCGCAACAGAAAGACCCGATGCGCTGGCAATCCACCGTATCCCTGTGCTGCGTGCGAGGACGTCGGGCAAGTGTGTGTCTATTCGGAAGCCGAGAAGCGCGTTTCCATCCCCGAAAGGTAAGCCTCAGGCAATGACATGGCACCTAATGGCACCTGACCTGGAAACAGTTATTATCGTCAACTTCAAACTCAAGCTCGAGCTCAACTGCAGGCCCAGTCTCAAGCCAATGCGTCACGTTCTCATGAAAGTCATCAGCCCTCGCTATTCACAACTTCTAGCCCCGCCCAATCGACTCCCTACACCAGTGCGGAGGTGCCACTTGACCGGGATGACTGGTGGTATCAGGGCACTGATCATCTATTCCTGAACCGATCCGGAGAACACCGTGGGTCAACCCCCTATGCAAAAGTCGTTGTTGCGACTGCAGCTGACATGAAAGTAGAGTTCGTCGGTGCGTCGTCAGCTACCCATTTAGCGAAGCGGTTGAATCCCACTTCGACCAATTTAGCGTGGGACGTCCGTCCCCTATATGATGACCCTTCATCACTTCGTCGGTCAGTAACGCGGGCCCTTCCTCAACTGCCGCCCTTTGAATTTGCAAAACGGTTGTTTTGGGTCCAGTACGCCTATATTGGAACCATCTTTTCCCTCATTCAGCCGCTGGACTTTGAAGAGCGGCTGCGGGCTGTATACAATCAACCTCCCGACTTCTCCAACCGAGAATCATGCCTAGTCTACTGCCAAGTCCTACTTGTCATCGCCTTTGGGCTTATGTACTCGGTGAACCAATGGTCCGGGGACGACGGGCCCCCGGGCTTCAAATACTTCAAGCATGCACTGCGCTTTCTACCTGACATCCACGAAGAAGGTTCCATATTTTTCGTCGAGGTACTATGCTATGTGGCGTATTATATGCAGAACCTCAATCGACGAGATGCTGCATTTCTTTATGTAAGTCTGACAGAGCCCTTTTAGATTGCGATCGAAACCACTAATGAAATATTCGCGTCCAGATCGGTCTTGCTCTCCGCATGGCCATTTCATTAGGCCTTCATCAGGAGGTCTCGGATCCTACGATCAGTGAAGACGACCGAAACCGCCGGCGTCGGGCCTGGTGGTCCGTGTATAGCCTGGATCGTTTATTATCAGTGAAATCAGGAAACCCGATCACGATTCAGGATGAAGATATCGGAACTACATGGCCCATCCCAGCTGAACTATCTCCCACCGTTCCATGGCCATCAATCGTGCTTACATATTATACTCAACTGTCTAGGGTCCTAGGCAGAATTGGAGAAGGTGAGAGTATCCCTTTTCTTTCGAATGTAAACCCATCACACTAATGTCGGTGTCAGAAATCTATCGCAAGAAACCCCGGTCCGGTACGAACTTATTAGCTTCCGTTCAGAGCATCACGAACGATTTGTCCGAATGGCTAAGCCGGATACCCGACCGGCTGCGTATTAATTTTTCGACTTTGGATACTCATATTAACCGTGAGTTAGTATCAATTTTCTTACACTTTTACTCGTGTGTGAACATGACAGCCAGGCCACTTGTATTCTACGTGATACAGGGACGATTGGATGCCGGAACTGGTAATTCTGCTACGGATGATTGGAAGGAAGGGCTATCACAAAACACGGTGGCTGTAATCGACAGTTGCATCACTGCAGCCCGTGCAACCACGGTTATTATGGATGCCGCTGCGAAGCACAATCTGGTTGGTAAGTGAACTGCCCTACGCTGTGGGAATTTGTTAAACCTATCGGCACCATGCTGATTTCCTGCAAGCCACGTATGGCTATCTCGATGGGGAATATATTTTCTCTGCCGCCCTTCTACTGGTAATGGTTAATGCAGCCTTTCCGCATAATGAAACAAACGCTCGAGCCATGGAAACAGCACTAAATCTGCTCCGCGGAATGGCAGACCGTGGAAACACCTACCTCGGCTCACGACATTCACTTCTACTCGAGCTACAATCCGCCATCAGTCCCAACCGTGCGAGAAGAGAGGACGTTGTCGTCGAGGCGCCTGTGACTCCAAATAGTACGCAGCAGCCGACTCCATCTACGAACGTGGTTGAAGAACAGCCCCCAGAGGTGTCACCTTGGCCACTGCAGCAGGACCTGCCAACCATGCGGGATATCACTTTCAACTTTGACATCAACGATGACTCAGGGCTGTGGGAGGAAGTTCTGCACCAGATTGATATTGACATGGATACCGACTGGATTGAGAACACGTTAAGAAAGTGACGGGGCTCTGCCCTTGAAGCATTGCACAATGACCTTATGGACATGGCAGTATCCGTAGTATTGATTGCTAGAATAGACGATATTTCGAACGTATAGATTCATTAACTCACAATCACTCGAAAAGAATGAGTATAGGCCTTTTACTAAATAGTGGCTCAGGACTAGAACAAATATTGGTTCAAAATATAATGATTCTATGTAAAAGATGATCATACCAGAATCAACCATCAACTCCAAAGCCAACATGCAAAAACGGGCTTCAATCCAGATGGGTTTTCATCCGAAAGGAGACTTGAGCGACAACATTGTCAAGACACTGGGCAGCATTCGCTGGTATTTCCTTCGTCCTCCACGCAATGTATCCGTCTGGTCGTAGAAGAGACGCACCGGTGGCAGATACTCCCAGCATACCCTGAACGCTTCCTTCGTCCGCATATTGTACATCTTGTCCGATACAAACATGCTTCACCCGGACTGGTGACTTCAAATTCATCTGAGCCACAGCTTCCCCCCATTCCGTCGACTGTGAGACGAGAGCCCAGGAGTCCTCACCTAGCACGTCTAAGATAGAAACAGTTTCCTGGTTTTTGGTGACCCAAAAATGTGGCACATGCGTGCCAGGCTGGCCTGCCCATTCGTCCGGCTTCCGCGCTCGTGGCAGCTCATCATCGAGCCCAATGAAGCCATTTGATACGTACAGCTGCCCAAACTCCATGGCGTCGTCGTCGAGTTTCTGACTGGCCGGCGTGGCCTTGTCGAGATGGATCTTGTAATCCGCTCGGGCGAAGATTTGATCGTGGCGCAGAAGGGCCACCGGACGTCGTTCCGCATCGTATGTGTCGAGAAGTTCGGGAGAGGAATTGCCTGATAAAACAGCTGCTAGTTTCCAGGCGAGGTTATCGACATCATGGATTCCCGTGTTGGCTCCATATCCGCCTCGGTTGGGTGGCAGCGTGTGAGCCGCGTCGCCGGCGAGGAAGATGCGTCCCGACTGAAAAGTTTCCGCCACCAGAGCTCCTAAATCCCAACGACCGGTTGTAATGATCTCAATTGGGATTTCTGATGTGCCGATCGCTTGGTTGATAGCAGCACGGAGGGTCGGCTCATCACGTTCAACATCATCGTGGAACATCAAGACCCATCGGCCGTCGTTGTAGGTCGTCAAGAACGCTTTGAGATTGGGCTGATCGATACTGAATTGGTGCACACCCTGCATGTACTGCTCCAAGGGGGCGCGGAACAGTACACTGCGCATTGTCTGCATATGGCCGCGACCATTCCGTGGAATCTGGAGTAACTCGCGAACCGTGCTGTGATTCCCGTCTGCAGCAATAAGATACGAGCTCTGGATCTGTATCTCCTGGCCTTGGGGATCTACTACAGTGACGGTGACACTGTTTGGATCCTGCTCGATATTGGTTACCGTATGCTGGCGTCGGATATTCACGCCTCGTTCGATGACCGCCTCTTGTAGGATGGCCTCTAGTTGATCCTGAGGTATGGCCGCTCCGCGAGAAGGCGAATATTGTTTCTTCACAGTCGAGTCTTCCTTACTAGACTTTTCCGTGCCCGACCAGGACGTGCTTTCAAACCACTTACCGGTCATGCTCTCGACTCTTGCTCGCATCAGATTGAAGTCTTCGGGGACTTCCGGAATGCGATCTGCGATACCAAGCCAACGATATATTTCCATTGTCCGCGATGTAAAGCCGATCGCCCTTGGGTGCTTCGAGATAGAGGCGTGTTTTTCTAGGACCACCGTTGGTATCTCGTGTTTGGATAGGCACAGAGCCGCTGAGAGCCCTACCAGATTGGCTCCGACAATGATAACGGGTCGTTGAGTAGATGGTGGCATCATGATGTCTGTTGGGGATTAAACAAACACTTTTTTTTAGAGGAATTTAAAGCCTGGGGCTTTCTGTACAGATGAGTGTTCGAGTATATTTCCAACGCTAAGAGATTGGGGGTCTTTTATATGTTTAGAATAAGTCGATGCTCGGGCCCGATGGATGTCCTGTTTTTGTCGAACGCCTGACTTCGGGCCCGAAACAGCAACCGAATCGGCATGATCAGTAAGTACTATTAATGTATATCGTCTTTTGGTCCTAGTAAATTTAAATGATTCCCTTAACGCTCACATTCATGAACCTACGGTAAACTCAAGAATTTCAGTACTCCTCCTTCACTAGTGCTAACCTCTCTTTTTCCGTTTCACGTAGTTCATTGTGTTGATCCTAATGTTGCCCAGACACAATCCAAGTTACAGTATGGTTAAAATCATCTAATCAAGATTAGGTTAAGAGAATATATTCAGGCATTTAGATAGTACGGAGTCAGCTCAGATGTCTCTTTATCGGACTATGTAAGGGGCGAGGGGGAGGAGATACAAAATCCCGCCTAGGAGATACATATATGTTCGCGGGACTCCATCTAAGTTCGGACACATCTGCTCATCAAGATTAAAAAGTACCATACTAAGGTTGACATTTCAACATGATCAGATGGCAACACAGAATACTGGGCTGAAGTTGAAATAGTAAATAGGGAAATTCTTTAGGGCAACACGTATGGCTGATTGGCGCAGAGTGCTACTTCCGGGATCCGTCTTAGGAGACACACTAATGCGGAGCGACGACACCAATGCGGCACAAGCCCCCTTCTAAGGTCAGCCTCGTACGAGAAATGAAAAGAATTCGAGTACGCAAAATACAGCGTCTGTCCCCTGCACCGCATTCTATTGCTCAGTGAGCACTTTTAATTAAGGCTATGTCGCCGCAAAGTAATCCTACAGTGTAGAAGTGGAATAGGTAGAATGCAACAGACTGAAGGGGTCGATTCGACTTTATCGGGACACTCGGCAGGTCAAATGTCAAGAGACAGTGAGGACAGCATGCATACATACTCCATACAATCCTAGCGGAGCACCTTGCTCCGTAGTAATTCTTGTCTACCTAACGCGGCTAAGAGACCTGAAATAGTTTCAGGACAAGAGCCCCTAGCCTCATTGTTGGCTCGACCAAACGCTCGGCACACTCCATCACGAATAACTAATGCGGATAAGACTGCTGAGAGAAATACCGCTTTGCATCATCATGCGTATTCCCTTAAGGAATTGACCCATCATTGCAGACGACCAGTCCTGGTGGAAGTTAAAGGGGAAGGGAGAATGAGACGGAGCTCTGGTTGAAGCAGCGGCAGGCGACCATAGTTCCAAAGGTCACCCATATCGATCACCGTGCAGCTGGGGAAGCGTCAGCGCACCGACCTATATGGCTCAGCCCCGACAGGTGCTTGCATTAGTGGCTGGCAGAGTCGGAAAGGCACCCCCTCCCCCAAGAACAAACAACAGGGAATAAAGATGGAGGGGATGATCCTTCACCAATTGCGGTTACCAAGGGAAATTGGTGGGGAGCCGGATGGCTGCAGCGATTGGTGCTGTGGCTTGGATAGCCCGTCTCTGACAGCTGACAAGATCATCTGATTGGTTGCTTGGGTTTGTTCTCCCAATCTATGCTTGTTAACTTCTGCTGCGCAAGGAATGGTAGCATCGAACCATTCGCCAGTCTGCCACGCCCGTGACGGTGATGGCTTTCTCCTTAGCTCTTGTCTGGTCTTGTCTTCTTGGTGGCTTGGTGGCTTGGGAATTGACGGAAGCGGAAGATAAAATAGATTAAAGTTATTATTTTTTCTAAAGTGATTGGGGGCAAGTATGGCGACCAGGTGGAATCAAATGGTGTTGCGGGTTGTCTCTTCGGAGGGGCTTCCATGGTCCAGTGATTTATTTAACCCCAACACGACATGGCCTCAGGTTTCCAACAAGGAATGAATGTACCGCAACATAGCCAAATTCTTCCGGGAAATACGACGAAATTCAGGACGGACTCTTTTTCTCTATTCTCTTTCTCATAGTCCAATTAACTTTGACAATCATGCAATCCATCCCTCGCGACCATCAACGTCCAGGTACCGACGTCTCTCCCCGCATTCCGCCGATCCGTTGATCCACTGTGGATGAAAATGCGATACTGGCAGGCGGGGAAGAACGATGATGGTGGAGTGCTTTTTGAGCAACCGGCCAACAAGGTTCTGGCACCGGATTCGGGATACAACTGCTCGTCCGATGCAGACTCCACTGGGGGCCCAGGGATCGAAAACCTCGCATTGATAGTCTCTGTCTATGCGATGAACGCTGATTGGCCTTGGGATCTGTGCATATGTTTGAACGAAAGGTGTTGTTCGAAGGAGACAAGCGTGTTGTCGTCCAATATAAAAGGTGCCTTAATGCCCCCGGATTTTCGCTCGATAGTTAACATTTTTGTGATTCCCAGTCTCCAATCTTCCGTTTCCGGCTGCCCTCGGCCCATTTCTTTCCATTAGAGTACGGTGGCCTCTTTACTACTTCTACATAATGATTGCTCCTTCAGAACCCATTCAGCCCTCCAACTCGGCTGCAGCTCTCACGCAGTTCATTCCTGGTGTCGACTTTCAGGAGGCCTTCAATGAAAAAGTTATCATGATTGTGGGTATGTAGTTCCCTTCTGGTGCCACTATGCCCCCGAAGCTAAGCCACGCTGTAATAGGTGGTGCCAATGGCATTGGCGCCAGCCTCGTCCAGCTCTGTTGCCAAAGCGGCGCTTACGTCTGCATTGGCGATGTTGATACCATCCGGGGAGAAGCTCTGAACAAGAAATGCCGTGAAAAGTGGCCTGTCTACTGGGACCCTGCCCTTCCACCAAAACCTCCCCGGACATCCTTTTTCACCGTCGACGTCACCAACTATCAGACCGTCATCTCCCTCTTCGACCGTGCATTCCAGACATACAAACGTATTGACCATGTGGTTGTCACAGCGGGTAGCATGGATGCTGGTAACAATTGGTTCGATCAAAAGTTGAGCTTGCAGTCGGTGCGCGAGGTACGTCTTTACCTAAACATCCTTGTTCAAGGGGTAGAGTCCTGAGCTCTATGTCAGCCTCCGTCCACGAAGGATATCGACGTGAATCTCGTCGGTTCTCTCTATGTCACCCGTGTAGCTAGCGTTTATCTCCGCCATAACCGCGGGCCGGGTGTGGACCGTTCCATCTTATTGTTCTCTTGCGCCGCTGGCTTCAAAGAGACTCCTGGTGTATCTATCTACCAAGCCTCTAAGCACGGGGTGCAGGGTCTCATGCGCTCTCTTCGCCCCTACTTCCCATCACCATATAAACACAATCTGCGCATCAATACAATCTGCCCTTGGATGACGGAGACCCGCACGACCCTGACGAAGAAGGTACAGGATCGCTGGACGAAGGAGGGTTTACCCGTCAGCACCCCTCAGGAAGTCGCTCTCATCTCAGCTGGCGTGCTGTCTAACAACTCGCTGAATGGAACATCCATGTACGTGGAAGGTGGCCGTGCGTGGGAGATCGAAGCCAACATCGATCGCTTGGAGCCGGAGTGGCTGGGAGAGGAGGCGTCCAAAACGCTCGCATTAGGACAGAAGGTGTTGAGTGACGCATGGGCTTCGTAGAGTAAAATTTGCATGTTTAGACATCTGTTGCAGATTGATACCCATTAGCGACCACAAGAATGACAGAACGATCGGGAAGGGGGAATTGTTGCGGAAAGGACATTATCAACTGGCTGTGTTGAACAACGGCTCTAGATTAGAGCTTCCAATACATTGTTCTGCACGTTTACTCTCGCATTCAGCTCACAAATATCCTTGTGTAAGGCATAAGAGGCCAGTTTGGGAGATAGAACTCAGCCACGAACTCCAGTTCTTGAAGAGCCTGTCAGCTTCATCTTGCCGTATTCGATAAACACTCCACCATCGACCTTCTACTCGAAATGTAGTTATTGAGATCGTATTATTCTCTCAATTACCCACCGAATTACTCAGCTCAGCCAACCCGCGCCAAAGGATGATCCTTAATCAGTCATCTACGTTAGACTTTGAGAAATCCCCCGTATCTTCAATAACAAGTACGAATCAGCGCTTACCACTGACAGCTCTATATCCTGCTTCGCCATCTTGGCATCAACTGCAAAAGAAATGATAGAGTTCCATGACCAAAAATAGAGGTTTAATCCGGGAAGTACCGGGTTGTTTTCCAAAGACCCTTGGTGCTGGCTGAAGAGAATGATATCATATTGACAGAACAAGGAGATGTGGTTATATTCAGGATACACCCTTTTCGGCCGCTAGAGATACATATAAGCTGGCGACATATAAGAGAACGTAGTGATTGTATCTTCCTACATAAGACTATCTAAGAAAATAGCTTCCATGTCTTGTTAACACCCTTACGGCACAAGGACGCCTAATGAAACCATCTTGATCATCGGTGCATCTGGCTTTATTGTTACACACATGGTCGAAGCATTTCTACGAGCCGGTTACTATGTTTGCGGCACGGTCCGGTCCGAAGTAACGGCTGATAAAGTCCGTTATACCTTCCGGGAGTACAAAAATAAGTTGAGCTTTTGCCATTGTCCTAGACATCGTTGGTGCGAAAGCCTTCGTTGAAGCCGTTCAAGGAATCACCGGCCCTATTCATACTGCTACACCCTTCCTGATAGAAGTCGAAGATAGAGATCGAGAGCTACTTCGGCTGGCCATCGAAGGAACGATCAACATCCTGGGCTCTGTCAAGAGACATGCTCCTCAGGCCCGCTGAGTCATTAACACATCTTTCTTTGTCGATATGCTTGATTTATCGAAGGGAACTGACCTGATAACACATACATGGAGCAGATTGGAGTCCAATGAACTATGCGGAGGCAACAAACGAAGATACTCTCGACCTAGTAACTTACTGTGCAGGAAAGGCTATGGCAGAGTGTGCGACGCGGGATTTCACAGCCACAGAAGGTCCATCCTTTGACCTGGTGAATATCTACCCACCATGCGTCTATGGGCCAATCAAGAACGGCATAGTGAGTCTAGTCAATATGAATACCTCATCTACGGAGATATACCGGCTCATGTCGCCGATATCATAGCTGAGCAATTTCATCCCACCCACTTCGGTATGGATATGTGTGGATATACGTGATGTCGCCGAAGCGCATTTGAAGATTTTTGAGGTCCCGCGGCCGGTAGACAGCGACTTTTGGTCTCGCAAGGCAGTCTCAGTTCCCAGCAGGTGGCCGATATTCTTCAAGAAGGGGGTGGCGGAAATGAGGACCGTAGGGACGTCTTGAACGTCTTAGGATGGCTTGGCTGGACAACGTCGTATATTTCAAAGGATTGAGATTACACAAAGGGTGGAAATTGCGGGATTTGGCTAAAGGGAATTCATATTCTGGGAATGCTACCTTGGTTTTCTTTCGGGTGTCAGGAAAGGTATACCTAGTGCCTTATGGATGTCCTCCTCGAGGCACCTCACATGCAGTGGATGTCGTCGAAGTCATACAAACTAATCTATAGAGTTACATCAATGAATAGTCCAACCTACTGCGCGTGATATGTTGACAAAAAATAAGATTTTGGGTTCCCTCATGCGACCTTTTGTGATAGACGCAAAGCTGGAGCTAATGCACGTAAGCATACGGGGTCCATCACTACTTACTCAAGTCCACTACCCCTGCAAGCTCTTGGTGGGTCATGCCAACTAATATTATTTTTGCTTTGAGTGTCTACCGTCACCGTTCCAAGTGTGGATGGTAAGAACAGGATAGACACCCAAGGTACCGCTACCTGCTTATCGGCCAGACATTGATCATCAGTGCGGAGATGTTGATCAGGAGTCTAGTAGACCTCTGACAAGACAGACAGTGTCTATGACTGAGACTATGGTGGGTGTTTAAGCCAAACTCCGTGTTCTGCATTTCGAATATCAACGATTTGTGGGATAGACTGTCCAGTAGTCGGTAGGATCCGAAACATCAATTTATTGCCGCCAAGGCTAGTACCCTTTTGGGATTAATCAACATGGCCAACCCTAAGGAGATAAGTAGTTCTCGAGAAACTCCGAAGAAAAGCGAGCACGCAATCTGAGCGGTCTTCTACTCATGGCGAGTTGTGGAAGTCTTGACAAGTTCAGTCCGAACCCTAACCCAAGTGTCATAACGGTCGGAGCGTGGCCGATCGACATTGGTGGAAGATGGTCAGGAACGGCATCCCGAGAATTGATTTTTACTTAATTTCCGAGTGGAAGAGAGAAAGATATGAGGAGAGAGAGAGAGAGGTAGCGAGAGTCTGAGGAAGGCCCAAAAAAAAAAAAGAAAAAGACGCTTTAGGGTTCGTTGCCACTAGTCTAAATTAGTCGCGTCGGTCACGGGCCGCGCCCTCCATACAGCCAATCAGACACCTAGATGCAGGGCTTAATCGAACAAACTATCGACTATCACGAATAATCTTTTTCCGATAACGCCATTTTGCCAAGGGGATCCAGTGAATGAGGGTTGAACCTACCAGAAGGGCCCGCTCCAATTGCTTGCACGTAATTTGGCTACTTTCCAAGCGTTGTGGTCAGGCTGGTCGGTGGATGAAGTGGGACGCCATTATCAACGTTGCATTCTGGACCGTTTCCGGAATCGATGTGGTTCCATTGCTTAAATGAAATCTCGATCACGTCATTTTCCCTAGAAGATGAGGACGAAAGATAGGTTCTGTCTATAATTGAAGTAGCGGGCTGCAGCACATCATGTTTTTTGTTTGGTTTTTTTTGGCTCAGCTCGTCCTTCCCAGGAAAACCCGTTGCCAGAAAGCCCTCAACGTCTTGCTGAAGGTCAACCGAATCCGGTGACTCCATTCAGCATCAATGGGTCTGTCGACAGTCTCTCGGAAGCTTTCGAGAGCAACGGAGGATGTGTCAGATACTCCTCCGGAAATCCAAGACAATGGCAACGATCGGCCGCCCAACCCTGACCGTAAGCAAGCGTCTATGGACGAAGTCTCATCCAGCGATGAGGAGCATATCAGGAAAGTTAGCGATACGGATGCGATAGAGCAGGAAAGTGAAGAGGATCCGGAGATTACAGCGCTGCCTAAGGAGGTTCGACAGCTGGTCAGTCTCACCGATGATCCGACCTTGCCCACGATTACCTTCCGATATTTCATTCTTGCGATCATCTTTATCGTTCCCGGTGCATTCCTGTCCCAGATGAGCCACTTTCGTACAACCCAAGCACCGTATTCGATTTTCTTCGTCCAGATTGCTACCCATTACGTGGGACACTTCTTTGCGCGAGTGTTTCCAGCCTGGGAGGTTCGGTTGCCATTCACAAAATGGTCGTTCAACCTGAATCCAGGGCCGTGGAGCCCCAAAGAACATGTGCTGGTCACCTTGACCGCGGCATCTGGTGCAACATATAATTTGGGCTATACTCCGATTGCACTGGCGGAGCTCTTCTATGGCGAAAAGCTCAATCCGGCTGTGGCAATCTTCTTCATGTTTGCGATCAATTGGATTGGGTACGCATTTGCAGCCATCGCGCGCCAGCTTCTACTGTATGACCCTACATACATCTGGCCGCAAGCTCTCATGCAGACCACCCTCTTCGAGACATTCCGAAAGCAAGACGTTTCGTCTCCCCTTGCCCGGCGGCAGCTCAAGATCTTCTTCCTTTCTCTGGTGGGAATGACCTTATGGCAATTTCTCCCCGAGTACGTGTTTCCTTTCACGTCCTCGCTGGCGTTTCTTTGCTGGGTGGCCCCCCATAACCCAGTAGCCAACTTTGTTGGCTCCGGTCTCGGGGGAATGGGCTTTCTCAATTTATCGCTCGATTGGTCGAACATCAACTGGAATGGCTCGTCCATTCTGCTTACACCCTGGTGGACACAGGTCATTTTGTTCTTGGCCTTTGTCGTCAACTGTTGGATCCTCATCCCAGCCGCCAAGTGGGGAAACATGGGATCATACAAGCACGGCCTGATGTCAAAATCTCTCTTCATGGCCAATGGCACCAAGTACCCGGTCCTAGACGTGTTGACCACGGACTTTCGCTTAAACCAAACCGCCTACGAAGAGCATGGCCTCATGTACATGGGTCTACAGAATGCCTGGGCCACATTCTTTGACTATGCCAAGGTAACAGCGGCGGTTACCTGGATTGCTACATTCGGTTTCTATCAGCTCAAATCGAACCTAACCAAGGCCATTGCATCACGAAAGAAGTCGGAAAGGTCCAAAGGCCAAAATATCAACTACCAATACCATGATCGGCTCAATGTGCTCCAGCGGAATTACAAGGAAGTACCTCTTTGGTGGTACGTGGTTCTCTTCATGGCTGGGTTTGTCATTCTCCTGGTGGCCACTGCTTGCGGATACCTCTGGATTCCAGTCTGGACGTTGTTTGTTGGTCTGGCCACGGCCGGTGCTTTTGTCCTCCCCTTTGGTTGGCTGTACGCGATCTCCAACTACCAGCTCGCGGTAGGGACGTTCAATGAGATGCTGTACGGATACATGGTCCACACGAAAGCAGGCGAGTCCCATCGCCACCCCTGCGGGCCTTCCACGTACGGAGCAATCGCTGGCGACGCTTGGTATCGAGCTCAGTACATGCTACAAGATCAAAAAATCGGGCACTACATGCACATCCCGCCTCGAACGGTCTTTTTCTCTCAGGTTTTCGGAACTGTCCTCGGCATCCCGGTCAACTACGGCGTGATTCGCTGGGTCTTGAACACGAAGGGCGACATTCTCAAGGGGATTGAGAAGGATCCGCTGAACCAGTGGACTGGTCAATCAATCATCGGTTCGAATACTCTCGGGGTGCAGTATGCCGTCATCGGGCCCCAGAAGATGTTCGAAAACCCCGAGCTGAGGGCTCTTCCTTACTCATTCCTCGTGGGAGCCGTGGTCCCTCCCATCCTGTACATTCTGCACCGCTTCTTACCCAAACTGCGGGTTGACCTGTGGAATGTCACCATCTTCTTCTCCGGTCTCTCAGTCTTCTATGGCAACATCAGTACAGGGTATACCTCAGCCATCATCGGAGGATATGTGGTCATGTACTGGTATTACCGACGCCGGTTCGAAACATGGAAACGATACAGCTATATGGTTGCGGCCGCCTTCGATGCTGGCTTCAATCTGAATATGCTGTTGATCTTCTTGTTCTTCGGGTCCGGGAAGAAAATCAAGATGCCCAACTGGTGGGGTAATAATGCAGACTCCGTTGAGCGGTGCTTCGCCTTGTGAAATGATTCCAGTGATTCTGCATAATTCGGCGTAGGGCACGGTGTTCCTTCAGAGACTCAATCAGATATACAAACCTCTTTCAACTCACGCGACCCAAGACAATCAGCAATACCCACCCCAATCGTGTATAAAGCATATTACTGTACATAGATCTCATCTCATAATAAATAAGTGTCTGCTCTCCATCCATCTGTTCTCAAGTACTCATGGTTACCTTTGTATGTTCGTAATTGCTTATTGCTTGGTAGATTGTCGAGTCCTCAACTCTGGTATGTACTAATTATCTTGGGTTAGAGCAGACATCAACCATGTTCCACATTATTACATACTCGATATTGGTTTGAGCTTGACAATTGCGACATATGATCCATTTTCTCGGTTGGATCTGCGCTTTCGAAGCCACAGACAGCACCACAGTTTTATATGTTGCACTTCCCCCGCCTAGCCTACTTCTTTTTTCTTTTACCGTAATAACAACCAGGCATATTCTGTTCATGGAGTTTTCTCCTGTGATCCTGATGATGGGTCGACACTTGAGCGAGGACGCCATAGGAATTTGTATAAATCGAGGTGAGCTTTTTCCGAAAGAAAAGCCTATCCCTGCAGGTTCAAAGCGAGTCGGGAATACATCATGCAAATTCAGAAATCGAAGGTTACGAAAGTATATCCATCTCTTGAAGATTACTCTCCATGCCATGTCAGATAACGCCTTCGTCGATTTGCGAAGAAGTTTTCCCTTCATTGAACTTCGCCAAGACTGTGGAAGATTAATTGAGATTAAGACAGCCACCTATTTTTGCTGGTATGAATCGTCTAGCGGTCTCAACCGCTCGCTACCCTGATTGAAAGTACAAGGGTCGACATGGTCATAGAGAAAAAGTCGCTCAACTGCTATTAGATTGATTATCGGATAAGATTATATTCTCGATATTCGAGCCAATGCCCTATATGACTATCTCTGCCGAAGTTCGAGAGGCTCTGATCATTATCTCCGAGATGGACGGTGGAACAGGTGGATGTTGACAGGACCCTAGGATCCGATCTGATAAGGAGAAAGACATGTTGAGCTCTTGGCAAGCAAAGCAAATTGATAGATAATTAATGGCTTGCGGCGAAACCCTGAGAAATCTCCAGGAGTGGAAGTCATTCAACTCATGCCCATACATCATGGCGAGACTATCTAATCAGATCAAAGAGCTGTCCGGTCGGTTCAACCCCCCAAAACAACCCTTGATCAGTGGTATTCTGACGGAGGAGCTCGTTAAGGTTACATGAAGGGGTGAAACAAATACAAAGCATGTATGCCCTCTAACCATGCCACCATGATGAGTCCAAGTCTTTTCTTCTTGTCTCGCAGGTCACTAGCTGTCCCTATGATGTGCATACGTACTAGATTTCCCAGACATTTTCATTGTATCATCTGTCTATATACACCATCACATACGCATCCTATGGCTTCTTGCACAAGGCTCGTAATGCTATTCTAATTGCTTCCATACTAACCGTTTGACAGTTCCTCTCAGGGACTGGGCTCCGAGAATTCCCTGGAATCAAGCCATATTCGCCTTTCCCTTCCTCCCCATCATAATTCCTCCCTCGCGAACACAGCTCGTATCCAAAACGCTCATCTCTAACCGCTTCTCATACGCCTGCTTGCTCTTCTCCGCCGACGTCCGCAACATAAACCACCTCAAGTGCGGCAGCGGTCGCAACAACTCATCCACACAATCAATCAGCCAGCCCCCAAGACCATGGCCCTGGTATTCGGGAAGGATGTACAAGTCGGTCAAATAGGCAAATGTGACATTGTCCGTGATAAGGCGCGCGAATCCAACCTGGACTAAAGTATCTTTTGGGCTTTTTGGATCAGTGGTTGTGGTTTTGTTCCTTTTGTCATTCGGATCGCTGATGTTTGATTGAACTTCGTACACTCCGAAGCAGAATGAACTGTCAATGATCTGTTTCAGGATATCCTCGGGGTAGCTTTTTGTCCAGTACATGAAGTCACGGTCGAATACGGCGTTGATGGCTGATACCGAAAGGAGGGTTTTGTCCGTCGATACGATGAACGCATCTTGGGTCCACGTCTGGGGTTCGATGGGCAGTGACATGGCCTATTATGTATGTTGTTCGGCTTGCGTCGTTTCCACCCGGTCAATTGCCTGGCTCGTGTTTAGCAGAGGGATGTCTTTGAGTTTGGTAGAAGTTATGTTTTCTTTAAAGGGTTTTCCGTGGTGTTTCATCGTTTATCGTTTTATCGTCGGTTTTGAAGTACGAGGTGACTCACGATCTTAGCCGTGATAAATCTTGGCGTTCGATTGCCAATCTCATCCACAAAGCAGGTAGGAATTTAGAAAGAATTATTAAACCCTGGATTTCGGGAACAAATAATTGTGGTAGTTCCTCGGTTTTCTACTCGATGGCTGAACCCGTGCGTGATGCACCAAATTCCGTCATTAACTTCAATACTAGATGGCCAGTGCACCTGGCGATAGACACTGTACATGACTCACAATGGAACAAGGCAAACCAATTAACCAAGGAACATTTCCTGTTTATAAGGGATGTCAAGAAGGCAGATATATTTCCCTCGGCCCTTAGATATTACCGGCCTATAAAGTCCTAGTACCAAGGGCAGAAAATATATCATCCCAACTAGTAACATCACCAGAATTCCCAAGCTCGATGAAGCTTTGCCACATCCCATCAATATCACTGATTCCTTCCTCGAGACTATTGGGCCACAACACATTCCCATCTGTCGTACTTGGCGCAGCTGTGCATATATCCGTCGGATCTGCGTTGGAGTTACTTCCGGTCGGCGTAGGTCGGGGAGTAATCTCGGGAGAAACTCGGATCTGGTACTTGTGGAGGATGTCTATGAGTGACTTCAAGAACCGACCGGCGATAGAAGATGACTCCTCCGCCTGCTTCAGCACATAGCATGCCTCCATAACTTCTTGTCGCCGGCCTTCGTTGTCTTCATCCTTATTGATACACAAATCTATAACAAGGACAGCAGTCGCCAGAAAGAAAATGCAGAGAAATGTAGCCAGTCTCACGTGCACAGATGCAAGGAGACCTGCATCCTGCTGTACCGAGTTGTGCATGTTGATGATACTTCGAGCGGATTCCAGACAGACCTTTCGGGAGTACTCGTATCCCGGATCCAGCGATATACGGGTCAGGAACGGCTGGTTCAGTTTGATCCGACTGGAATGAAACGTGCTGGCTATGATGTACCGTTGGAATATTGTCTGTGGATATCGACGATCAACATTACGGCTCTGCTCACGACTTGCTGCATCATGTCGGAAGAAAACAGGAAGATCGCGCAGAAATTCGTCAAATTTCCGGTTCAACGAGACAATCATATCGTATTCCACCATTGCCCAGTCCGACGGCGAAAATGGCAGCGCATCTACTACACTCCGAGAGATCTCTGCCAGCTTGATTCGCAGTATATAGTAAGTCATTGCGGTTGGTTGTGACAAAGGGAGGGTGTGCTCCGGGTCGGAACGCTCTAAGTCCAGATCATCAATGTTGCGTGGACGATTCACGCACATATGTTTAGGATGAACTAGGTACGTGCCTTGCTGAGGACCACCAGAGAGTGATAAAAGCCTGGATGATAATGTCAGAGTTAGTCCTACTCTTCTCACCGGATAAGGGATCCTGACTGCAGACGATGTTACGAACAGGTGGTAAAGAAAAAATAGATAGAGAAGGGTGAACAAGAAAAACAAATGGCATTTAACGACATCACTGTCCAGGTTTAAGAAGCTCACCAGTCCGTTGCAGCCATGTGCCACCATATCCGCCTCTTAATTTCGATCTGTACGGGGTCCTCATTATCTCGAAAGGTGTCTGCATCAATCCGATGGAGCGACAAGTCCCTTGCCATTATTAGGGCGCTACTGCTAGTTGTACGAAACCTCGAGGAGAATCCCTCGATATTGAAGATAATGAATGATAAGATAATTGCCGCCTGAACATCTTCTATCGAACCTTGAGTGCTGCGACGGGAATATTCGAGGGTATCAAGAGCCGCTTTAGTCTAAGAAATGGCACAGCTCACAGCGTTCGCTTGGTTGAGAAAGAGTGAGTCGGCGGCTTTTGCCTCCAGCATATATGCAGTACTGGCAAATATGCTCAGGAGAAGTGCGACATGGCCTGGCTCAGGGCTCGATCCGAGTGACAGTTGCTTGTACGCATCTTCAAGAAGAAGACGAGAAGACGGTATATGCACAACATAGTGTATGTATGCTATGTATTCTGTATAGCGCTCAAGCAGCCAGCTAGCTTCATTCTTAGGGGGCAGCCGAATATTAAGAACCATGCTCCCAGTGGCTGCACCACTACCGAGCGAATATTCAGAGACAATTGCTGTCAACCCTTGCCGAATCGATATCACGCTGAAAGAGATCCCATTAGACAAGCCCGAGATCTAGTAGTATTCCAGTTACTAGAAGAATATCGTAGATGACTATCAATCACTCACGACTGGAGCCTCGCGAGAGCCAACACCATCGAGCCACTTAGAGTCACCCTCGCCTTCCGAGATGTGAGACAGAGGAGCCAGTGCCGGGGTGGTTTTTGCAACAGAGGCGCGCTCCCCTTCGTCAGCACCATGAGACCGGAGGACGATGGCTTCCAATCTCGTCAAGCGGGCTAGAATATTATCGTGGATTTGAGTAGGGGCAGAAGATTGCTCTTGGGCCAACTGTGCTCCGCTAGACATCACTGGTACTCTCTCGCATGCAACTCCACGCGTCAAGCAATTCGAGCATGGCTGTTCTCGATTGCATCTCAGCTTCATGGAGCGACAAAGCTGACATGAGACGGGAACCTGCCGTGGTCGCCGTCGTTGTATCTTCATCGCACCGAGGGAATTTCTTTTCAATGCCCAAAGATACGAACAGGATATAAGTAAGTGTAGATTCTTAGGGAAGGCTGGAGAGGTCAGATGTCAGCACACCAGATGTTAAGATCAGGTGAGTCCATGTGAGCTTATCTAAGATTTGATGCCCAGATAGGTTTAGCCTTCCTCTCGCACTGTACGAACGATCAGCAGTTATCCTTCTGTACTTATCATATTACAGATATTGATTGAGCTTGAAAGTATATAATGTGATCATACATCACGACTGAGTGACATACAGTAAGGACCCTACCTATGATATATAAACACAAGAAGATCCACGGCTATTCCTGTATGAGTCCAAAATTGAATAGCAGCAACTCAAACGTACTTATCCAAGACTAGGTTTGTCCCATGGCATGACTATGAGACGAGAGCCATGACTCCAAGCGACATATCCAAAGAATGGGGACAAGCTTCGAATACCATTTCAGCATCTTCCACTTGCGAACCAGGCGACCAACCTCCTCGTGATCCCCGTTGACGGACTTAGCATTGCACTTGACCTTCTGCAGAAGGGGATTATTTGTACTGCTTATGGCAAGCAGGGTGAAAGGAATGCTTCCTATAGTCACGATAATAGCAATATAGTACAAGATCATGCTGTTGCACGGCACGCGACTGGCCAAGGAAGTGCCGGGCCGGACAGACCATGCGAGCTAGAAGAATGCTGCGGCACTCAGCGCCGCATCAGGGGACTTTGAGCTGTCCTATTCTTAAAGGAGTTCCTCCACCGCTTCACTAGGCTACTAGCGGGATGGTATTCCTCTCGTCGGGAACGAAGCAGTCCTTATACTTCGATGGAGCCCTGACGTCACGATTGTCTTATGAAAGATTATCCTACGACTCAACGAAACAGACCGAGCAGTCTGGAGAAGCAATACTAGATATACTACTAGGCATATCATTAGCCGCCAACATGGATGTCCTTGGCTCAGAGATATTGTTGACTATCACTATGGGGAACAGCACTTTCCAGCACCAGGGCGTGCGCATACTAGTGATGAGTCTGGACCCTCTTGAAAATGTAACTCCGTGGAGAACTATTCGATAGCCGAAAATCACAGCACGCGGAATGGCAGCCTGCCATAATCAACGAAGCTACCAAGTCTGGTATAGACATGTTTACGCGTGTACGTTCTGAGGCTGTTCAGGATGGTTGGCGGAAGCATTTCCGAATCGAGACATTCCCGACATTGCGTCACAAGGGTGGAATGCTTGTCTTTCGTCAACAGTTGTGGATTTCTCAGGGCCTCAAACTTTTTTTTTTTTTACGTTTTCCTCTTCTCAGGTACACTACCCTACAGGGGAAATTATTATCATTAAAGACTTGCTGCGCAATGTTTAGTTGGTAAGTCGTTTTGTTCACTTCGCTACACGATACTCATCCATTCCTTGCAGGTATCAACGAAGCTTAATCCAGCGTCCTGTTTTGACGCAAAGCCTAACTACGGCGGTATGCTATTAGTCTGCTCTCCCTATCTTCGAGCTTAGTTCCGTGGTTAATCGAGGCTTTAAAGTGCCTCTTCGCCGTGGGAGACGGTCTAGCGCAGCAAGGGGTAGAAAAGAAAGGCATTGCCCGCCATGACGTAACCCGCACTGCCCGTATGGCACTTTACGGGGGAGGTAAGCATGGGTAAAGCTGGATCTGAGTTCCGTTACTGAGTTTATTGTAGCTATCTTCGGCCCGGTTGTCACCAAATGGTTCCAGTTTCTGCAGAAGCGAATCAATCTCGACACACCGGGGAAAACCCTCGTGGCTCGTGTTGCTGCAGACCAGTTAGTTTGTGCCCCAACCATGATTGGCGTATTTCTCTCCAGCATGGCCCTCATGGAAGGGGGTGATCCGAAGGAGAAGCTGAACAAGACGTATTGGCAAGCCCTCCGGACCAATTGGACGATCTGGCCCGCCTTGCAGTCCGTGAACCTGTATCTTGTACCATTGCAGTATCGGGTGCTAACGGTCAACGTATTCAATATCGGTATGTACCTTCTGCGCAGCGCGTTCTCATGGATAGCATGTACTATACTAACCCAGCGAAGGATGGAATTGTTTCCTGAGCTTCTTGAACAATGCCGAAATGCAAGAGTTGCCGGTTCTCTGATTGCCGCTACGATATTCGAGGTTTATTTAGCGGTGGGAATAGATCTTATGCAAAAATGCTCGGGTCAAGGAAGCTAGATCATCATTCGTTGCTCTTGTTTTCTGCTCGTTGTTAGAGAAGGGCGGCATATTTCCTCTTCGGGACAAAGCCGCCCTATTGTCGGGATTCCCGATATGGAGCTTCCGACATGGATCAATTAGACAGGTGGGAAGCTGTATTACTAGGGTATATTAGCAAGAAGATGGAAATCGAAGGAGTTCGTATTCACGGTCAGACCTACGCTACCTGATCTATCGCTCACCCATATCCTATCCTCCCTAAATGACCCCCGCGAGGGCATCCTCATGAAGGTAAATTGGGTGCCTCGTCGCTCATACCTTCCACCCAAGCTGTTGTCAGGCGAGTCAAGTGTACAAGTAAGCAAATTGTGCGACCATGGCCCATTAATGTGATGTGATCAATCCGGGTGCACTGGTCATACAACCATCTGGCAGGACAACTGGTGTTCGACAAGCGTACCACAACTAATCGGTTCCGATGCAGCCTACCAGCATCTGATGCTCAGTTCATTGTAGTCAAACTTCTGCTCGTAGATTGACTCCGCCCCATCGAACAGTTCTGGGTAATTCCCTTTCTTGGCGATGCTAAACCCTGCTGTTATCTTCAAGGTCGCCTTTAAGAAGAACAGGCATCCTGAACAGGGTGGACCGAAACCACGTCCTCAATGTGGTAGAAGAAATAGGCTAGGCTTAGTATACGACCAGCTGACATACCAAGATGGCCATCATCTATTAACCGCGCTCCATGAATGGTTATTATTATGCTAGACAGATGATGGTTAACGGAGCCTCCTTCACCTCACATCAAGGGTGGTATTAGGTTTCAGTCCGTGCTACACGCGGCAGAGCAGTGCCTGACCATGATAATTGTCGTATTCCTTCTGTGCGGTCTTTGTGACAGTTCTGTTAAAAAACGTGTACTACATACTCACTTTCATAACCAATCTCTGGGACGATTTATGGCTTTCGCTTTGGGAAATGCTGACACCTCACAGATCGAATAAGTCATGGAAAGTTCAAAATTCAAAGTCTTCATTGTCAGTGGCTTGTTAGCCAGCTTGACATTAGCTCATTGCCTTGAGCATGCTGGAGTTTCCTACCCCGAGCTGGAGAAGCACAGAATCGCTCCTGAAATAGGCCCATCTCTTGGGATAATGCCAAATGGGGGTCGGATCTTTGACCAGCTTGAAAAGTACACTAATATCGAGGCCCTCACAGCTCCCATCCAGGCAATCCGCTTCGCCTTCAACGATGGGTATAGTGTTCTTGACCGAATAGTTTCGACATTCAATGCAAGGCGAGGCTCTCTGAAAGAGCTGAGTTGTTTGCTGGAAAAATTTAAAACACAGGCATGGATATCCACTCACGTTCCTCGAACGCCGTCGGATCCTTGCAGTACTCTATGCTAAAATTAGAACACAAATCGGCAGTAATAACCCCCAAAGAGGTGGCCAGCATCGAGTAAACCGAAGACCACACCCGAATCACAACACAAGATAGTTCCACCTATGACGGAGACATTGTGGTCGGCGCAGATGGCGTTTATAGAATCGTACGGTACGATCGGAAATGTTGTCATAGTTTATTGTTCTGCTAATTGAAGATATTAAACCGGTATTGGATTCAGAAAACGGACTATTACCACCGCGTACCGTCAATCCACGTATTACATTAAGATTAATGGCCTCTAGAGGCAAGGCAAGAAACAAACGCCAGGAATATATTGATACCCCCTTATACCTAGACGAGCTCACTGCTTACAGGCTTCTCTACAAGTAGATACTAATATCTGCGCGCAGGCCTAGAGTATATTTACGGATTGGAGTTCTACTTCTCTCCCACTTCCGCAAGGTGCTCCGCTCCCTCATAAAACTTGGGCAAAGGCTCGAGCTTTTGCCTCAAAACCCAGACACGGAAATGCCAGACCGCATTCTTGATTTGGTACTTTGCATGTTTCCGGGTCGAGACTGAGAATACCTGATCCAATTCCTCCAGGGTCAAAGCTAACACAGGTTAGTAATTCGACCAGAGCTTCAATGCAATGCCACCAAGGATTACTTACATTTCGTCTCCGGCACGAACAGCAAGACCAGGACCCACCCGATCAGACACCACGCAGCGTACCAGGCAAACGCTCCTTGCGGCTTGAAGGCGCGCAGCAGAGAGGGCCAAGTAAATGACAAAATGAAGTTGAAGCACCATGTGGTAGCAGTAGCCCAGGACATACCGACTTCACGCACGTGCAGTGGGAAGGCTTCCGCAGAGTATGTGAAGGGCACGGGGCCTTCGCCCGGGGAATAGAACACTTCGAACAGGTACATCCCCGTTGTCACCATGGCCACCCGTTTCTTGCTGTGCTCGATGCCTTCCTCGATCCAGAAAGAGAACCCGGACCAAAATAGACAAATGGCGAGGAAAGGGAAGGTAAAGAGCAAGAGGTTACGCCGGCCCCATGTATCAATTGTGAAGAATGCTGGCAGCGCGAAGACCCAGTTCAGGATACCTGTACCCATTGATGCCAAGAGCGCCTCCTGAATCGAGTATCCTGATTGCGTAAATATTGTCGTCGAATAATAAGCGATTACATTCACTCCACAGAACTGGAAGGAGAGCATCTCAGTCAGCATTTGTTTGGTAGTAGGACATACTGAGGCCCTCTGGCGGACACCGGGCCATCGGCGATACGCTTCTACTAACCTGTTGCAAAAACATGACAATCCAACTAGCAAGCGTTGCACGAGCATTACGGGGGACTGTGAAAAGCTCCAAGAACATAGTGAAGAAGTTCTTCCCCTTGTTCACTTTTCTCTCTAGCTCAACCCCGACGTATGCATAGTATAAGTCACGTGACGCCTGGATATCTGTAGGGCGAAGGATACGAAACGCTCGGAAGGCCTTCTCAATCTTGTTGTGCTCAATTAACCAACGAGGGGATTCCGGGCAGATATAGACTTGCGCACAGACAACCAAAGGCAAGACTACCGTTGAGCCCAACATCAGGCGCCAGGAGAGGTCATCCGATAAACCCATGAACGCAACCCCCATGATATTTCCCAGCATGATGCCGAAGGCAGTCCACATCTGCCACATCATAACCAGGGCTCCTCGGATCGGAGCGGGCGAACACTCTGCGGCATACACGGGGACCGTGGACGATTTGGAGCCGATGCCCAGGCCAAGGACGAAACGGGCGATAAACAGATTGACCCAGGAGTTGCATACTCCTTCCCAGACTGAGGCAACGGCAGCAATGAAGCAACTCACAAAAATGGTACCGCGCCGGGCCAAGTACCTGTTCATGGGCTCCGTGAGCCAGCAGCCGATAACCGCACAAGCCAGGTAAGGCGCGCCAACAACAAGACCAGTGATATACTCGCTCGTAATATTGAGTTCCTTCACACACGATCAGTTCAAGTAGTTCTCATAACCGAATGTGGCTATCCTACCTTAAGATAAATGGCCTGGGCGCCATTGTTAACTGTTTCGTCCATACCCTGAACCGCCGCGGCCAACGAACACATAGCTATGTCCTGATTAGTACAGATCACAAAATCAAAAGAGCCCCGTTTGGCAACCGCTTCCAGTACGTACATGCCATGAAGTAGAGCTGCCAAGGCTGCGACCATTTATGGGTTTTTTCACGCTGGATCGCCTCTCTCTCAGCCTCGGTCAACTCCGGCATATTGTGGACATCTTGGGGATTCTGCGAGATCAGAGCTCCTTTACGGAAGAGCTCCTTATGCTCCTCCAGGCCATACTGGACACAGAATTTGTCGACATCCTCTAGGAGCTGTTGGCGGGGAATTCCTTCCAGGGGGTTCTTAAAAACGGTGCTGAGCTTGTTGGCGGGACGACCCTCGATGTCATAGATACTCGAGCGTCGCGGCTCCTCCGAATGTTCGATGGTGGGAGAGACGTCATCGACGCCCTCTACTTTCTGTCCGGCGGTGGTATCCAGTCCGTATTCTTCCTTCATCTTACAGGCCGTGAAAAAGGAATAAAGGAAAGGTAAATAGCAAGTCGGTCAGTGAAAAGTGAGTTTTCGGACCATTGAAAGGTATCGGAGCACAATAATCTTGATTTTCTAACCAACCTGGGACTTCCAGGTAACTAGCATATTTTCAACTGGCGGTCGATGACACCTCACAAGAACAAGGTGTACCACTTGTGGTGCGGGGGTGCGTTATCAGGGTTTATATGACATACGGGGTAACAGCCTCGATGGATGGCTTCGCACGGCCAATCCACCCCAAAATGAATCATAGCCAATGAGACCAGGGAAGAGGGGTCGTCGCCGGGAATGGCTCAATGGTCAGATCCGGCTCATTCCGCTACCAGGCAATAGAGGAAGCGCGGGAGGCTCAACGTACATTACGAACTATGATTTTGGTGTCCAATATGAAACCGCCCCATCCACCCCGGAATGCGTACGCTCTACTAGGGAATAAGAGTTACAAGCCATCAGCGAGGATGCTCACCCTGCGGTGCAGATCTTCCCGACTTTCTAGCTAGAATCGGACAATAATTGTTTTGATGCATAGCATTGGGATGTCTTCGGCACAGCCGAACCAACCGAAAATGGGTCAGACGGATAAGTGCGTACGACACACCGTCGGTCGTCCTAATGGAACCACGACTCCAAGGCCTAGTTTCACCGTCACGCCTTACACAGTGCCCTCAGATGGACCTTCCCTTCAGACGACTCAGCCCCCACAATGCATTTCTCCAACGCGGGAACCCCGTGGGGAGAGTAGTTTTCTCCACGCAACATGGCCAACGTGAGATGCCTTGTGGAGAAGTGCAACGCACCACGAGTCAGGCCATGGTATAAGTCCATGTGAAAACAAAACTGCCCCATCCCACTGGCATTGGCTGTTCCAACCCTCTTCTCCTCAGACTAGCGACCGACCAAGCAACACGAAGCAATCAGTCTGGGGCATAAGGCCAAGAGGGATCTACCGGGTGGCGTCCAATCATGGGTGGGCCACAACCCTATCTCTGGCGTCATACGCTGGCTTTGGATTTGCGACTCTTCGCGTAAGACAAGGCTCTGCTCTTTAAGATTACTGTCGCATCTTGGAGGTGCGTCTTTTAATGCCATAATCTGGTTGGGCGTCCGTGTGGCGCTCTTAGGGCCGACGCTTCCCACATCCTGGACCATAAATCCAACCATCTCAAATCCCAGTTAGAGCCAAGTGCAGATTTCCAAGGGTATACATATAAAGTACTAGTAAATATCGATTTTAAGGACAGTGATTGTGAGGTTCAGATGACTGTGCAAAGCCACTGGTGTTACATGAGTCCGCTCGCCACCCCCACTCTGGGATTGAGGGGTTAATCCCTCAAGTTCGCAAAATGTACCCTCAATATGACGTTAATTAAGCTTTATCCAATGATACTAGGGACTGTAGAACGGCGTGTGTTGCAGCGACGAATCTGTCTTCCGTCATCTCCGGAACTGGTCTTCCGTAGCATTCTTATGCCGGGTTATGCAGAGGATGACTCAACTACTATGTCCCGTAACTATAGCTAACCCTAATTATCTTGGCTTATTCATATCACGTGTTAGAATAGACGAAGAATAAATTTGGGGTGTTTTTGGGGGGGTTCGGAAAGGTGATTCTGTCTTTTGAATATTAAGTAGAACACGTGCGTTATTACAATTACATCTAGGCGACTAGTCTACGGAAATAATATGATAGAGCTGGTGTAGCTCACGTGTGGCGGATTGACTGTCTTAAGAGGTCTAAATCTATCGTACAGAGATTCCTTGGTGTTATGGTCAGGTCACGTGGTTACAGCCTTAGGCTCCCCATAGGCTCGGACATAATATCTAGGATACAAAAATTTCAAGCTCTTTACAGTTATAAACCACTAGTTCAATTACTAGTGGCCTACATCTGACATAGTAGCCCTTCTTTCCAGGACACAAAACTTGGGAATCAACCCTAGGTAAGACTTGAGCCTATGTGCGAAGGTTCCTATCCAGCGAGTATCAAGAACCACAGAGAGTGGCATCACCTCCATGCGAGTCGGTTGGTCAAAACGGGATTTCCTAGTTACTGCGAAATCCATGGAACCTTACGTTAGGGTCCTACAATACTGCTGTGATCAAGTGAAGTTGCCGCAAGGGGGGATTGGTTTTGGATGTGTACGTTCAAGAACATTGTGCTAACACTCAGTGGCATCTGTTTCGATCGGGTCGCCCTGTTATCGAAATCCACACCGCCTTTTCTAGCTGACAGATGGTCGGAAAGCAAACCATTCGGGTTGTAAGACAATGTGTGCCGGAGGGATGTTCTCCCTGTCCGGATCATCAGCCTTCCTCTACCATGATCTAAGGTCGGTATCGGCCCCTGGAGCCATGGCAAGGATGTTTAAACGAAAATTCTCCATATGCAGGTAGAGACATGGGCTGTAGGCTGAAGAGGTGTAAACGCCAGGAAGGACTAAACCACTTAGTGCCTCAAACATCTACATTCATCGTGTTCATTGCCAAGGTCCTCTGACCGACAACTCGGCTGGCTAGAGTACAATTTGAACATGATATCTGACAAATTATGGTGATCGTGCCTTTACCTCTATACGAGAACTTGCCTGGAAACCTTAGCCTCGGAGCGGGACCAAATTGTGCCAGCCAAATGGCGACACCCGGAGACCCGGCTTTTTTTCTTCTGTTCAGTATGCCTTGTTCCAGAAGTACCAGTAGGCAGCTGACACCACCTAGCCCTCGATTTTCAAGACCAGCGTAGAATAAGACGGGGTCTAACCGTAGTTCACGGATGGATGAAGTAACCGTATATCCTAGTGCAAAAGTAGATAGGCACAGCAACGTATGGGCCAATTAGAAGTGAGTCTGTGCAAAAGCTCAAAGTAGGTAACCGACAAGGAAAGCTTTGCGTAAGAATAGTCTTCTCTATGTTTCTAGTGCGTCTGGACTGCTTCAAACGAGACATAGTCATGTCGATCACCTGTATGAGCTACGGTATTTCATATGCCGCGATCGCGACATCGGCTCCACAGGTTTGCGGTAACAATATACCCCACCTTTGGTGGCTAAGGGAGGCTGTTTAGGTGTGTATGCAGAAAGGGTAACACATACTAGCCTAAACCGAGCTGTATTTCCAGGAAATAGACGTCAGGGCCAGTCTCCTAGGCGCTACTGGGTCTTACCATTTTATACAACCTCATAAAGGACAAAGCGGCCCCTTATCTTGAGTAGATAATTAGAAGATACTAGATTCTTCTGTTAGACTTGTCTTTGGATGTCCGGTGTATTATTCAAGGGGGGCTTCCTTCTATACACAAAGACCATCCGTTTGATAATCACAGTAGCAAAAAAGCTAGACTTAGGCCAGATATCTCCGTGTCTGTTTTTCTTCCCTAGTATGGAGTGCTGCGTACACACACTTTCTACCAGAACAGACAAGGAAGGCAAACTCCGTTCTGAGGCTGGGATTGTTGACTACAAGAAGTCAGTTTGGACGATCATTGACGTCAAAATCTAACTATTCTTTAGGGCTCCACCGTGTGCCCACTCCCGTCTTCAACATGTTGTGAATCAAAGTTCTTCATAGACTGCTAACGGATCACTCCAGTTAGCCACTAGGCAATAATTATGTTCACTTTTTTTTTTGCCTTTTGTTTCTCCATTACCCGCTGAGACTTTCCCGAATAGCCTCACGAATCAATAAGATCGACGGTGCAGAATCTCCATTTCACTTTATTCTCACTCGCGTCACTTACTTATATGGGACATGGCTAAGCCCAAGCAGGTTAGTCCTCCACAGAAATGACCCAAAACAAGCTCATGCGATCTTTTCCCGTTCGGGTATGCAGTCGGAGGTCGTAATTTCCTACGAGACCGAGATCCTGCGTCGAAAAGAAACCAGAGCACATGATGATCATTACCCTAAGACAAACCAATGGCTCGAACCATCAACATTTTGAATATTGACAGAAATAGGGCAACACTCCCACCCAACCGTCCATTACTGAGCTATCTATGGAGAATAAACTGCCTTGACGGACAAGTTCCGGCGCCAAGAGAGTAGAAAAGGGGGCGTATCCCGACAATTTGGCACCTCAACGGTGGAGTCCTCGGCACTTGGTTCAACTGTGGAGATTCCAAAGAACGCATGAACTCCGTGCGTCAACCAGAGGAATGATTCCATAGCGAGTCTTGGTGCCTCCGTAAGCTCGGCAGACGCAGAGGGTATCAGGATCTTTCGATTTTCTGAACCTGTAATATTGACAACCCACGTCGCAGGGGCAACCCACGAAGAAGCAAAAGCCAATACGCCTGATCGAGACTCAACACTCATGTGGCAGGTGGAGATAGGTACATATCTAGAATGGTTCCTGAATCAGGATCTTCTCCTGTCTAAGCGATCGAAGCCATCAGATTGGTTGCTTGGACCAGTGGGTGGCACAATTACGAGGTCGGTCCAAGATTCGAGAGAAGACTAACCCACAGCCAAGAGTTCACCTACCGACTGATAAACGTGACGATCATCAATATTGGAGCCATCCGACGATCCACCAAACTCAATGAGGATTCTATACCAATCAAATCGGGCAGGGGCACCGACGAAGAGCAGTCTCTCCGCTCGAGTAACTGATTCACGAGTTTTGGCTCTCTCCTTATAAATTCGGATGGCAGGCCACGAGCTACTCCGAGTCGCATGGCTTGAAACGGATTGCTGTCCATCACGCCCGTCATCTCGTCAGAATGGCGGATGATAAGAGTGAGACCATTATCATCATCACTTCCATTTTCCTCGCCCTGTCGCTGCTCACCGTCAGCCTTCGATGCTATGTCCGACTATACCTTATCCGGGCCTTTGGTGCGGACGACTGGACCATGGTCCTTGCAATGGCATTCAATCTTGCATTCGCTGTCTGCGGCATTGCAGGTGGTAAAGTGGGGTTAGGGAAAAGGATGGGATACTTTGCAGACAGGCCGAATGACTTGAGGGATTCGCTGCGTGTATACTCCCCATATCATCTTGAAGCCTGTTTGTTAAATTCCTGACGTACTCATTTACCCTCAGTTTTGGTGGTTAGGTCAAATATTCTACGCCTTGACGGGCACCGCCGGCAGGACTTCTATTGCAATCTCACTTCTGCGTATCACCATCGTTCGCTTACACCTGATCATTATCTACACGACAATCGCCCTGAGTATTGTGGTTGGTCTGCTATTCTTCTTTGTGACTCTCCTTGAATGCCGCCCAATCAATCACGTCTGGGACTACGGAATGAAGTCCCCAAACTGTGTCAGCAAAGATTTCCTTCTCGATATTGCCTACATCCATAGCGTGATCGCTGCCATCTGCGACCTTACCCTGGGCATATTACCCCTCTTCATGATCTGGAAACTACAGATGAACAAACGGGCCAAGATTTCTCTTGGCGCCATTCTTGGACTCGGTTGCCTGTGAGTTCGGGAGCAATTTTCAAACATCACACGACGGGGGAGGACACGGACTGATTTGTCCCCTCACAAATTTTAGGGCGGGTGCTGCGGTTGTGGTTCGCTTACCATATAATCACCAGTTCAAAGACCCAGACTTCCTCTGTAAGTCAAGCGCTATGTAGGAAGGGATCAAAATTTGTACGATTAGCAGCTAACCACGTCTTAGATGCTAGCGCCACTCTCTCTATCTTGGCCAACATCGAAGCTGGTCTCGGAATCACAGCTGGCTGCCTGTCAACACTTCGCCCCCTCGTGCGAATACTACGCGATGGCAGTTCCAATCCCAGCCAAGGAAGAAATGGCGGATCTACCATCCCCTTGTCCCAGTCGTTCCTTTCTCGCAGGGAGAGAAAAAGGTTATCCCACCACGAATCCGGCACTTGTTGGGCGGACGTTCCAAACGATGGGTATAAGAATCTTACCACCACTACTACAATCGCAGGATGCCGTACAACGAAGCGTAACAGCAGTGAGGAGAGCCTTACGCCAAGATATATTCCAACAAACGTGACGGTGCAGAACACATTTGAGGTGTCTGTGGCGGAGCACTAGCAGCAAGGTTATTGCCGGTTGAGCTTAGAATGATGTACAAGTTTCAATAAGTAGTATAATACCCAATACTAATCGTCTATCTTCTTTCTCAGTACGCCCCCAAAGAATACCTTCCCAATCACATTCTGGCTTTTTACTGTGCGCTTTTGCTGTATGCAAAGTATTTCATAAGACTGCCACCTTTACATCTTTCTCGTCGACAATATCGCCGCAGATTCTTAGGGCGACACAGATCGAATAACGTTTAAAATAAGTCCGAACATCAGATTGGTCCAGTCGCCCCTTGCCAGGTTCTAGGAAAAACCGCCATCAGATAATTAATGTACATGACCCACTATGTCTAGACACTTTTCGAATCTTGATACCAACAGGCCCACTAGCGTCGTTCTCCCCTACTTCTTACCCATTTTGTGAAACTATTCGATGCGATGATTCTAGTCCTAAGCCTTGAGGAAAGAACCGGGGATACGAAAGGCATCAATCAAGAGCTTGTCCCTATTCTCAGGGTGGTAATTTAGCGTCGGACACAGAAGCCCAAAGAAGAGACAACTTCCAGTGAGTCCAGTATTGTAGTACTATCTAGCAGGCTCGCCGAGAACCCTGCCAGAAACGTAAAATTCGTAGAATGGTGTACCATAATCACGGCTGCGAATAGGATTCGTTTCATGGATCTCATCCCAACTAGTCATTTATAATGCCAGTGGACTGGAACCTCTTCCCCAAATACTGGTACTACTCTACTAGGTAGTTAATCTCCAGAGTCAATCTCGATTCGGTAAATCTTCCAGACCTCAGACGGGGTACTGCCGAACGATGTAGCGACTCGGCTGCCGAGGGATACATTATGCGATCCTTGAGAAGAATTGGCTTGATTGGTCGGCAGTCACATCTGAGCGCAACTCGTATAATCAGTCTAATTAGTAGTACTGCGTTATGCGTGAGATGTAGACATCAATATTGTGACCATCCTCTGTTATGAGCCTAGAAAAGGGGCTATGAACTAAGCTATACGAGTCCTTAGTAGACCAAAATTACAATCGTGATCTCCGATATTCCTAACACTCCGTATGGATGGATACAGGGATGGAAAAAAGAACCGAGGCTACGCAGGACAGTAAAGGCCAATTGACCGTGTACCAAATGAAAGTGCACTCTTATAATATGCAATTTCCACTAGGCCGGGAGTTACATGTACACCGCAAAAGCTAGGCAGAGCTTAGATTTCCCGTCTGATGTTGTCAAACTGTTATGATAGATTCATGTCACTGGAGCAATAGAGTACTGCGAAGGTGAGGGTCCGTCTGAGTGCATGCCATTCTAGGGTGTTACTCAAACGCATTTCCCCATCGAAGATTGGATAATATCTTGCTGGAATCACTATTGACGCAATGTGGGAGGCAAGGGGTAAGCGAGGATAGTCACAACAAACACGAAACGCTTGGAATGCAAAGGCCGCGCGATAGGGTCTAGAAGCACCGTGAATCTAGTACTTAAGATGAGCAGAAATGACAGAAACAACGTATACTCAAGTGATGGAAACAATATCTCATAGTTCATACAGTCCCATTCTGCCAGCATGAGAATTTCATCTTTTCTTGGAGCCGTTGGCTTTTTACACCAGCTACATTCCTCAGCTGCACAGACCTTGAATATCGTCGCACACCAAGATGACGATCTACTATTCACCAGTCCCGATCTCCTACACGCTATTCAGGCTAGTCGCAAAGTCCGCACGGTATTCCTAACTGCAGGCGATGCAGGGGAGACCTCCACGGGCTACTGGGAGCAGCGTCAGGCAGGCTCCCAAGCCGCGTACGCGCAGATGGCGAATGTAGATAATGCCTGGACGCAATCAGACGCTGGCATTCATGGCAAAAATATACCTCTTTTTACACTCAATGGCAATCCAGACATATCTCTGGCCTTTCTGCAATTACCCGACGGTAACCTTGGCGGAAATGGCTTCCCGAATACTGGAAGTGCCAGCCTTCAGAAACTCTGGCAATCAGAAATCAGCAGCATCCAGGCAGTGAACGGATCGACCAGCTACACGAGTGACGAGCTTCTCAACGCGCTTGCCACTTTGATGAGTGATTTCCAGCCAGATCGGGTCAATACTCTGGACTACGTCCATGGCTACGGGGACGGTGACCATAGTGACCACCACACGACGGCTTATTATGTGCAAAAAGCAGCTGAAAGATACACCACCGGCCATACTTTGACTGGGTACACAGGATACCCGATCCAGTCGATGGCTCAGAACGTGTTGGATGATGACCTCAAGGCCAAGCAATCTGCTTTCTTCACGTACGCCGCGCACGATTCCAAGGTTTGCCATGACTTGGCCAGCTGCGGTAATGGGAATGAGGCGCAATGGCTACAACGACAGTATGCTGTCACGGGAGAGCCAGTAGCCAATGCTAGAACTCTTACCGCTCGTCGGGCCGTTGAACCAGAGGAGAGGGTCGTGCTTGATGGTACGAGAAGTAGAACCCCCGCTGGTGACTCCCTTGCTTATCAGTGAACACAGGTTGAAGGAGTTGAGGTTCTCCTTTCCAATGTCACAGCAGCTCAGCCATCTTTCGTCAGTCCCTGATCTCCGGGAATGTTGGCTTTCAATTTAGTAGTCACGAACAGCAATAAAAGCAGCACGCCGGCGAAAGTCACGATGGTTGCAACTAATCTGAAGAATGTCGCACGTAATGCGACGGCGACAGCATCATCACAGAATGCTGACTATGGCCAGGCGGTGGCCAGACGGCAGATAAGGCTATTGACGGAATGGTAGACGGCTATCCCGGACTGATAGTGAGAGAATGGGCAACTGTGGGTGGTAAAGCTGGGAGCATTTTAACGCTTACATGGAACAATCCGCAAATAATTTCCGAGATTTACCTGTGCGATCGTCCCAATGTCAATGATCAAGTCACTGGTGGCTCTCTCCGGTTTGACAACGGAAGCAGTGTCCCAGTTAATGTACTGGACAACTATGGGAGCCCCTAACAGGATTCAATTTAGCAAGAGAACTACGCACAGTCTTGTATTCACCGTAACTTCCGTTAGCGCATCTACTAGTTACTAGTAATGCTGGCTTGGCAGAGATTGAAGTATACGGAACCCCGTCTAGCTGACCGGTACAGGCTTTTCTCAAGTCATGCTCGCCGCTCATTGTCGCTAAGGATCTTAATTGGATGGCCTCCCTGTACAGCAAACTTTTTCAGCTTGAGAAGTAATAGATTGATACTCGTGTTTGGCTATTCCTCACAGGTTCATGGATTCCAAGGACCAGAAGGACGACTACCTGTTAATAATATAGGCTCTCCGTCCTCCTGGACTTGGAAGATATCCTCATGGCGAACGCCGAATGTACCAACCAGATAGATCCCGGGCTCGGAAGTAAATACCATTCCCGCCTTAAGTTGAGTATTGACGTTTCCCTTGTGAAGGTATGGACTTTCGTGTGCTGGGTAAAGAATACAAGAATTAGAACCCCTCTGGGCGTGCGGGGAAACCGTGGCGACATACCTTTGATACCAATACCATGACCAACGCGATGGGTAAATGCATCACCGTATCCGGCATCCGTGATAACCTTGCGGGCTGCGATGTCCACGCTCGCTGCGGAGAGGTTCACGCGAAATTGATGGGCAGATTGCGTCTGTGCTTCGAAGACGACATCCCAGACCTTGAAGGAATTAGTGGCGAAGTCTATAGAAGAGGAAAGGTATACCCAAACATACGGCCAACTTTTCTTCAAGGCTTGATGGTGCACGTGCATTTGCGGGTGGCTTTTCGAGGAAGGGCGGAAAAAATGTACGACAGATGTCGGATGAATAGCCAAGGAGATGGGCACTGATGGTATCAGCACGCTGGATCTCTGACAAATGACCGAAACCGCCCTCACCCAACGTCGATAAGGACGAATGTCTCCGCCTCGAGAACCTTCGACCCGTTCGTGCCCCCGTGGGGGTTTGCCGCATTCTCGTCTGTAACAAGTGTTAAATCGTCGTCCTGATCGAGAGGTCGTGCTTACATACCAAAGAGAACGATATCGAAGAATGGCTCTAGGCCAGCCGAGCGGAGACTGTTATCTAACGCTTGTGCGATTTCGCTCTCCGTCAGGCCTGGGTAAAGGCCTGTGAACGTCCGACATGAGCTTAGACACTGCCACCGGTGGGAGCGGCTCACTCAGCTTACACTTTCTCATCTGTCGGACAGCCTCCACTGTGCCAGTATTGACGGCACGGAGGATGCCGGCTTCCTTTGTAGACTTAATTTGCCTTACCCTCTCGACTTCTCCCGTGAGCCCAATCACCTCGAACCCAGAGCTTGCCAGTCCGCGTTGAACGAAGTCTCTCATTTCCTCGTCGACCATGAGCCGAGGGGCGCGATCAAAGGAGACAAAGATACTCGAGCTTTTCAGCGTATCATACGGATTCCAGTGCTCCTCCCAGGGAATAATATCAATAGGCTCCGGGAATGGCATGTTCAACAGGCGAGCTCTCTCTGCCTCGAAAGAAGGGCACAGAAACGACGTCTTCGCCGTGATGCGGCCAGACGAATGGCGAGAGGGCTGTACTACCATGAGGAAAGGTCGCTCCTCCGGCTATACTGGTGAGAAAGCGAGGCTAACAATCCGAGACAGACAGCGGCTTCCGCTTACCTCCCACACCTCCCATTCTGGCTGACTGACGTTGGCGTAGTATTTAAACGTGTAACCGGGCTCGACGATGAATGCATCAGCATCATCTGCGACAAGCGCGCGGGCGAGCCGACCGCGTCGGTCTTCAAAATCTTTCACTGCAATTGGGACCGCGGTCTCGAGGAAGTAAAGCCCGGTGCTCTGAAGATTTTGGATCGAGCACTGCTGGAACTCATCATATAGGGCAGAGGCGAGGCGCGAATGTGACTCGTTGTGGTTCTGGGAAGTTAGTAACTGTGTAGGGAGGCAGAATCAATTCAGTGGAAGCACTGACGTGCAACGACCAGTGGTAGCCGACTCCAAGCAGCAAAATGAACGCAATCAGACGTGGTACGGTCCTCGTAGAGTTTGGATTCGGGACGCAGCCTCGGACTCGGTGAGACGTCTCTTGAGGGGGGGAGCAAATGTCGCATTTATTTGACATTGTATTCGTTCATTGATGGGTGTCAAATTCTTGGATGCGGCATCGAAGTCAGTGAAGGTTCTCGATTATGCAACACTAAGGAGGGGAGAGGTTCACATTCCCCGCATTCGCATCTGCCGACCTTGATCTTCCAACCCGCCGTTGCATTGGTAGATACGGTGGGAGTAGGCGCAGTTGCGGTTATCGTTGTCGTTGTCGTTGTCGTTCTCGCTGGTATGGCTGTGTTTGGCGCCAGGAGAGGTATGTACCAGGCAGCGTTCTAGATGAGACCTGAGACCTGAGGCCATAACATGACGGTATATACAAGTAGCCATATTAATTCTTAGGTACTTTTAGTTCATTATTATGTGTATCTGTATTAGGCATATCAGTATTAGGCACATCAATATTAGATTGTCAAAGATGGCCGAGTGGCGCATTTTTTTGCCTCCTGATCCGACGGCCACAGGCTCGAAACCCGACTGGAACTCCAGATTCTTTTTTTTTTTTTTTTTTTTTTTTTTAAGAAAAATTTTTCCTTTTTCCTTTTTCTTTTATTTTTTATTTTTTTTTTTTTTTTTTTTTTTTTTTTTTTTTTTTTTTTTTTTTTTTCATTCTCCGATTCATCTTGCTTAGTCCAGCTCCATCGGACTGCGATGGTACTATCCAGATACCTTGCTATTTTTGATCTTTTTTGTGGAATTTTAGGAGCCATAATTCTCAAGTTGGTGTGGTCTTCATCACCCTCTCACGGTAAATGGGGTGGGAAGTGCATATATATACTTCGGCCCTTCTACGTATATGGACACATCCACCGAAACATTAGACTTGAAAATCTCAAAAACTACCGAAAGATCCTACAGGGTAAATCATATACGTACAAACTCCAGAGCAACACGGAAACCCGTACAGACCCCGTAGAATCCATCACAAAAATTGACTCTACACCACTGAGGCAGCTTACATAACGGGGAACTGTGCTGAACAATCAAACATTGAAGATGCGCTCCAAAGTCTACCACTTATCTTCGAATCAGGGTGGGTTAATGGGGGGTTCTAGTTCTTCACGGACGAGTTAGATCCAAGTATATCATGATATCCCCAGAGCGAGGAGAAAGTAAGATAGACCAAGACCGATATCGTCATCTCACGCCATCCGATTAGAAATCCACCGTTTCTTTCCCCGCACATTACCTTATATTGTGAAGCTCCCCAGACTCCTTCCTCTCCATCCGTTATGACCTCTCATCAACCACAGCAAGGACCAAGAGCACAATGACCAACCCAAAGATTACCTTGTACACCAACCACCGGTGCCCTTGGGCCCACCGCGCTCACATTGCCCTCAAAGAACTAGGACTAGACTACGAGGAAGTTATCATTGACCTGAGCAAGCCACGAGAGCCATGGTATCTAGACATCAACCCGGTATGTGTACCGCTACGACGTCTATGCCTGTCCGAAGCCCGGGGTATACTGACATTCGGAAATCCTCCAGCGCGGCCTTGTCCCCTCCATCACCTACGGTGAGCACACCATCACGGAGTCCGCGATCGTTGCGCAGTTCCTGGCCGACGCCCACCCGTCGCATCTCCTCCCTCCCTCCGACAGCGAGAACGGTGCCATCCAACGCGCCCGTATTGCCTTCTTCGTCGATACGTTCTTCAGCAAGGTCCAGCCCCATTTCAACACTTCGCTGCGCGCCTCGACCGCGGCGGAGCGGGACGCTGCGGGCGACGCTCTCGTCGCTGCGATCAAGTCGGAGCTGGAGCCTCTGCTGCCGGAGGGATCGGAGGGGAAGGGGCCGTTCTTTGGCGGCAGTGATAAATTGACGCTGGCCGAGGTGCTGACAGGCTCATTCCTCCTGCGCATCCTCTCCTTCCATCGGCATGGATTGCTGAGCGAGAAGTTGCCCAGCTTGCTCGAGAACACGCCGCGGTTCAAGCGGTGGGCGGAAGCGACGGTGCAGCAGAACAGCGTGAACTACATCTGGGACGAGAAAGTATCGGCGGATGGGATTAAGGCCAAGTTGGCGACCCTTGCGAAATAGTGATGGTAAGGGAGAAGGTGTAGATGTTCATGTTTATAACTGATTGATTGAATCGATGAATGAATGAATGAACGAATGACATCCCGTGATCTCTACCTGCCCTTTTCGGAAACCAAACTTGTAAACAAAAGCCAACCGCGCAAACGATGCAAACATCGGAGCCAGGGCTAAGGAGTCCAAGATGCTTCATATCTGGAAGGATGGGAATGCAATTCACAGCTACTTAGTGTTGGGGTCTCATTAGGCATTCCGATCAAGATTACGAAAGGGACATGGACGCAATTCTGGCCAGGTTCAACGATGTACCAAGCACTGATCATGAAGATATGCTCACTTAGGAAGGCGAGAACATATCTCAGTTCAAATGTACATAACGTCGCCGTTCTACACTGTAGCTTTTGACATACGTAGATGATATCATCCCGATTGACGCTCTAGATCCCAGAAATCTAAAGTATAGGATAGATGCCCCTCAACTATAAGCGTCAAGATGTGCGTAATGGATCAGTATACAGTATACTTTATCCTCGTTTGGGGGGTCCATTATGTGTCATCTTCCTAATAAGGTGACTATAATAGAAATCCTGGGCGGGCATATCGGTTGACAGCTGAACGGAACACAGGTACTTGTTGTAAGACATGGTATCGCCGCTATGAATGCCACAGAAGGCTTCCATGCCTCCAATGTCATCACCATCCGGGGAAATGACATTGGTTGCGTTCCCATTCGTACTGTGACAGCAGCACGTGGACAAGGGCTTTGAGTGGAAATTATATTCTCAGATGCACCTTGTCGATCACTGTACGAGCCAAAGTCAGGTGAGTCATAGCATTGGATTGATCCCAGGGTGGTATTTTAGTGCTTATTCCGCCAAGTGCAGGGGATTTCGAATTGTCCGCCTTATTTGACTAGCAGACCGGATAAAGCCATCAATCCAGGACTGGCAGTGTCGGCCAGACTATCGTGGAAGCCTTGGTGGCACATGGAAAGCACAAGGGTGTTATCCTTACGCGCAAGGTGAGATGATGGTTGCGCCTTGAATACGAAGCTGATGTGCTTTGGCGAGGTTCTGATAAGCCTAGAACGACCAAAGTCGCGCGACCCAGTGAACGAGGTCACATTTTAGCGGTCGACTACGGCGACGTTGACGGTACAATCAAGTCCCTCGAGGCGACACACCAGCGACACGGACACTCTGTGTATTCGGCATGGAATCCGATGCTATCAGTGAGGCTCAGGTCAATCTCCTCCGTGCTGCAGATTTGTCGGGGTCCACGAAGCGTTTCGTGGTCAGTGGCTACGACATGTTATTTAACGAAGATTATGGCCCATTGCTACTGTTCTCAGCGAGAACCGGAAACTGACCGACCACGGCTCTAGGCATATCCCCATGTTACCCCACTGTAAAGTGGGCTTTGGCGGCAAATCGCGCAGTGGAGGCGTCAGGCCTTGAGTATACCCGTGTGGTCAATGGCCTATTTCTGGACTAGTACGGCCTTCCGCATTGGAGAAGCCACCTCAAGCCATGGGTCAACGCGGTCAACGTGGCAAAGAGACGGGCCCAGGGATGGATTGGCGAAGGTGAATTTCATCACCTCTCAAGATATGGCGCGGGTTGTTGCCAGACTCATGGATTTGCCGGAGTGGTCGCCTGTGAGCGTTATCGCTGGCCAAAGTACAACCAAGAATATCCTGCAACTAGCTGAAAAAGCCCGAGGTGAGATTCTTTGGCGATTATCAGAGAGAGTCCTCTGGCTGATTCAAGAACAAGTGAACGATTTTCTGTGATATACGACCGCCTCCATGGCCTCCGAAACGGCCGAATATCCTTTCCCGAATTTCAGGAGACTGGACTGGAAGGCACTGGGCGATCATCGGAGTCCATTTTCGCGCTCTTCCATTATATCTCCAGCATTGGAGGGTATACTGTCCCCAGCGACAATGTTTTGGACGCTCAGTTTCCCGATATTCGAATGACGACGGCGAGGGAGGTCATTAAATCCTCGTGGCGAGACCGGTGATAGTGAGTTCAGGGCATGTACTCTTGTAACCCATGCGTACTCCAGATGGTGCCCCTTCACAGTCTCCACCTTTGTAGGCGACCAAATAGTGGAGATTTTAACTCGTCTTGGATTTTAGCGTGTTCACCATTTCAATGAGCCTCGCTGGAGCCAACATCATTAATAGTATGGATCGCCATGTCAGCCTTGTCGTCCTGAATAGCAACTGTTGTTCCTTTCGTTCTCGTAGCGTCCACACGCCAATGCTTCCAAAGTAAGAGCCAAAAATCATGATGAGTGAAAAGCAGATAGACGAGAAGGAAGTGATTGACGACGCGATCCTGGACCCGCTTTTTTTCCTGCTCTCTGCTCGCCGTGGCATCGAGCGCGATCCGCGTGTTCGCCAGACTGCGATTCCAGACGTTTACACCGTCAATTATCGCGGGAAATCTGGGGTCAAACCCATTAACCGAACTCCCTTCATTTCTCGATTTATTTGTGGTTTGGGGAGATTTCAACCCAAGCGAGTCTTCCCCTTTTGCTCCCCCACGCTTATCTCTGAGTTAACACCGGCTAGATGGAGTATGGTTGCGAGTGTCTTCGGACTCATGCGGTCCATATGCGGCGTTATCGAAAAGTCCAAAATGGACACTGAAAGGCAAGTTTTCTCAAGGAAATTTGAGGTCGCTCTCGCCTGCGCGGTTCTCATGAGTTTGATCTTCTTCTTCGCCAAACAGTACGCCCGACGCCACGCCGCCGCCGCGACACCTCCCCAGTATGACCCAGAGTCGTACCAGTGCCGGCTAGTCACGGCCATGAAGAGGATAGATCTACAATACAAGGAGATAACCACAGCGACGATGTTGGAGATGGAGAGCTACTGGAAGGATGAAAGGGCCTTGTGCGAGCGGTTTCGCATCGATGGTCTTGTAGATCCAGAGGATGAACATCTGATCTATGATGTGGTGGTAAAATTCTACGAAAATGGGGGCGTTGTACTGCTTTTCCCCTCGGCAACTCCGTCGCAGCCAAAGCCGGGTGTGGTGATTTCGAAAGTGTAGATAGTCGAGAATGATATGTTGATGCATATCTTTACCCGAAACATTGAATTCTTATCACGCTATTTTAACACCTCGTGTCAGGCGGTTATCATCGGCCGAACAGATAATGAGTCATCGTGTAAGTCATATCCTTCGTGTTAGCAGAAGCCGACAGAGAGCAAGTTGGTGATACTTCTCGCATTGGGAGAACTCTCTGTCAGCGATGGGCATTCAAGTGATTCTCGTCTCCGGCCGATCTGGGGTGGGAAAGACCTCCGTCGCCAATGAAATATCTGAGCAGCTGCGAAACCGTAATAGCCCTCACGCTCATATCGACGGCGACAACTTGGACATGATCTGTCCCGAGGAAGAGGGATCCGACCTGATGCTGAGCAATCTTGCGGCTATGTGGGGGAACTACTACTCCAAGCGAGGCTGCAAAAAGCTGATTCTCTCCGGAACGGCCATGGTGCTTGAGCATGAAGTTATTCGAGAGACGCTTGAACGAGTCATGCGGGACTCAACGCAACCGACGAGCCCGGACGACGCCACCGTTGATATAAAAGGCTTTATTCTAACGTCGCCAGATGACGTGATTAAAGACAGACTCAAAAGGAGGGAAATAGGTAGCCTCCTAGAGCAGCACTTGCACCGGAGCCAGAAAATGGCTGCTGTGCTGGAGAACGAGGTGGGCGATTGGGCCTGCTGTGTCCCAACGGACGGCCGAACAGTCCAAGATATTGCTATGGAGGTGTTGGTTCGTGCACAGTGGCGATGAGAGCATATCCGTGTAATCCTAGAGGTTTTCCTCGGATGATGGTGTTTGAACAAATACCATGTCCCTGGTGCAGAGACAATTTAGCCACCGAAAAGGAACATCAGACTATATATCGGCTATCCATTTAAACGGGAATCTGTAAACTTTCGGATAAAAGCTCTTAGCTATAAATTAGTAAAAGTATTAATAGTAGAAAAGAAGTACGAGTCAGCTTCTTTTTAATAGTCATCTACTGCTTGATTCTTAGCATTAGTATTTTCTTTTCTAGCATTCTCACTTTCTTTAGCCTACGTATCCTTACTTAATTGAAGTTAGTTAACAGGTCTTCAACCCCGTATTGTAGACGTCCTTACCAAAACACGCTGTTTAAATAGTCACGCAGTACACCTGGGGTCATCAGGTGCGGCAGGCATGCAGAAGGAGCGAAGCAGATAAGGAGTCAGAATGGAGGCCACGCGTATATCTAATGGTGAGGCAGCGGAGCAGCGCTGTGGCGGGTGTTTTGGTTGATTTTGTGCTTCTTCGTTGTGGCGATACGCCGATCTCATGCGTCTACTGATTGGGACTGAGGGCCTACATAATGTGCAGCTTAGATTCTTTCTCACCGGCGAGGCGCCTGCATAGCCAAATATTCAGTAGTTAGGCTTTATCAGGCTAATAGAGTCTTGATTGTCTGGTTAATTGCTTGAGTCTGTATGCCTTGTTTACTCCAGTTTTACTTTCAGTGGTCGTGACTACAGATTCTGCGCAGGAAAAGTAAGAGCAATCAATGATGGATGAATGGACAAGTATCCAAGACAAACAAGGTCATTCTCTAGATAATCTGATAATTACCTTGAAAATGGATAGCTACAATAAGAAAGTATAGAAGGTGACGCTGCTATCTTATATACTAGATTGGCTTATACATTGAGCAACTGTTCCAAAAGAACTATCTCAATTATATTTAAGCTAGTACCTTATAAGACGTTCTTCTACATGTTACTGTTAATTGCTGGCAGTGCGTCTTGTAGCTTGCGCCAGGACTGCCTGCCGTGCTGGGCAGCAGTTCCTGGCTGAAACTCAGCTATCCACATTCTCCGGTCAAAAGTTTCCAATAAAACCCAGCCATTGAATCCTTTATCTGCAATCCCGGACTTTAACAACTTCTTGTAGTGTTATATATACACCCAGCTGGGTCTTTAGGGGAAATGGTCGAGCGTGCTGTGACCAGGTCAACTGCGGTGCTTCGCCTTCGAGACACCGCAGATAGAATGTCAAAAAGAGGGATTAAATCATTCACCGTCCTAGAGTTGCACATAGAAGATATTATCACGAGGGTAGTGGTCTTGAAAATCGCGCAGTGACGCTCGTAGATTATGATCCGCGTTGGGCAGTTTACCATCAGGATTAAATGGACTGGCCCATAGTTTGGTAAGCCCGTGGAAGCTGTCCAGATAGAGCCCAAAGTTCGGTTGATCCACAGCTTGCGTGATGCGTAACGCGCTCTGCCATGTCGAACAATGGGTCGACCATCAAATAGGCTCATATGCAATGGCGACAATCGGCTGTTGGGCGCTGGCAATGTCTGCCAGCTGCTGTAGCTCCGAGACGACCACTGCCTCCTCTCCCGTGCTGTCGCTGCTATTATTCCCAGCTAATCAAGAGGACGTTGATAAGCTACGGGAGCACCAGAAATGGCTGGAAGCCCTAGAGTGGGCGAACTGAACGGGGAACCATGGTTTCCTATAAAATCGACAGCGTACGAAAGAGAAGACACGCAAGGAGACGGAAGACTTCTACAGAACGTTTAAAGAGGAAAATAACGCGGAAATACGAAGAATCCCCTGGCTGAGTGGACCAAAGGCATATGGATCAATGGCAACTTTCCTCTCTCAGGAAAGCGATATGACCCGGCTACTTCATCAAAAGTTTGTACAAATCTCAGGGGCGATCTCATTCACAACCGAGTACCACTATACGGCGGCCGGTGCAATGTCGTAACTGCCAGAGCTATGGCCATAAACAAGCGCGATGCAAAGCTACAACGGTGTGTGGAAAGTGCGCTGGATCACATCAAAAATACGAATGTACAGAAACCTAGAAGTGCGGTGCGTGTCAAGGCACACATCAAGCATCTGACCAACAGTGCCCACGGTGGATAGATGAAATCAACAGGATACAAGGCTGAAGGCAAGGAAACACGCTTATTATCTGCCAATGCCATCCAACACAACATGGATCTGATCACCGTGCGATCGAAGCAACATTTGCAACCCTAGCTCAACCAACATCCCCTATAAAAGTCTCCACTGAACCCCCTCGATACCAATGGAACAAGGCCCAGTGGAACGAAATCACCAAACAGCTCGATCACACTATGAAGTTAGTTCCCGAGATCCAGGACGTTGTAGAGCTAGAAATGCAACTAGGGTCAGTGAGGGACAGAGTCTCTGAAGTCATCAAAGCCTATGTACCACATGTGCGGCCCTCGCCCTATTGCAAGCGATGGTAAACCACTGAACTGACAAATTTGCGTGATGATCACTCGGTAGGGCGTTTCTGTTATTACTCTGAAGGAATTTCTGTAGGTCTTCGTGTGTCCCTTGAAGACCTGTAATCGCCCGTTGTAGGGATAGAATTTCTTCTTGTGCCTCTGTTACCTCTCGAATGTAGCCCCGCAAAGCTTCGCGAGGGTTCCCGTCAGTTGAATAACGGCGATGACGCTCGCCGCCGAGGATACAGCATCCATTTAGAAGGACACAGCATAAAAACACAGACACAACAGAGGGTCCGGGGAAGAGCGACGGCCGTCACCGTCTTGTCCATCGCATCTGGTTTCCCGAGTTGTACTGGTAATTTTAAGGCATACAACTTCACAGGCAGTTTCACTGTCGAGAATTGCAGGGTCGATTGGAATTGTCTCTTCTGTACGTTGACTGCTTGTTAATCCAAGAAGAAAGTCCTGGACTCCTTCGACGAAGCCATCCAGGAACGTAGGTTCCGGATCCACCATATTACATGTGCCCAAGGGAGGCGAGGTATACACGGGCCATAACGGCATGCTTGAAGGAATATTCACAGATGGACGGGGAGGAAGTGGGCAATGCAAGACTGGTTGTGAGGGTGAAGCGGGAGGGGAGTTTGAACGAGAAGGGCTGGGGTAGTGATTCAAGGTGCGAGGAAGCGGAGTCTGAGCACGATGATTTGGAGATGTCTTCTTTGTCGGCCGGGCAGGAAGGGAAGGGGCGCGGTTAAATCTGATTTTTTCTAAGGTTAACGACATAGCAGCAGGGCAGAAGGGTAGGGGTTGGAACTGTTGGATAGTGATAGAAATAGATGTATCCTATTGAGCCTTTAGAAAGGGTTTATATGTTTCTTGTCGCCGGAAGCGAAACCTCCAAATAAATCCACCCAAAATCACACTGACCGGTAATTCCGCTCGTTATCGCCCTCCAGCATGCGTGTGACAATGTTATCAAGAGGTGCCGAAGAGCCTACATCCAATTGATGGACTCAATTTCAACGCAAGATGGCACGTCTTAATCCCGAGTGAGAGACCGCGGTCTAAAGACATCATTTGCTTGTTATCCAGCAGATTGGCCTTTTTCGGTATGTAGTTATACAATGGCTTATAATATACTTCATACGTGAGTGTAGAATAACTGCATGGAAGTATTTAACTGCGAAAATACCATACAATCGCATCGTCCTGGATCTGCCCTTGTCTGTCCCCCGATACAAACACCACCCCTCGTGATTAGGCCAAGGGTACGATTCTCCCGGATGCACAACGCACGGGGCCTGTCGCCAAGACTTTATAGCTTGCTATTCGACCCAAAAGACTTCATGAACGCATCCTTCTGCTCTGTCGGCGTCTCAGTCGGGCGAGGCAACGACTTGCGCTCATCGCCATTGACGGGGACGAGGATTAGAGCGCTTCGATCAACGGACCGAAGCGCCTTTGTCACTCCGTCTGCCGTATCTACAATGAACTTCCTTTCGTACGGTAGGCCTTCAACGAGGGCCAGAAGGTCTCCTCGTCCGATCATCAGCGGCTGGTTTCCGGTCGAGCTATGCATCCCGTTGTAGATCACCACATGGACGACTCTCTGCTCCAGCAGGGGGGCGAGAATCGCATTGTTGCCTAGGTGCATCATGAAGGAACCATCGCCATCTATGCACACGACTCGGTTGGCCCGGCAGCCATTCGACACCCCGTGGGCGAGAGCGTAAGTGTGGCCCATCGCTCCGATGCAGAAGAAATTGCGAGCGATGCTTTGGCCTTTGTTCTTTCGCAGCATCCACAGCTCGCGGCTGTTGCCCCCAAGAGACGAGACGGAGATATCATTGGACTTCAGCGCCCCCAATATGCTCTCGATCGTGCTCTCTCTTGACAGGACCGGCTTTTCAGTCGATGACGATAGCCACTTGACTGTCTTCGACTGGGTCGCGGCCGCGGACGCCCAACGGGCCACCACGGGGCCTGTGTATGCGGCAAAAGACTTTGCGCGAACGAGCAACGCGACGGGGGTGTTGCCTTGCTTTGCTCTGGCTACGAGGCGCCCGACTGAACTCCGAGCCAGAGATAAGCCTTCCGGGAGGATCTCGTACGGAATATTGTTGGCTTCGAGATTCTTCAGGATATTGGGGCCGATGAGGTTATGTTGCGGTTCGTCCTTCTCGCCGGGCCGTCCACGCCAACCGATCATCAGAAGCATGGGGATGCCGAACACCTCCTTGGCCACCAAAGATTGTAGAGGGTTTAGTGCATTTGAGTAGCCAGAGTTTTGCATGTAGACTAGGGCTAGATTGCCAGTAGACAGATAGTAGCCGGCGGCCAGGGCCACCGCGGCGCCCTCGCTTGCCACCGTAACATGCTTGCGCGTGCATTTCACAGCTGCCAGGTAGCTCAAGAAAGGACTCAGAGTTGAGTCGGGGACGCCAAAGGAGCGGTCAATTCCGTTCGCCTTGAGGACCTCTCCATAGAATTTCTCTGGATCAAGTGGGGTTTCCATGATCAGGCTGTCTGCCTCGAGGCTTCTATTAATGAGCCAATGGTCAAGGAAGGATCGAAGAAAGAGCATGCAGCCTTGCTCTGATACAGCCGTGCAGGCTTGACGCAGAGAATGAATAATGATTCATATGAAGCGCCACCTACAGACGGAGGCACCGCCTGTATGTATTTTCCTTCATACAGTCTCTAGCGAAATCGCCTTCACCATCAGGCATATGATGATTATCTTCTGGGCCCATTGCCAAGATCTTAGTACGAATAAATTATAGAGCAGGCACTCTTAAATTGAAGGTCTATGCGAATGTAGTCGGGTATTTAACACGAATATTATAGAACATGCATACTGTGCACTACAATACCAATTTGAAATGCACTTTGCCGTGTATCCTCAGTCCCTAATTTATGCATCTCACCCCATTTTTACTTCCTTTTTAACAGGTTGCCCAATAAAATATTTGTGCTCGAGCCTCGGCAGTGGGGCCAAAACATCATCATATAATTGCTGTGGTGAAGGCGATTTCGCCAAAGACTGTACCAGTCTGAGGCCTCTGGTTCAATATCCATCGCTGCGCACACTATTCAGAATGAATATACACCCCGCGATCGGACACTTTGCGCCATTTTCCAGTCGTGTGACAGGACCACCGCTTCGGGGAACCGTCGGGGAGCTATGGATTTAGCTGCAGGACTGCTTTACCATATATCGATACTAGAATCTGGGCCGAGTCATGCGTCCCCCTGACTCAGTGATGCATGCATTAGTTAGCAGTCGGTTCCAGCCCGCTGATATTTCCCGATTGAGGTACTGACTTCACCATTTAGGTAGCAGAGCACGCGAGAGAGGTTGTATAATGGCCTCGTATAACCCCCTGTTCTTCGTTACATTTTTAACAGATGGGTTACACACCTCAAAAAGTAGAACTGGGGAACTTCGGATCCTGCGAGCTCTGGGGCTACGAGGGACTCCACGTCAGACCCTCCACGTCTGGCCCTGTGGAGAGAGCTGACAGGGTACATTGCTGATAGTCTGACTTAACGGAAAACAAGCCTTCTCCCCTTCTGAAGTCGAGACGCATCGCTTCGGCAAACTCATTTGTCTCTATTTCGGAGAAAATCGCTGTACAATAATTCCTTCCTCGCCAAGTTGGCCGCAACATATGAATTTCCGTCTACATGCACATTACGTCAAATATTCGAAACCTGGAAAAATTCCTCACGGCGTTCCCGTGGGCGGGATCGCAGCAACTGACGGAAGCCGACCTCATTGAAAATGTCGCTGCTCTGCCAGATAGTCGGGCTCATCTCTGGGATCTGGTCGCTGCCAAAGTGGTTGCTGTTGGAGACACCGTGACAGAGGACCGCGAGGGCCGTGAGCGACCTTTGGTGCTGAACGAGCTGCTGATTGCCCCCCTTGTTGGCCGCGAGTCCAGCCTGGGCCACAGCTCGGTTCTGCCCATTGAGGGAATCGTGGTGGGCTCAACGATCGACTACGTCAGCACTGGAGGCGGCCTGGGGATATCCCCAGACAATCCTCCGGGCAAGGGCGACCCGTCCAAAGTCCGGCTCCTCGGCTTATTGTGCTATGCGGACGGCCAAGTAGCCAAAGCGCAGGACTTTGCCAAAGACTTGCCATCCGCGGCCACATTGAAACCGGTCATTATCGTGGTGGGATCCAAGTCCGATGTCGGCAAGACGACCGTCTGCATCGACCTCCTGAAGAGTCTTGCTGCTGCAGGGCGGCAGGTTGGCGTTGCGAAAGCCTCAGGCACTGCGCAGCGTATGGAGATTGAAGAGCTGGCAGTGCATGCGAACGAAGGTCTCGATACGGCGGATGCCGGGATGCCAACCACCTACCCTCCCTCCCAGGAGTCGGACAAGTGGGCTGAATCCACGCACCAAAAATCCCTTCTGGCGGTTGAATCGAACCTTCGGGCCCTGTCCGTTGCTAACGAGGTCATCCTGGTGGAGTTCGGAGGCGATTTGCTGTCTGCAAGTGTGCCTGAGATCCTGGAGGACCCGGGCCGCCTGAACATCGTCGCAGTGATCATGGTGGCAGAGTCGGCGACCGCGGCTATCGGAATGGAAACAAAACTGCTCAGGATCTCTCTGAGATATGCAAGCATACCCTACTACGTCGCGGGGCCAACGGCAACTCTCAGGGCGAACAGGAATCGCGTGGAGCGTGAAACGCGATGTGCAGGATGCTACGACCTCTGGAGCAAGAATAACTCTCGTGCATCCCAGAGTCAACGAGATGCGAGCACTGCCTCTTCGCAGGAATTAACACGGAAGCTGCTGGAGCATTGTGGCCTGGGACTTGTTTAGTTGTTGCTCAGGTCAATGGACTGTGTGACCGTCGAGATCTGTAGAAGACTTTCCCAAGCAGATAAAAGCCTAAGACAAAATAACTGAGACATCCGTAGCGCGGCCTTATTTGACTACATGGACTCTGTACATAGCGCAAACTTGACAGTTTCCTCAAGGGATTCATGGTCATTCAATTCTACACAAGTGTTTTGTAGTAGTGGGCTTCTGTGAATGAGAACCGGTCATCGACAACAATTAAGTCTCCTGATTCGACAACTTACCACCCATTTTACAAGACGTTCTACGAGGCTCACTGTCTTTCTAGAAGTCTTTTCGGATTTTCCATTGCTAGTAACTATAGCTTTTACAATCAAGTCTGAGGAAAATACATTTATATAAATAGCGTGACTGAAAATGCCCGAGACTTGAACATCTGTATCTGTGGATGTTTTTCTTCGATTCATTGGTTACGCTAACCTCAAAGCTTGGCTGTATACGGTTCCTTCCCCTCTTCTTCCAAGAAGAGATTGTTCAAAGGAGAAACTTGGTGGCTGTTGATATTGAGAAGCTCCTTAGCGGTGATGATATAGTTGTCCGCCGCGCTGGCATTTTGGCCCTCGAGAAGCACCTTGATCACTTTCTTCATGTGAATTAGGGCGTATATCGTTGCCAGTGCGCGATATTCTTGTGCTGACTCGCTCAGACTTTCAGCCTTCTCTAATTTCTGTAGAAGGTACCCGAAGTTCCGAAATTGAAGGGCACGGTCCCAAGACTTGTTCCCAAACGAGAAGCCCCACTGTCTCGTGGCCAGCAAGAAGCTCGACATAGCATCAACTGCGGTAATCTTCGCCCTCATTAAATGATTCGCATAAATGATGATATTTGCCCCGGCCTGATGCAACTCCTGGTCTGTAATAGAGCCGTAGGTGGTTGGTACCACAACCAGGGGCGTGTCCGCATCTTGGGATCGGAACTGATTCAGAAATGACAAGACCTCGAGCGGGGTTTTCGCTTTGCTGTGGATCATAATAGCATCTGCTCCGCGGCTCTTGTAGAGTTCCGCACGCGCCAGCGCATCTTCGAGGGCCAGCTGGACCGACGCTAATTCTTTGGCTTCATCCTCCTCCGGCGTGCGGGTGGTGAAGCTCTCGATCCGTGCGGTAATCATGATCTCGCTGTCTCCGGTGGCAGCTCTGAATGCTTGAAGGATCCTCGCAAACTCGTACATATTAGCCTGGCCCTGGGAGTGGGAGGCGCCAGCAAGAGAGTTGACCTTCTGACCCGGCGCCGTCAATCTCTTGTCTTCAATTATCACCATGGAGATGCCCAGGGACAGCAGACACGAGATCAATTGTGGAATCTCCTCGACATTGCCACCACTATCTGCGTCAAACGCAGCGCAGAGCGGACGGCGCCCATCGTGCTCAATATTGTTGTTCGGGCCCGACATGTGCATTGCACGCTGAAGAGGGGAGATCAATTCTGTATCTGGGATCCCCAAATACGTGGTCTGGGTCAGGCCACTCAGCCAAATTCCATCAAAAGATTCGCCATTTTCACTGAATGTCCCGCGGATTGTCTCCTTGGTGGCATGGTCATGAGCCTCCAGTAGCCGAACTCGGCCCTGGTTTTTCTTCAACACGGACTTGATGGAAGGAGACATTGTACGAACTCGAGTGACTGTCAATTTGCCAAAGGCTGCAGTACCACGGAATCCGATATCTATCTACTGCCTTTGGGTACCTCAAGCGCCCTCTCAAGCTAGAGATCCAGGTAGGCGACTACGCTGCGTGCATCTGAATCGGGGATCCTATCCTTGCAAGGGGACCCGGTGTATGTAGGCCGGTTTCTACAAAGGAAATTTCATGCATCCTGAAGGCTGAATCACGTCATCGACTTGAGTAATTGAGACCAACTTTACAAAGCCTTTGTATAGCATTTTTGAGGTTTTGACCTAATGCACACCGCAATGCAACGTAAAAAGTCCGACCCCAAGCACCATTTTGAGAAGACCACTCTCATTGATTATAAGACGGAAGATCTTTGACTAAAATATGGATGGGAGAGTGACGCAGTCGAGTCTCCAGCCGAACAATATTTGCGCCGAAGCAGAAGAACGGAACCCTTTTCTTGTGTCTCGATTACTGTGAATTATTACAAAAATCGTCGTGAAATAGCCATTGCCACCTTGTCCACCAAAGGGGACCTCAGTATTGTTGCCTATAGACCAAATACACAAGGTGATACGTGGAAACCTGCATTCGTTACTCCCCACGGAACAGACGGGCCGGTGAGGAGGCATGCGACCTGCTAGTTTAGTTGGCCGATATGTACACGCTAAGCCCTAAAGTGGGCTTTGGTATGCAAAGTCGGATTTGGTCCGTGCGCAGTGTCCAACATTCTTAAGGCCGAAGTGGGTCTCGTTTCTATTCCTGTTCGTTTTGATACTTGTGCTGTCCGACTATCCATGCACCTATCATTTTATGGAATACTAACAAAATATAGAGCTAGATTGGAACTCAGTCTAAATTGATATCTATTATGTTGGTGTGATGGCCTGTATGTCACGTGGTTAGGCAGGCCTACTTCCCACAACACAATCCTTGTATGATAGTGTTTCTCCTCCCATAGTTGAATTCAGTTGGAAATGCTATAATATCTAGCTATCTACCGTGGAATAGCTATCTGTGAATGAGCAGTCATCACAGTTGGTATTGTTGGTTGCTCTGCCCTGCATACCAAGCGTGAGAGCATACATGTGACATATGACAGATAGTGCTCCCAGGCCAATGCCCATCTTGATCCCCTTGGAGGGGCGGGCAGCTAATTTAATCATGTAACTTCATCCGGCCCCATTCAGTGCGCTACAAGTCCATTTGTTCTGTTTTGGGAAGGGATAGTTCAGGTCCACTCATACACCACCAACCATAGGCCAAATATGCAAGGTGATATGTGGAAACCTGCATTTGTTACTCGCCGCAGAACGGGCGGGCCGGTGAGAAAGTGTGTGATCTGTGCTGTAAGCCCATTTGTTCTGTTCGGAAGATATAATCCAGGTTCACTTATACACGACCAATCATGCTTGTTTCTGAGCTCATTATCTACCCAATAGAATAAAAGATATCAGGGGAAATGTAGAATCCAGAAAAAGAAGTCTGTAGCTAAAATCTTACTTAGTACTCTCTTAATAATATTTAATTAATAGCCCTTGCTAGCTCACTTATATTTACCTTTATATAATATGGTAGAGTTACAATCTCACTCTAAGGGTTACCTGGGTTAAAAAATAAATTTAATATAAAGTAACCTTAGTTAGCACCCTGTTCTCTAGCTTGGTAAAAGGAGAGATGCATATTATTATACAAGTGCATACATGACATTTATATATTTTTTACAAAGTATTCAATCTCTACAGGTGCAGCAAACCTGGCGCCCAGACTTATACACCAAGTATTGTTAAAATATATTTATAACCCTCGAGCGTGAGACCCAATGATGTCATACCAAAGTGCCATTGTGTATAAGAAGTTGAAAAAAAATATGAGCAAACTATGGAGTTTGCGAAACACCGCGCCACCGGAGTAGATCGCTTGTCAGACACCGCAGAGAATGTCATCTACTAGGAAAATACCAGTCCTTGATCTGAATCTTGCAGAGGATCCCTCAACACGAGGACTGCTTCTTGATCAGTTGCACGATGCATTATTCAACATCGGTTTTCTGTATATTTCCAACCACGGAGTCTCGGAAGAGATCATAAGTGCTTTGTCAGAGAAGCTTCCGACGCTCTTTCATTTGCCGCCAGAACGAAAGAGGGAGTTGTCGAAAACTGAATCCCCCCAGTTCCTTGGTTTCAGTGACTTCGCCCAGGAAGCCACTCAGGGTAAGCTTGATTTGAGGGAGCAATACGACCTTGCCACGGAACTGCCCGAGGTCTACCAGAAGGATGCAGTCCCGAACGACCGGGGAAGAAATTTTTCAAACTTGTACTGGAGGCTCAGGGGCCCAAACGTGTGGCCGTCAGAGAATGAAGTGCCTGGCTTTAAGAAAGCGGCTAATGAGTAGGCACCTGCATGACGATGAGCAGCAAGTAGTTTGACTGACATTTCTACATTTTCTTGAATGCTTTCGCCGAATTATCCTACAGGTTCGTGCATCTCGTGGAAGAAGCATTTGGCATCCCAAGAGGGACATTCGATAGCTTCTTCAACGAGGATGCCGCTTCCACCGCCGCCGATGCCAACCCGGAGAGCGACTTTCTTCCTCCTCAACATCGGCTTAGACTCAACTTCTACCCGGCCATGCCGCCAGAGCAAGAGGGCCAAGGTGTAGGCCCGCACAAGGATATGGCTGGATGGCTCACCTTTCTCCACCAGGTCGGCTCTGAATGCGCCCTGGATGTGCAAGGCAGAGACGGCAGTTGGATTTCCGTCGACCCAATCCCAAACACTCTCGTTGTCAACTTAGGCTACGCCTTTGAAGCGGCCACCGAGGGTGCAGCCAGAGCCACAGTTCATCGAGTAAGGGCACCTTCACAGAAAGATCGATACTCGATCCCCTTTTTCATGGGTTTGCCACTCGAACTTAAGCTATCAGAGGTGAGGAGTTTTATCCCAGAGAGTGTCAAGGCGATGAGACGCAAAGAACTGGAGAATGGCGAATGGGCCATAGACAAGAAGATCGAAACCTTTTTGGACCCGAGATGGGACAGCATCGGTGAATCCGTACTGAGAAGATTCATTAGAGGATACAAGGAAACAGCTCTAAAATTCTATGGGCAGGAGGTTTATCAGTACTATACTCAGTGAAGTCATGTGGAGAAGCTGGCTTAAGCTTTCATTGCAAATCTGGATAGTGATAAATTGACGAACTCAATGCGAAGACGAATTACCTACTGAACCAGCGCTCATTCAATTTCGTACGTGAAACTCCTTCGTACTTTCTGTCCCAGCCTGAGACAGTCCGCTCTGCTCCTCCTACTGACCACGGAAAAGTATGCTAGGTAGCTGAATACTTTGGCCTTTGGTCCGAGTAATTTATCACCCTTTTTCTTCATCGTCTTGTAATCTACAACGGCCAATCGTAGATCTTCATGCCGCTCCAACATCTCTTTGCCGGCGTCCGGACTTTTCATCACGCCACTTTTGTCCTCCGGAATGATGATGACCTGAAGCCACCATTGTGGGCCATGGCAGAAAGGTACGCTCAGCGCACGACATCGATCAAAGTCGCCGAGAGCGGCCAGTATGTGATTGGCATAGTAGTCCACACCATACGTCAACAGCGTAGCACTACTCACAAAATAACCACCCGGTCGAGCATTGATCTCGTGCAGGTAGAAGGAGGGTTCCTCGTTGCCTTGTAATCGATCGCTTGGATACAAGTCAACAACGCCATCACGCGTATCGTACGCTTTGGATGCATAGCGAATTCGCCCCTCGCAGTGAAAGACACCGGTGCGGAAACCTTGTCGCAAGAGGGTTTGATGAAGCGAATCCTTGGTAACTTGAATTTCTTTTGGGGAGAGTCCTGTCGGGAGAACCATATCTGTCTCCATGAAGGAACCGTTCAACATGTTCCCAGCTTTTTCGCCAGCTTTGGGGAAGTCATCTGCAACCTCAAAGAAGATGATATCCCCTTCGATCAGAACAAAATTAGCATCAACTTCGGGCCCCTCGATATACGGCTCAATCATCACATCCGACCGCGGGTTCGGTCCGTCACTGTGTCGACTTGAAGCCCGTGCGACTGCTTGAATGAGTTCTTCTTCGGTCTGCACTTTCGAAACACATTCACTACCCCACCCCATACAGGGTTTCACGATTACAGGGTATTCAATGGACGGATTCGTCTTGGACTGCAGTCGTGCGCGTAGCTCGTCGACATTGAAGATCTTGAATGCTCCTCCGTTATCGGGTTCCATCTCTCGCGTCTTGAACTTGTCTCCAGCAATGATGTATGACTCGGGTGGCGCAGACCGGAACCCCAATATTTGACAAGCTCGTGCAGCGCCGATTGCGCCAGCGTTGTTGACCGTCACAAGCGCGTGGATAGGCTTGTCGTAGCTACGCACCGCGGCCACGATGCGGTCTACAAACCCCTGGTCAGCGGTGATATCGGTTGGAATAAAGGCTTCTCGTAAAAAGTTCCAGCGGTCATCGTCCTTCTGAAACCAATGGCCGTCGTGGTCCAGAACCACCACCTTGATGCCCAATGATCGAGCGGCTTCCCAGATGCGCCTCCCGCTCTCCAGGTCCTCCTTGCCTTTGATCCATGCGATGCGTTTCTCTTCAATTGGCTCAGGCGAGATCCATGCGAATGATAACCTGTTCGCTAACTCGGCCTCCAGACTGGCTAGGCGCAGTTCACTCTGGACTTGAACGGCTCCAACGGCGTAGGGTAGAAGATCAAATAGGCTCAATGGAGGTTTACTATCCAGGCGTCGGAAATCAGGAGCTTTGATCTCTCCTCTTGGTGTCAGAAAACTTTCGACACTCAGCGCATGCTCGTAGCCTTCCAGACGCCGCTCAAGGAAGTCGGACCTGACCGTGAAGCCAGACTTTACGGGTAGAATGAACTTGACAGCAAGAACGGAAGATGCCGGCAGCTGCTGATGGAGAAGACGAACGAGAAAGTTGGACGCTCGATCGTCCGATATTAATTGCAAGACATTAAGTGCGCTCGACGTAGGTAGCGGCGCGGTATTATTACCAATCGACAAGAGATCCACTGTCACGTCTAGAGTCCTATGTAGAGATTCTCCAGGTGCAACAAGATTGAGTTGCCACAACCCGTCGACGTAGACTACCAACAATGTCAGTGTTCAGTGAGAGGCAAAAGTACAGCGAGGCTGAATACCATCCTTCCCTTCTACCTTATATTGAAACTTGCTTGCCTCCGCACCAGGCATAATGAATCGTAAAGAGATGCTGATTAAAATTTAATGAAGATGGTACGTGTGAGCAAGAGGGTTACGGTGCTCTCATCAGGCATCCTCGGGGGCAAGCGGCGGCACTTTAACTGTTTAACTGGTACTCCTAGAGTCTACTGGTCACATGTTGGACACTGCGCAGAGATTAAATCCGACTTTGCCTACCAAAGCCCACGTTATCGGCTTAGCGTGTAACATATCGGCCAACTAGACTAGCAGATCACACTCCTTCTCACTGGTGTTTCCCAAACTCCATAGTTTGCTCGTATTTTTTTTTTCAACTTCTTATACGCAATGGCACTATGGTATGACATCATTGGGTCACGTACTCGAGGATTATGAATGAATTTTGACAATACTTGGTGTATAAATCTGGGCGCCGGGTTTGCAGCACCTGTAGAGATTAAATGCCGCGTATATGCTTGTATAATAATATATATCTCTACCAAGCTAAAGAACAGGGAGTCGTCTAAGGTTACTTTATATTAAATTTATTTTTTATTTCAGGTAACCCTTAGAGTAAGATTATAACTTTACTAAATTATATATAGGCAAGTATAAGCGAGCTAGCAAGGGCTACTTACTGGTCAAGATATTATTAGAAAAGTACTAAGATTTCAGCTGCAGCCTTCTTTTTCTAGATACTATATTTTCCCTGATATTATCTTTTATTCTACTGGGTAGGTAGATAATGAGCTCTGAAACAAGTATAGTCAATGGTGTATAAGTGGATCTGGATTATATCTTCCGAACAGAACGAATGGGCTTACAGCGCAGATCACACGCTTCCTTACCGGCCCGCCCGTTCCGCGGCAAATGCAGGTTTCCACATATCACCTTGCATATTTGACCTATGGTTGGTGGTGTATGAGTGGACCTGGATTATAGAACGGAACGAATGGCCACACAAGCAACCTAGCCTCCAATGTAATCCATACAAAATAGCCAATTTTTATATCTTGATATCTCAAGAAAATTATTTATAAACCATTGTCCAAAATTTTATATGTAATACAGTGTAATATATAACGGGCTTAATAATGATATAATTAAAAGTTAATAAGGAAAATTCAAAATTGATTTTAAAATTGATTTTAAAAGCATATTTGCTTTTACTAAATGAGTGATATAGTAAACATGTAATTTTCGGTTATTCGTCGCCCGGGCGCCAAGCCCCATAGAAAGGCCCTGGCACCCACCTTGTTACCCATACAAATTCCAGGGCACATAGCCCCTAGCCATAAACAGTAAGTTTGGTAAAAATACAGTGGAAGATGTTGGTAGCTTACAAAATTTACACGGGCTACTAAACGGAGCTGGCGTCGGACAGGAACAAAGCAAAGCAACACCTACCTCCCCGCATTCGATTTGTCATCTCTGGTACGAAGCTGATAGGCGGTAAGCTTTGTGGCTAATGATGGCGTAAACTTTGATAGGCCCACATATCTGATTTGTTGTCAGGTCCCCTCTCGCTCGCGTGATATATAGGTAATCATGGGGAACGTCCATTATTGGGAACAGTTCACCCGTCATCACCATTCTCGAATGCAATGGCGAGGATTGTTCAAGCTGGAAGCGGCCCTGCGGACATTGATGACGAATCTCTCTCGCCTCGAGATGCTACAAATGAAGAGATTGATTCTCTGAGGCATGTCGTTGACAAGCTACCCAGAAAAGTCTGGGTCTCCTTGCTCGTAAGTGGAGCAGAGCGCTTCACATACTACACAATCACAACTCCGTGGCGTAAGTGTACGGCGATATGACGGGGCATTATATGATAATGATCTACTGCTAAGACACAATGGCAGAGAACTACATACAGAATGCTCCGGGTGATGGCGCTGTGCCAGGTGCTCTTGGACTTGGGCAGTCTCGGGCGACCATGATCTTCAACGCCTTCTACTTATTCTATTACTTGGTGCCTATCCCCTTCGCCCTTGTGTCGGATGCATGGCTAGGGCGATACGCGGTTCTCTGTATCAGCCTGAGGTGCGCGATTGACTTGTCACGGCGCCTGAAATTGGCCAGCTTGCTAACACAATGTAGCTTGTATTTCTGTGGCACGCTCGTACAGTTTATAACGTCTCTGCCCTCACTTTTCCACTATGAATCAGGCCTGGCGGGTCTTATACTCTCTATGATATTGATAGGTCTCGGTGTTGGAGGAACAAAAGCAGCAATCACGCCCTTCATCGGTACTTTTACCCCGTTAAGCACCCTATCTTTGAATAAATCTCATAAAGGCATTAGGAGATCAATACCCGGTCAAGTCTCCACAAGTCATGACCCTGCCAACCGGAGAACGCGTGATTATCGATCGAACTTTGACCTTGCAGTATGTGTACAACGTCTACTACTGGTGAGCACCTCTAATAATCAATGGGTAGCACAGACTGACCCATAGTAGGATCACTAATGTCGCCGCACTTTCTATCCTGGCATCGACTTATCTCGAGAAGGAACGTGGTTTCTGGGCGGCCAACGTCCTTGCATTGTGCTCATCCTGGATTGGGGTTGCCTTGCTTGCTATATTTGGCAAGGAACTCGGTGCGTCCCCGCATACCAAGAACCCCAAGGCGTGGCTGACTAGTTGTAGAACGGTATCCAGCTCAAGGTGGTGTTTTGTTAAAAGCTGGAAAGGTTTTGTCATATGCTATCCACGATAAGTTCAAGATTGATGCCGCAAGGCCACGCCACCAATTAGAAAAGCACAATCGGGTAGTCCCATGGACGGATCGTTTCGTCACAGAGATTCAAAGTGGCCTTCGTGCATGTCAAGTCATGTGGGGTTTTCCCCCTGGAATTCTCCCTTTGGGCATATGGGACACGAGAGTTTACTGACCGGGTGACGGATAGGGCCTGGTTCGTGTTGTTCCA